ATATTCGTTAATCTCTATTTAGAATGAGCTATTTGTTTAAATATTCAGATTCTTATTCGGGTGTGTATTTAGGTGATTATTTGGGATTTCATTTGGGTGTGCCATTTCCAGTCACCCACTTGTCTGGGTAGCAAGAAGCACAGGCTAGGTAAAACCGCATTTATTTTTATAGTAATACGGTAGAGGGAATGTTTCTGTATTGATACAATGGTTTAAAAGTTAAGACTTTGGGATGATTGATACGAAGAGTAAGACCACACAGAGCTATGGAATGTTAGAAGTACGCTTGAATAATCTGTCTATTCTCTAAGATGAGGGGATTTCTTCTACTCGTGACCGCTTTCCCGCCGTGTGGCTGTTGGCATACACGCTTTCGGCGTCGTCACCCGCAGAGGGACGAAACTTCTTGTCGTCCATTATCCCAACTGTGAAAACCTTCCCTTTTTCTTTCTGCCCGACGAACCACCCGAGTCTAAAGAATGTTCCTGAGAAATACTCATGTAGCTCAGGCGGATACATTTGATAGGCCCGCTTTGGCAAAATCTCGGCATAGTTGGAGCCTTCAAGGAGGGAAGACACCATGGCGACGCTGTTGAACCGATAGGGTGCTAGTCCTTTCAGGTCCACATCCCATGGGAAGAAAGGGATCCGGTCGCGAAATAGATACCGAAACAGCGTATACACCAAAGCCCAGATATGAACAGAAACAGTCAAAGATAGGATGAGCGTCAAAGCTAGGGTGGCCGGCTCGCTCTGGAAGAGCCGTATCGCACCTGTTCTTAGGATCCTTGCTTGGACAGGCGATAGCTCCCCATGACGGAAGGGGGCTACAGTTGAAGTCTGATTGGTGCGCAGCCGATTCTCCTTGTGGACCAGCTGAGCGGCTGCTATACGATGCAGCGAGGTGATTTCAGCGAGAACGTCGGCTTGTCTTTCGGGGCTTCCAAGGTCATCTGGGGTAAGCGTGCCGTAAGGCTGGAGGATGACGTTGAATTGAGATCCCATCTCCAGCACTTCTTGCCCCGAAGCTACCGAAAGCAGTGGCCAGACAGATGTGTATTTCTTATCCTCGTCGCCTGTGGCATTGAAGGCCGGCATCTGGAACGGAGCACCCCAGGGCCTCTCCTCGCCTGCCCTGATGGGGGGATCAGTATGGTCGAACTGTATGGACCCATCCGCCTGAATCAGGCTGACATTGGTTGGGACTTCAACCCAAGAGTAGTTGCATCTCTGGACGGATAGATGGTCGAATGACGGGGTGGCTTCTGAGAAACTCCCCCAGGCGTACGTCACAACTTCCCAAGAAGCGTTTCTAGGCCTGGATTCGCAGTACAGAGATCTAAGAACCTTTGCAAAAGGGAGGGCGGCTGATGCTGCTGGCTGCGAGGCTTTCCTCCAAGGAGCCCTGGATGCATTTGAGGTGCTGATGGGAGATCTGCCTGGGCATGAACGGGTCTGAGTTATGTTGGCTACCGCTCTAGTCTGGAGCTCTCCATTTTCTCCCTCATTATTCTCGCCGTTGCCGTCAACTCGGCGGGCTTCGATGGTCAGTTCGCTCTTGGGCACCTCTTTGCAGTCCTCGGACAGCCGTGCCGCAGGCATGTTGTGAGCTTTGACGACAGTGTTGGAGCCCCAAAAGCCATCTGACGTGTCCATGGAAAGTTCCGGAAACACCATGTCGTTGTATGTCCACGGCGGATAGGTGAAGTTATTTCGCTTGCTTATCGTAAGCAGCGCGCTTACAGATAGGCGAGTAAGGCTGCGGTCGTAGTCCAAGGTTTCTTTGGACGGCACTGAAGTGAACCACGTACGCTGGTCGAATTCTGTTTGGTAGGAGTGTGAGGTAGGGTTCGGAGTGAAAAGAAGGGTCGATATGGTTGTTAGAAACGCGCAGATAATAGCAATGCTCTGCGCCAAGGTGACTGAGAGTATTCTAGAGCGGAGAGAATAGTACCACGCTTTAAGTCCAAGCATGTCTAGCAAGTACACGTCTAGTTCAACTGCTGTACATGATCTCCTGGAGAGGGCAAGAATTGTGGACAGACTTCTCACAGTGGTGTCTGTTGCGTTTGCGTGAAGAGCCACAACAAGCATAGCCAATGCGGGTATAAAGGTCCAAAGAAAAGAGGATGAAGGATTGCCACCAACTGTGGCGATGCCATTTGCTGCTGTCGACCTTTGGTGTGTCGCATTTAGGGCGATGATAAGGGCCAGTGTGTAGACAACGAACAGGAGGCGGTACCAAGGCCTCAGTATCATGGGAGAATATGAACCTGCAGCCCAAAGGAGCTTTCTGTTTCCGTCTTTCTCTGCTTGGGCCTCTGCAGCGGAATGTCCCATCTCTTGGAAGAAAGTCATAGACCCCAGCAATGTTGCCGGGTCTCGATGCCAAGTCCCGAACACGCTTCTGGATCTTAGTCCTAGAAGCAGAGCAATGGATGCGCAGCAAGCAAAGATTATTGTCATTGCTATGCCTATGCCCCTGTCCACGTGAAGAATGGTGTGTTTCCTGCTAACGGATCCTTGCGCCACATCCGAGGCATTCCTTTTGAGCTGGTAGTGAGCCACCAGAGGGCTCATCTGACTCGTGATATTCAAAATCGACTGGTACAGGTTCTGGCTGTTATAAACGGACGAATCCGATCCGTCAGAGCTGGGTGAGCCCATCTCACCTTGCAAATCATAGGTCGTCAGGAACGGGCCTGGTAATATGTCATCCCAACGGTGATCTAGCCGAGGTATGCCAACCCACCGCTTTGAGTTCTCTGGGATACTCCATTCTAAGAAAGGCCAAGGATCAGAATTGACAATTTTAGGCTCTCCCTGGTCTTGCAAAACTGTCATGTTCTGGCTCGTCGTGTCAGCCACGACCTCTACCTTGGATATACTTGCTCTGGGAGCGCATAACACCGCAGCAAGGTTGTCGAGGGTCGAAATCGACTTGTTCTTCGGTGTTGCTGACCAATGCCCAGTGAGATACACGAAGTGGTCGGTTTCCTGTGGCAAAGAGGGGCAGCGAGTACCTCCCCTTCCCATATGATCTAAAATCCAGAAATTTGTGTCTCTGAGGTCCTCATCAATCCAGTTCATGAACGGAGAACGCACCGCGGTGGGAGAAGGGCATCCCTCAAACTCCATGTCCAGTACATAGTGAAAGGACTTTTCCATCGGCTTCTTGTCAGGGCTTACTCTCCTCGGGGGATTGGTGTAGTTTGTGAGAAGTTTGCATTCAACGTGCGTAAAAAGCCCGTCGACAACCACTGTGACGGGATCTCTCATTGGCTCCCTTGTGTTGAAGGTTTGATAGGCCGCCTGTTTGGAAGCGCCAAATGGCAGATTCATCTGGAAATCTCGAACAGCAACTGCATTGTAGTAGGCATCCATGGAAATCTGTGATACCGGCTCATCAATAACGGTGTCAAAGGAATCCAGGATGTTCACCTCTATGGGTTCTGGCACGCCCCGTAGACTTATTTTGAACAAATTCGTTGAAAGAACGACCTGGACCCGGAGAAGAGCCGTGGCAAGGGCGGCAAAAAACACAAGAAAGTGTCTGTTTTGAAATGACCGGAACAAAAGCACGGGCGGTATCATGGTTGTATAATCGAGATCCTTCCATTCAGAACCACGGGGGCTATCCCGCGCAATCGCCCAGGGCATGTACCTCAGTGCCTGCAGTTCCACCCGTGACCAGAATATGGTGATGACCGTGAGAACTGTAGCGATGAACTGTTCAGCTTTGGGACGGTTTTCCTTCCGTGACGGAACTTACCAGCAGTCGGGGCAAATCTCCAAACGTCTGTAGCGCTCAATTCCGCCCGCCCCAATCCCCTGGGTTTCTCGGAATACGATAGTAGGATCGGAAAAGCTACTGTGCAGGAGAAGAACAAGAGCAAGAAAACTCCAAGTACAGGCTGCTTCAGCCAAAGTGGGCTCCAAGTTGCAGGTTGGGGAGCTGCTGTGTCTTCTTCAGTTGGCTCGTCCTCAGAATCGCTTGGCTGCAAAAGCGTCGCACTGGAATCCCCTTGAGGAGCCTCGCGAGAAAATTCCGTCAGTTCAATCGATTTTGTCTCGCGACTTGTATCTCCTCCGAGCTGGAGGGCAAGCACGCGCCCAACTACCCGATCTGAGAGCTGGCTTTTCCTAGATGGTTTCTGCGGCTGGCGGGAAGAGCCATGGTCCTCATTCTCATTCTCTAGGAAATCGTCAGAGTTGTGCAACTGCGAATCCGCGGCGGTGTTGGGATGGTCCTGGGCGTCATTGTCCCGGATCGCCAGCAACGGCTGGTTGTCTAAATCCTGCGGCTGAGACGCCATGACGGTGCCAGAGGGATGGTCGCGCTCTCCTCAGCCCATGAGAGGATAGAAAAGACTTGGAATCAATGCTTGGTGGGCGGCCAAGAACTGAATTTTCATCCTACGAGTTCGAGGCCCATCCCCCTGCATTCAGCTGGCCATACAGGAACCAGAACTGACGGAACGCTACCAATACCCAGAGGTCTTTTTTTTAGAAGTCGCCGCCGCCTTGAATTTGCCTTATGCTCCCTTATTGCCATCGGCGAACTACCTAACCCGTAGTGGTAAATGGTTGCATGGGGGATGCAGATCCTTCGGCCCGCGACTTCGCCTGCCATCAGCACGGAGCTAATATTCAAGCTTACACTGTCGAATCATGTACATACATTAAGATGAAAGTGACACTGATAGTTTCCGTGAAATGTAGAATGCTAAAGACCTGGACGTTTGACAGTTGCTCGCTGTAATCACGTTCAGCTGGCTCTGACCATACGGGAATCAGAATTGAGGAACACCACGTGTTGCGATACTTAAGATGCATTTAGGTCAATGATTTCGGTGCAATTATTCTACTTCGACATCTTTTCTATCTCTCCTCTGCCGAAATTTGGCATATTAGCACACTGGTAATCGAGCTCCTTCTTGGTAGCCGAAAGAAGAATTCTAATCAACATAGCAACAAAGTGCAGCGTCCATACTTTATTCTTAGTCGTCAGCCATCTGGGCTCGCTTGTCCTCTCCCTCGTCAGCCAAGATCCCTCTCGGAACGACCTTCACAACTGGGTTAAATCCCACCACCTTTGCACCTTGCACGGTGCATCTGTCGAAGCATTTCACATCAAAATTGAACTCCTTTCCGTGTTTGAGATCTTCTATCCCGTTCGCAATCTGGGCAAGATAGAACTGGATCTTGCAGTCCTCATACAGGCGGCGAATATGGGGCAGTTCTCGGTCGTCCCCGTCTCTCCACTCGATCTCCTCTGCCTCGAAACCGTCATGGCGACAAAACGCGTAGGCGACGAAGATAGGACCAGTTGGGTAGCCGCGCCGATCCAGCTTGACAAGAACGCTGTATCCCGTCTCTTCCCATTCCGCGTATTTTGCAGCCTCCTCTGGAGCGTCGTCTCGAACCGCAAGCCAGTCAAAGCCAGTGCAGGCCATCAATTCTCCCAATTGGAAAAAGACATGAGGCTCCTTTCCCATGAAGTCATCACTCGTTGCGCTTCGCATCGAAACGTTGGAGCCCATGTCCGAGCCCTTGTCCGAGCTCTCTTCTGAGCTGTTGCTCTCACGACGACGCTTCTGTGGAGGCGATATTAGTTGCAAGGACTCTGGCTGGATGTCCGGTGGAGGAGAGTTGATGTCGATAGCGATGACGGCAGAATCCAATTCCATGTCTGTTGGGCCGTTCCGAAGATCGGAATTGGTGGTATCAGGCTGCAGGAAGGTAGGATCAATCGCGACGGCGTAACCTGTCAAAACGCCGCCGAAAGAACTCTCGCCAAGTAGCATGTCGGGAACTCTGCCAACCTGGAGAGTTAACGAGGTGCTGCTGACAGATTCGGGATCACGGCAATTGGTTTCTTTGATGATCTCGAGAACGTTCACGGCTGGAACGGGCTGGGCCCATCTTCGAAAGAATCTGTCCCCCCATTTGTACATGAAGACCCAGTGTTGGTGCTCGACGTTTTCTACATCTGGGAATTCATCTCGAAGCCCTTGTTCCATATTTCCGATGCCAAAATCGCGAATGCAATGGCCGCTCTGTTCCCACTCGTAGAACCGATGCTCAGCAGGAGTGAAGGTCTCTATGATTTGCTCGTCCGTCCAGTCGGGCGGGAGGTAGCCTAAAGATATGAGTTAATTTCGAGCACCATCACTCCGAGGAGAAATTCGACAAACCTTCTTCCCTCGCAGCGGCAATATCAAATCCCATGACTGCTTGTTGGCACTCGTAGAGATTGATAGATGCGTATGTCTGGTGGCAGCTGCCGCTGTGGAAATGAGCAGACTATCGCAAGAATTCGTGCCTGGATCTGAAGAACAAGGGAAGAAATGATGTGACGTCTCAACCTGAGTTGAGAGAAGTGGTCTTGCGGTGTTGATGTTAAGTGAGGAATGGCTGAGGTCCGCGGTGATGTATTTTTGAGTGCAAGAATTCTTGCCCAGACCTGAGAAACAAGGGAAGTGATGATTTGATATCTTAATCTTTGAAAGGAGTGTTCTTGCGGTGTTGAATTTAAGTGAGGAATGGCTGAGGTCCGCGATGATGTATTTCGAGTGCAAGATTTCTTGTCTAGACCTGAGAAACAAGAGAAGAGATGATTTGACGTCTCGAGTGGTCTTGCGGTGTTGATGCTAAGGGAGAAATGAGTGAGAAATGGCAGAGATACGTGGTGACGTGTTTGTGTGCAACATTCACACGTGATTCACGCGTTTCGTTTGGTGCACGAGTACCTAGTGACAGCGTACGTAACTTTCTTAGTTTCCAGCCAAGTTCAAATTCAAGAATTCTTGCATTTTACTAATCCTTTATTCTTGAAGTCACAATCTTTGCCTTGTTATTCTACGGCTATTATAGCTCGTATGAAGACCAGGATGGTCTCATTCATTTGATCAATTGCGGGAGTCCCCAACCAAACACCAAACATATATCAATCATCGTAGTTATTGGTTTTGACTACGCAATTGGTCACAATTCTTCCCTTTGACTGACGCCGACATCACGATCACGGACCCACCGGGGCTTTGTTTGTGGTGTTGTTGGTTGGAAAATCCCACCGGCACTCAGTAGGTAGTCGCCCAGAGTCTCCAGATGGAAGATGGGGAGTTACATAGGTATTTGATTGCGAAGTTTGCCTGCTGCACTTGAGGAAAGAGTGAAATTTGTAGGGTGAAGAATGTTAATGATCTGCCTCACCCAGACACTGAGCGTGGTGATTCCTAGTGAACCTCCTGGAACCTTGTGTCTACCTAGGCATTTGTACTAATCAAATTATACCGAGTGCTGAAAGATTCGTGGGTTTCGTCATTCGTAGGAGGGGGTCAAGTTGGCTGCGGTCAACATCTCACCAAGGAGCCAAAATCGAGATGCAGTCAAAACACGGTTTTTGGGTTGGTTGTGTGTTTGGTATGAATTGCCTTCATTTGATCAATTGATCGCTCATAACGAATTAGCTGTGAGAGCCCACAAATGCACTTTTCAAAGCATCACTAAAAAAATTTATAATAAAATAGGTACAAAAGGTCGTAAGTCATTTTCTCTGAGTCTACGGCCAAAGGCTGGCTTTGATGCTTAGTAACGAAGGCAGCCTCTCAATACTAATCGAATTATAAGACCTTAAAATTACTTAGTTTTTTGTTAAGTGATTCTAAGATCGTACTTTTGCTTGCAAGCTTATTTTCTAAGCATTACGAGCACTCGTAAGCTTTGGTGACCCCTACTTGTGTCCATGAGCTTACTTATTAAGTAGATTACTGGCTCGATGCCATGTACCTTAACTTGTGTGGAATCATCTGTAGGTTACTGGCTCTACTTCATTCATATTCACTTGTGCAAAGTCCACTTGCTGGGGAATCCTCTTAATCACAACAAATAACTGCTACCTTTTTGTCATTGGTGTATCTGCAATTCTTGTAAGTTCCAAGTTCTCGTGGGGCCATTACTACTTGCTATGACAACTGCTCCCACAAGCGACTGACATGAAACATGGCGCACCCACCCTGATGTCAAAAGGGCTTCAGTGTCCATGTTTTATTATAGCCACCTGTCTTACAAGAACATCAAGTCGGAGAGTTCAGGATAAGAGGAAACTTTGTCATTAAGCCATAGAAGATCGACCGCGAACGTGTATTGAAAGCATCATTAGTGCGTGGCTTCATACGCCTACGCGTTAAGTAATGGCAGGTAACTAGTCTATACAAATTTGCGATATCGCTGACCAAGTCCGTCTCTGCCATAGAAGGGGAGGGGGAAGGGGGGAGGGGGGAGGGCGGGGGTGATGGACTACTTAGTTGACTCGTAGTGGTTCAGTAGCAATATCCTTTCAGTATTGTGCAAGATATTGCGACCACATTACTCATTATCTCGGGATATTGAGGAGGATATTGTGATCGTAATTACATTCCTTGGCGGGTAATGTAGTCACAATACCCACTAGTCGCAACCTCGGCGCAAGAATGTGGGCAGTTCTGGCGTTTCCCAAGTTCGAGCTTCACTGAACGAGCAACGTCGGGTTGCTAACCTCCTTCCAATCCATCGAAGTCTTACATATGTAGCAACAAGGGGTAGGTTTGACCTGGAACCATTCGAGTTGCCTGAACGCCTGGCCCTGGTGCGTATTGCAGGCACGTAGCTGCTCTGCCAATAGCCTCTTTCCCGACTCTGGGAGTGCATTCTCATCTCCCTTTAGGAGAGCTGTCCTAACATTCGAGATGGCCGTTCGGCGTTCACCATCATTCTTTCCAGCGGCGCTAGCCTCGGTGTCAAGCGCAACAAGGCGGTGATACCAGTCTCTCCAAGCCTTAATGGTGGCTTCTCCCAGACGACTATTCCGGGCATGATCTCGCAGTTGAAAAAGGTCCTCCCATTGCGTCATCCATTCTCTGGTGCAGCCAACGTGCACCAGGTCGTGCACTCTGTCCCCGTTTTCCGTCTGCCCGAGACATATGAAAATCATGTACGGCGTAACAATATTAGCGGAATTCCTAAGCTTAACAACCGGTATGTGGTCTTTGATGACGCCGCGGGCACAGATTATAGCGGCCACATCCTCCATGATAGGAGCAAGTTTCGCCTTGTCGCCTTTTGCCTCCTGGAGCTTCTGGTGGAACGCCTTCGTATTTAGCATGCACCAGAGGCGGCACTCTCGGAGAGATACGTTTGGTACTGATGATGATAGGTCGTAAGTGCCGGGGGCTTGAGCTCCAACAATAGGCTGTACTTCATTTTGGATTTTCTCAATCAACCGTGATACTGAGCTCAAGTGCTGGGTAATCCCGTGCAGCAAGTCCGCAATCTGCACTCTGTCGCTGCTTCTATCTAGATTGATGAGGCGGAATGGCTTGTAGTTGCGTCTTTGGAGAATTTCGGATAGTGACTCGAAGCGAGAGTTAGCGATGGTATAATATCGGTACAAAAGCGTCCAGAATTGGACTGGTCCGTAGGGTAGAGCGTCTTGTGTTTCTAAATCTTCCTAGGATCTAGATTCCCAAAACGATTCCACGTCAAGACGGATGCTGGTGATAAAGTTGAAGAGGCAAACAAGGTTACTGGTCACGATGTTGTTCGCCCTTTTGAAGTTGTTTCTGTCCAAGTTCGCGGGACACTCAAGATCGGGAGGAGGTGGGAGCGGAAAGTGCGTCGGATAGATTGACGGAGGGATCACAGGTCCCATGATGCTTAATTCCAGGAAAAAAGACTTCGAGGGGGATAGATCGAACAGATGAGGCAGGCGAGACCAGAGAGAGGCGCGGGACCAGAAACGGAGAGTCAAGGAAGCAAGATCAACAAGATCAACAAGATCAACAAGAGCAGCAAGAGCAGTAAGAGCAGCAAGAGCAGTAAGAGCAGCAAGAGCAGTAAGAGCAGCAAGAGCAGTAAGAGCAGCAAGAGCAGCAAGAGCAGTAAGAGTAGTAAGAGTAGCAAGAGTAGTAAGAGTAGCAAGAGACGAGGGAGCAAAGAGCAAAGAAGCAGAAGTGAAGATGGGTGAAAGTAGATGTGCTGAAGGGTCATGTGCGTGAAAAATGAAAACAACAACATGAAACCGCGGTCCAGACGTGCACCTAGATGTGTTTGGCCACTACACAAACAGAAGAGACTGCATCAAGCAATCCACTTTCTACAGTGGTAGAACCAAGAAAGCAATGTGAAATGATATGAAGTAGCAGAATTTGGTTTGTTGTCCCTTGTATTTTTGTTATCGGCCCTCAAAAATCTGATAGTACTGTTCGCAGACCTGACAATAAACAATATAATAGGCATTTTGAGTGTTCTGCGTAAAAGTGGAATGCCAAACTGTCTACATGGACTTAGGTACTTAGTGCCCAGTAACCTACGAATGAGCACCATATTAGGATTTCTCGAGACCAGCTTCCAGAATTCCCTCATGACAGCAGTTGTAAGGCGGGGCTGAGACGGAACCTCTGTCAAGAAAAGGCCAGTGATGATCAAGAGATATGTTCTAGTCTACACACCTACTAATGCTCAATCGACGACTAGTGGACTGAGGATGGATAATGCCTTGACCGTGGGGGCGGGGGCCATCCTGGACTGGGGTCTTTCTGTGTAATTACTTACATGGGGGACAAGGGCCATCCACAGGATGCAGGACAAAGATGATCACGAGATCTACACAAATCGACAAGGTGGGCCAATATGTGCATATCCGCCTCTTTTCTTCATTTGCCGTGCCTTTCCCCCTTTTTCCCCCTGGGAAAGTTGAAGCCACGTCGTGGGCCACTGGCTGTTATTGGCCATTCCATGACGCCTTATAACTTACCGCTATTCTATGTCGCCACACTACTCTACATTTGAAATTGATCACCGGACTTGGGGGATGGCGACGATATACCAGGGTAGTACTATTGACGGGAGAGTTGGATATATTGCGAACGTTGTCCAGCTTCGTTCTAAAGACCTCTGTTCTCATGCATTTATAATCATTTATCTTTCTACCCATCTTCCAGTTAGTTAGTGATTACTAGCTAGCGGTTCCAATATGCCCCCCGGTACAGCTCCCAAGCGCTCCTACTCTCGTACAGATGCCGCTGTGCGGGTAGAGTATCCAAAAGACCATGAGCTTCCCGCAAGTCATCCGGTAGATGGACAGGGAGGCCAGTTCTCAAAGCCAACGTTAGCATCGCTCTCTCTGGAGGATAAGGTCATTGTCATTACTGGAGGAGCCAGAGGTCTTGGACTAGTCATGGGCCAGGGTGTTGTTTACTCTGGCGCCTCCCTGGCAATTGTCGACTTGAACAGTAAGTCGTGTTTCGCTCTGGTCATCGATTGCCGGTCACGATCTTCTTTACTGACCAACATCATAGAAGAGGATGCTCAGTCTCAGGTCGGGCAACTCATTGATGCATTTAAGAAAGAGAATCCCGGACGTGACAAGTAAGCAGGCCACATGACCAAATCGGCATTGACGAAGTAGGCGTTTCTCACATGAAGGACATTTGATCAGGATTCCCAAAGTCACTGCACACTATGCCGATGTATCCGACCAAGCATCAGTAGACAACTGCGTCGCCGAGATCCTTCGTGAACACGAAAGAATAGATGGCCTGGTCACATCCGCAGGCTTCACGGAAAATTTCGATGCTATCCATTACCCGATTGAGCGCATGCGCAAGCTTTGGGGCGTCAACGTGGATGGTACCTACCTCTTTGCTGTAGCTGTTGCCAAACATCTCATGGAGCGTAAATCCAAGGGCAGCATTGTGTTCATTGGCAGCATGTCGGGTTCGATTGTCAACGTCCCCCAACCACAAGCGTAAGTCAGCATGAACCCACAACGTCACTTCCCGATGACGGGATTTATGTCATCTAACTCAAACGAACTACGCAGTCCCTACAACGCTGCAAAGGCAGCTGTTCGGCATCTTGCAGCCTCTCTCGCTGTTGAGTGGGCACATGCGAACATTCGAGTCAACTGTATCTCTCCCGGTTACATGCTAACGGCTTTGTAAGTGAAGGCTTGGTTGTTTCTTGTGGCTTTGTCTAATTAGCTATTAGGACACAAAAAATTCTGAATGATAACCCGGACCTGAAAAAGACATGGGAATCGCTCATTCCACAGGGAAGAATGGGCAACCCTGAAGATCTCATGGGTCCGGTCACTTTCCTGCTCTCTGATGCGTCGTCATATGTAACAGGATCGGATCTTCGGGTGGATGGGGGTTACACTGTTACATAGGTGGCAAGGCTTGATTTGACAACGTGGGTTCTATCATGTAAGAACAAGGCTGAGAGTGTTTCTGTGATTCTGTGGGCGAGGACTCCATAGTTAAACATGAATGATACCATCCACTCGTTATTTTGGGCTGATAATCAGCTATTTATCCTAATTCTCGCCATCCTGGTGTTTGAGATCGATTGATGGGGAGGATTCCCTTGTTCGCGGATGCTCCGCCATCCTTAATACAAGTTAACAAAGGAAAGCCCGAAATTCTGGAAGTTTCTCAACAGCCGCGAGATGATTGGGATGAAGCTCCAATTGTCACGTTCTCGAATAAATATCCACAATTTTCATGGCTATTAGCTCTAAACGAGGTCACATTAGTTAGAATGACATTGTTGAGGTGGTTAGTTTCCATGAATCTAAAGGGGTAGGAGTAGCAGCCTTCACCGGCTTCTACATATTATTAGGTAGATTCACTATAAGAATTTCCTGAAGTTACTAGATCAAGAATGAATAAGGCTATGGCGTTAGACTCAATGAAGGTTGTGGATGAAAGGGGCTCGGGCCAATGCATCCCGCTGCATCCTCCAAGAAATTCCTTCCCAATCGCACAGCTCCGGGCTGAAATTTTCAAGTTGAAGATGTTCCTCTTTCTTTGCGTTCCCGGCATAACGTAAATAGTCTTCCTTTGTGCCAATTTGTTGTCATATTCCACATATTTTTCCACTCAGCGATTGCCTGGATGGCATTGTCGTGCTGACTTTGCACATGAGTTGCGACCATATAGAAGGAAGACCGAGTGCAATGAAATTTCGAGGGCTTATATCTCTTTATGTTGGAGAATGTGGAAAATCTCTGGATCACAGATATCGCTTTGTATGCCTCGAGCTTGTGGAGAGAAACAACCATTGTCCCACGTGGCTCAAGGCGCTCTAATCAAGAACTAGTAAAAGCACAGTATGCAACCTCACTGCCTCTTGGTTCTCTCTATTCAGGGCGGTCATGAGTTCAAAGAACCTGGCCGTCGTACAAAATCAGCCCAAATTTCTCTGTTGCTTGGAGTTGTCTTTCGATAAAACCATCGGACTCGGGTTGGGAGACTAGAATAGTACTCGTTCCCATATCAGCTACGAGCCTAGTGACGTCGAGAAGTCTACATTCAACACCTTGTGTTTGGCGTAACAGCAGTTGGTGGCCGCCGTGAGAAACTGGGAGGTTGAATGCTAGCCCTCAGCGCCGGGGACTTTCCGCAATAGAGATATCCGCCTGGGGCCATGCAGATATCTCAAGTTCGAGGCTTGCATTCACTGGTTTTTTTTAATCTGGGTTGTCGGCATTCTGACGTTGGTTTTGGAAGAAGGTATCATCTTTGGGGTTGTCCCATCCCTGAGATGAAGTAAGTTTCCAAATTCGTGGAACTGGGGTGATTCAAAGCGGCAGACCTTGCGAGGGAGGTCAGTAACGTCACCGAATTCTGGAATCCTCTCTAAATAATAATAGTAATAATAAATTTATTGAGCAACTATTAGGTAATATTGTCTGCTTGCTGTTGTACAATAGGAAGCATCATGAGGTGACTGACTGCCACAATAATCCTAATAAGCCGAGATCGCTTGCAAAGCGGTTTGCTTAATCCACCGTGTCTTTTGTTGATGTGCGGCGGCTGAACGCGTCTAGGTGCACGTCTGAGACGCGTGTATTACGTATTATTGTTTTTTCTTTCACTTTCCGCTCACATGACCCTTCACTCTTCCTCGCTTCTTCCCATCCTCACTTTCTCACTTCTCTTCCTCACTTCTTCACATCCTCACTTCTTCACATCCTCACTTCTTCACATCCTCACTTCTTCACATCCTCACTTCTTCACATCCTCACTTCTTCACATCCTCACTTCTTCACTTCTTCACTTCTTCACTTCAAGGCATTTCTCTCCCTCTTCAAGCCAGGATACACACAAACCTCGACTACTCCCGATATCCTCCATTCCTTGTACCTTCAATATCTCGACGTGGAATCAGCAACCATGGAATCAGGAATCACGGGGCCGGTTACGCCCCCATCGACTTACTCGACCAAGTTTGAGCTCCCACTCCCTAAACGAGTCGAGCTTGAGTTGTCAACTGAAACACCAGAGAGGGCAAAGAAGACTATTGCCGAGAATCTGGTTTGCTTGTTTAACTTCACAACGAGCATCCGCCTCGACGCCCATTTCTTTTTGGGTTTCCGAATATAGGAGAATTTGAAACCCCAGAGTGAACTTCCCTATGGACCAGTACAATTCTGGAAGCTGCTCTCGCGTTATTACACAATCGCGAGGTCTCGGTTGGAAGAAGTTTGTGGAATTCTCGCCAGAGAGACCGAAGAGCCAATCCAACTCATCCTGGACGCAAAAAGTGACGAAGTCACGATTCCACTCTTGGTGCAAGAGATCAATGAAAATTTGGATCTGGTGTTACAAATTGTTGTGGAAATTGAAAAGGAAGTCCTGCCCTCCCTTGGAGTGGACGTCACTCTCGATCTCTCATCGCTGGCCCCAACCCTGCCCTCCCCTGGAGTAGACGTCTCTCCTGATCTTTCCTCAGTCGTCACAAACATATCCCTCCACGAGTGCCGTTTGTGGCCATTTCTGAACACCAAGGAGTTCCACCAGAAGCTCCAGGAGGCAAAAGGCGAGAAGGCGAAACTTTCTCCTACTAGGGAGGATGTGGCTGCTGTGATTTCCGCCCGCCATATCATGGGAAACCCACCCCTGGTTGTGAAGCTTAAACGCTCCTAGGGCGGTAACATGGTCACGCCATACATGCTCTTCATCTGCCTCTTGTAGAACAAAGATGAAAAAAAAAACTTCACAACCTGGTGCACATTGGTTGCACCAAGGAGTGGATGCTTCAGTGGGACTCACTGTACAAGCTTCGCGACGCAGCCAGAATGATCGAATCGGGGCTGCAAGCATCAAGGCCTGGAAAGATTGGTACCTTCCCGAGTCCGGAAAGAGCCTGCTCGGAGAGACGCTGCGTGCATGCAGCAATCATTTAGACAACTAGAACGGGCCCAGGTTGATGACTTCCCTTGCTGCTATTTCTGCAAGACTACTCAGGCTTGGAACGAGGTTACAGATCCCAAGATCCTCGAAGCGGCCAACATCAAGCTGGGACAACGACAACAATGCCTACACTCTTGCGCCGAGGTTGCCGCGAGTGGGTATTGCGACTACATCACCCATCGAGGAAATAATTGAAGCCTATCCTACACAGGCTGAAATCAAGCAATGGCGTGGGCGGCCAAAAAACCAAGGACTGCAAAGTCACCTCAATAGAATTCTTGTGGCAGTCAGTTATATCGTAATACTTCCTGTTGTATAATAGCAAGCAGATAATGTTGCCCAATAGTTGCTCAATAATTTTGTTATTACCATTGTTATTAATTATTTTCTGACCATATCGTGGCTTGAATTGGAAAGTTGAGATTAAGACACTTTTACAGTCCCTGTTATTCTGACGCCCACTTACCAGCATATACCAGTGCCACATCTGTCATTTTTCAAACAGCCTCTGCGGCAGTTGATCAATTAAATAGCAAAATCATTCATTGTGCCGGGGTGCCCTTCATATCATTAGCTCGCGATGCGTAAATGCTGGCCTCTTGTAGATGCTTTCAATAGTGTAATTGGCTGATATTTGCACGGTGCCTGAGTGAGATTAAATTGGGATCAGGTAGAGGCAGTCGAATTCATTTTACGTCAAAGGGCCGGAGCTTCATCTGGGTTGCCTATCGCTGAAACATAATATATAGGGGACTATTGCTAAGTTCTAAAACCTAGCCAAACCAGCTTGTTCATATCTTGCACGAAATTAGTTGGGGTGGAGATGAAGGTGAACACCGTTCACGTAATTTACCACCGCACGATTGCAATAGAAAGATCCTTATTGAGATAGAAATTTATATTTAAACCAATTTCTAAAAAGATAACTAGATCATTGTTCGTGGGTACTCTTTCTGCTCCTTACAAGATAGAACTGTTAATACTCTATACTTGCTTCTCTATACGAAAACCAGTTGTTCTGTATACCACATCCAGAGGTCACTTGGGCGCATCCACTCAACCTCTTCACGCGCTAGCACCTCCTTCGCCATGGCGTATTGTTTCGATCTTGTGTATCTCAACGCTTCCTCCGCTGCCTTCAATAGCCGCGGGGAATCAGGCTCCTCACGAACCGGGTGGTCACGAGGCTGTGATAGGTCTCTGACGATTTTGTCAAAGAGGATAGCTGCCGTGTTCTTATCCCTTTCCGGCCCCCTACGCCTGATCATATCAGCCAAATCCAGACGCATCCACAAAAGACATAAGTTATTCTGCTCTGGCTCAGTTTGAATCAAGACCCCCATGAGCGTGGCCATACCCTCGGCATATGAACCACCCGCGGCCAAGAGAAGCCCCTTTAAGTGTGACACTTGACAAGATCGCTGAAAATGGGAGGCAAGACACCCATTTCGTTCCAACTCTTCAACGCTCTTCCAGGCGTGATCTCCCATACCAAGCTTATGGTATATCTTGGCTAAGAGAATTTCCGCGTCCAATCTCGATATGTCAGTCAGCGAACGAGATGCGCGAATGACGGGAAGGCTCTCCTCCACAAGCAAGAACGCCTCCTTCGATCGATCCACGAACATGAGCAAGTCTGCCAATCCTATCCGAATATTGATGGCAAACTCATCGTGTGGCCCCTCGTCCTCGAGCCGTTTCTGCAAGCAATCCTTCCATATCCGCAATGCAGATTCGACATCACCAAGTTGTGCCAAACTCCGCCCATACCATAGCTTAGCAGCAATGTATGACCAGCTGTCGGGACCCTGCGTGTTCAAAAACCCTTTCACTGTTGAATTGAATATTACCAATGAGGCTTCAAGATTTGCCATGAAGTACTGGCTTTCACCGCAGTAATGTTGGGCATTGATGAACTGTATGCTCTGCTCCCCGAAGATTTCCTTCTGCAGTGGCATAAGCGCAGAGTATATATCAAGGGCTTCTTGCATTTTACCAGTCCGGAGGAATGAAAAAGCGATAGTCGATTTGTTCCTCAATACAACTGGATGATTAAGGGGTAAGTTCTTCTTCAAGAACGAGGAAATAATGCCAAGAAGATAATCGTGCTCCCGTATCAATCCAAGATGCAGGTAGTGCCCACAGAGACTAATACGAGCGAGGCATTGGTGGAATGGCGCTGAAGTTTTGCAGGCTTCCACTAGTTGCGAGTATGAAGACTCGTAGCAATGCTCTAAATCTAGCCAGGTACGCTGACGGCTTGAAAGTTGTTGCTTCCACATCTTCAATCGATCTAGAGGACCTGTGACCCCTATCAACGCCCCGAAAGCGGTTGTACTGTACTCGCACCAGTGGGTGAATTGTAAACCAAACAAGAATTTCCTGACAGCAGCTATGAGCTGGTCGCTTGGCTGCTCTGCCTTGCAAAGATGCACGTGCCAATATTTGGCGGCATAGTTGTAGAAGTCTTGGCCGGTGCCGAGGACTAAATCAACTGAGTCCCCGGAAGGATCGTGGTTTCTTTTCAAGTAAGTTAAAATCCCTTGCAACTCTGCATGTTCTTGTCTTTGAAGCACATCCATACAAAACTCGGCGATAGTGCTGTGAGGATCGGAAATTGAATAGCCAAGTGATAGAACTTCTGTGGCTGATTGTCTGGACTCGATGAACTCTCTAGCAGAGGGGTGAGAGAATTGAACACAGTCTCCCTGTACTGAGATAATAGGTCGGCATATACGAGAAATGATGTCGCCAGCTCGGTTTTCCGGAAGTCCCAATGCATCCCTGAGCTCCAGTACGCTGAGAACTCTCTGGGCGTGAAGCATGATGGTGAAGATGTTCTTCTGGCAATTCTTCACGTCTTCGTCGATTCCCCGAGAAACCTCTTTCAACCCTTCTGAGTAAAATTTCTCAACGGTTCGGATTGGACGATGAAGCCGCCGACGGAAGCTAGTCAGATCTGGTGCCTTGTCAAGGTGTTCGAGAAATAGCTTAGCCCACCAAAATGACCCTTGTGAGTAGAGTTTAACATGTTCCATGGTAGAAGCCTCTTCCGCGGCAAACAAACCCAGTTGCTGGTATTCCGAATGCGAAAATTTGATGATATCGGCCAGTACCAACTCGGATGATAGTTGAATCACCAGTGCGGAGTTCATAATATCAATAAACTGCGGCTCAGGTCTGGAAAAGACAACAACTCTTCCCCCAGACTTAGATAAAGCGTTATCCAAAACCTGAACAAACTCTCTAGCGCGAACTTGGGAAGAGTCATCCTTGATCAAGCATTCATCCAGGGCGTCTAAGATCAGAATGCAACCTCGTTCATTCTGTAAGAGGTGCTGCGTTGCGCCTAAAAGCTCTTCAAAGGAACATTCTTGTGGCCCTGAAGGGTGACGGTTAGCGAGCTTGGTTACGGGCCTTGAAACAGATGGCTCCATGTTCACAGATGTTCCAAGGATCTGTACCATGATAGACGAGAGGGCCGAAATGATTGTGTATTTTGATGCTAACCCAGATCGACGGAATCCGTAGAATATTGTCTTTCTTCCCGATTCATGTAGAAATTGTCGGAGGTAATGAGCCATTGTAGTTTTCCCACGGCCTATTTTATATCTCAAATTAATGCCCCATTGATTATCAATCTTAACAAGACTTTCTATATCTACGTACCTGGTAAACCTTCAACCCATAGAACTGGAGGATTCGGTCTAGAAAGCCATTTGGAGAACACAGGATGCTGAGGCAGCCATTCGCAGGTGCCCTTCACTTGTGACTGAGCAGGGGAAACTTCAGTTACTCCTTTTAGAAGCCATTTCCTTGATTGTGGTAAATGCATCGTTTCTTCATCATGATCAGGATCTCTGAAAGGATTTGACATCTTGGAACAGACGGAACACACCATATAGTTCGTGTAGAAGTTTCTCGCTGATCGAAGAGGGAAGAGTTGCCAAGTTTGCTTCACCACAGACATTAATAAATTCGGACGCTTAGACGACATATGAGAATAATCATACCTGCCAAAGCTTGTTTAGATGTCTCAGTATCCTTAGCCATGTACGATAACTGATTTTGCATTGTTATTATTCTTTCTGTGCCACACAATTAAGTTAGTGATCAAATTAGGATTATTCTTCAACGACACACCTTCCAGCCGCTGGGTAATGACAATGTCCCGATCAGTATTTTCTAGTATCCGGCAAACATCTGTTTTCATTACTTGAAATATTTCCAGCACTAACATTGACTTAGAATGTTGGCATTGCGGCGGATTGGGGACCGAGATAAAATACCTTCACGAGTAGCTAATTGATAACGTTAGTGAAAGGCGTTGACTTCGGGGCATATGATTTCTTGTTTACCCCGGGTGTTGATTTCCTTATCAACTAAATCAGATGCCTCGTTTAATTTTTTGACCTTTTGCTGAAACTCATCTCCCTTGGCTTTGAAAACGTTCGCTGCTATCTTGGCTAGAGAGTGAATGGGCTAGTCAGAGACACTCTATGTCCGGTGAAAGAAAAAGGGTAAAAGCCTCACATATCTTGCTCTGTTCGAGCCATTGAGTTGCTGATGTCAAAAAGTCTAGGATCTTAGTGTACAGCAAAACTATTGACTTCCTCACAGGATCCGAGTTTAGCAAACCATAGATCTTTGCTGTCTGCTCCCAGCGGCCTAGGTGAACCAATATCCAAACAATCCCTTCTCCGGCAATGGAGCAAGCCTTTTCCGTCTCTTCGATAATCTACATGAATGAGAAAAGTCCTCGTCGACCATTGAATCGGGTTTAAACTTACCTTAAGAAGCTTCTTCACCGATCCCAAGACCCAATTACCCATTTGGGGATTGAATTGGGTAAAGATATCAATAATACTGGCATGCCCATCGAGTAACCGAAGTATCCTCCAAAGAGTGGTACCAAATGGGCCTTGTTCCTTGTTCAAACCATTGGATACCCGGTATGCAGTAACTGCAAGAGAGTTGACGTCTATCTCATCAAATGGAGTGTCTTCGATGTTGATGAATCTCTTGTCCCCAACCCCTTTTTCAAGACAGTCATTGTGTTGCTTTCATTGTATGAGCTTAGTTGATATGATACTGCGTGAATAGATTCTCCAATAAGAAGCACTCATTAGGCGTACCTTGACGGCCTCCTTCCATAGCAGAGCACCTATCTGTTGGGCTCTGCTCATCTCAACGATCGACATCATGGGTAGCTTGGTGCAATGATGAGCATGCTTCCGGTTTGTCCTCGACTCATGTTGCACAGATCATACTATACATAATTATACCATATACAATGCGTTAAGACATGCCAACTCATACAAGTGTGTGGGGTTACTCTCTATACGACTCTTGTGCTAATTATTGCGGATATCGTTGCTGCCTCACGGTGTGGCCGCCTCACGCCTTGCAGGTGGCGAAGGGTTGCTATCATAGGTACTTGGAACTCTCGCTGTGGTTGACATTTGGGCAAGGTGGAACCTTCCCGATCGGGCACAAAAGTATTGTGGTTTACAGGTGCCACGTCGACAGCCGTTTCGGTGCGTTCTGCAAGAAACCTCGCCACCATAGTTGAACCATCCCTCGGATTCGATGCACCGGGACCGCCGACATAGAAGACTAGAGCACGTGGCTCATGATTCTTATTGTCTCCATGTACATCTGCAGCTCATTTATTTATTGTCCGCGATTCCTTTGCATCCGAAAGCGGTCACCTTGGTTCTGCAATACACGCATCACAGCATTCGGGTGGTTATAGACAGGGTCATCCCCCCGGTTGTTTACTCTCAATCATCGATCATCTATGATGAACGATGTATCATACCACGTCAAAAGATATGGCACTACGACAGGATGATGTGAGACCAGCTCTTGGGCCAGATAGTCCCAAACCAATTCCCCCAGTCCCTGACCCAAGCCCTCCAGACCCTGACCCAAGCCCGCCGAGGCCTCAACCAGATGTAAGTTGATCATTCAGCGAGTGTGTGGTGTGTCTCTATGTCTCACTGAGATCAAGTGCCGTTCAGATACATGCTACATCGGCCTAGGCAATATCAAGTCAGAATTTCCTAGTCTCACAGTTCTGCCTCGTCCGGAGCCTAGCCAAGACAGCGCTGCCGAACACGCTCTCTGGGAGGCTGAATTCGAGCAATGGGGTGGCCTCCAATGCGGCTGTGGAAATGGATATTTTTGCCGTGAGCATGGAGACTGGATCTCAGGTGGCGAGGTTCTGCACGGGCACGCATTGCCTCGTGGCGATCAGAAGAATGGTTGCTGCCCAACGCATCACTATCAAGGTATGATGGGCATAACCTCCATGCTGCATTAACCGATGATGGAAATAAAAGCTAAACAATCTCACGTGTTAGGCCCTGGTGACAGAGACAGCTACGTTGGCCAGAGGGACGGGGCTCATCCTTGTGATGCAGTAGACGAGCAGTGCTGCGCTGGGTGCCTCGAGGATTGAAAATGTGCATCTTTTCTTTCCGGATTTCCTTTTTTTGTACGGTAGATGCCTATCTGCCTTTTCTCACTTTCGTTAATCAGGTTTTAGTGCTTACCCGAAGCAAAGCTGCAAGAATTGGGTGAGAAATTTTATTGATTGGCTGAAGCCTGGTCATGAGACCATGCTGGAAGACTGCTACGTATGCATGTATGAAGCCTCATTCCCATGGGGTAGTATCCAGCCTACACCGGTGCCACGACTCGTCTATCATTCCCCAAACGGCCATTGCGGTCAGTAGTCATTAGGTATCAAAATCACACATTGTGCCGGGGTGCTCCCAACCATTCTCTAATCAGGCGCATATGTGGTTCGCAAAGCAATATTATAAGAAGATAGAAGTTGAAGGTAGCCCTAAGTAAATTAGCCATGAGTCATTGCCTACCTATGCTTTGGTAGGCTCCAGCAATTCGGAGCTGTGGTCGTACGAGGATAGAAGCCATATATCGCGTATAAGGGTAATTTTATTCAACTATCAAGTCTGATTTTTGTGTACCAGCCTCAAGCGAGATATTCCTAGACTGAGACACACCTATTCTAGTAGAGGGGATCTGGCATCTTCTCGTCTCCGCCCCTGATTCCGCTTGCATCTCCGCCTATCCAGGCTCGAAATAAATGCATAAAACGTGGTCCGTCCATAATGATAAGTGAGAAGGCTCTTCCGATCCCGTCGCAGCCGCCTCCGAGGGGGCGGCATGCTCCCTCGAGAAGAACTTCCCTCCACACCGCTCTACTGCTAGCCACCACAATTGCGGCCAGCTACTCCATTTGGGCACGATTATGGGCTCATACATTGCCTTGCTATAATATAATTCGGGTTCTGAGTACGGGGCCGTCTCAATTCTATTCTTCTTATGGTCAATTCCCTATTCAAAGCGACCCTTTCCAGTTCATCCCTTGCACCAACGCCTCCCTGCTACCCTCCCTTAATGACACCAACCCACGTCAATCATGGGCTGCCTCGTTCGACCCTGACCCTTCACATTGGAGCTGGGGCACAACGAGCCAGAACAACGGCGACGTTGACGGCCAGGAAGACGCTCATGCTAGCCGTGGCATATACCTGTGCGGGTATCTCGACCTGCCACTGAACGCGTTGAATGATTCGGACAATCGCATTGTGCGGATTGCCATCACCAAGTATCAAGTGTCAGGCCTTGTGCCCGTGGGCCGCCAAGCTGGAATATTCAACGATGTGAATGCACCTGCAAAGCGCAAGTCAGAACGGACAATCATCATCGAGCCAGGCGGCCCTGGTGCCAGCGGGACTGGCGAACTCTGGCACGCTGGCGAAGTAATTTCTCAGCGATATAGCAACGGCAAGTATGACGTCCTGGGCTGGGACCCTCGAGGCGTCAACGCTTCCCTTCCGTCCTTTTCATGCTACCCACACTTTGCCTTTCGGGATCGATGGTCCTTCTTCAAGGGCCAGTATCGCGCGGAAGTGGCCTCCCCTATGCAGCATCTCAAAATTTATGATGCCATGAACAATGCTACATTTTATGCTTGCCACCAAATCCATGGTGACTTTGGCCGTTTTGTTGACACAACTTTCTCCGCAAGAGACTTGGAGGAAATTCGCAGAAATCTCGGCGAAGATCAAGTTACAGGCTATTTTATCAGCTATGGAGCAGCCATCGGTGTCGTCTATGCCAATCTGTTCCCTGACAGGGTCGGACGGATACTCTTAGACGCAGCTCAATACGTCAGAGACCAACGGAAACTCGGAGGCTATGCCTCATCATCGCTTTATAACGTAGTCGACACCTGGCGTGACGGGTTCCTGAAAGAATGCCTCGAGGCCGGGCCTAATCACTGCGCGCTTGCCACGCCAGTTGCCGAATCGTCAGGGCCTACTACACTCGAGGAGCTTGAAGTTCGCATGCAGCTTCTCTTCAAGTCTTTGATTGAACAGCCTCTGTCCGGGTACTCGCCGATTTCTGGGCCAGCTATTGTTACATACTCACAAGTCGTCTTTTGGATTTACATATGCATGTATGAGCCAAAAAGATGGCCACTCACCGCTCAGATCCTTCGTGAGCTAGAGGCTGGCGATGCTACTCTGGCAATATCCAATTTCGAGGGACGCTGGTACAACAACACATATACGGGACGTAAGGAGTCCTCTGAAGAATTGTTCTTCATGGTTGTGTGCGCTGATGCGTTCGACGACCCACCGCCTCAGGACGGCCTTGGCTGGTGGGATGAGTTCTGGCAAAACGCCTCAGATCATTCCTGGATCGCGGGCAGCTTCCGGTTCACGGAGGTCTTCGCTTGCCGGCACTACCAGACCTACTGGCCTAACCCGCCAGGAGTGTACCGGGGCGATCTGAATCACACATTGAGCAATCGGGTCCTGGTCATCTCGGGCACGCATGATCCTGCAACCCCCTTGAAGAACGGCCGAGATCTGGTGGCGGAGATGGGTGACAACGCTCGCTTGATTGTTCACCACGGGTATGGACATGTTTCAGGTTCAGATCCATCGGATTGCACGGATGGCCTTGGGAAGGACTACATTCTCCATGGCACTCTGCCAAAAGAGGAAGAGACGCACTGCTTCCCGAATCACAAGCCATATGTGTAGGGTGCTGGGGTTTCTTAGAAAAGCATCCCTAGCCGGTCAGTCAAATTCTCATGTGTTCACCTTGTGATTCTAACCTGCCCCAAAGGTGACTTCAGATGCGTCTAGCATTTGTGGTCGGATCTGCTCGGTGAGATGCTCGTTGAACCCGCTAGCTAAGATAGTTGACTATGGTATGGAAAGCATGGACGGAGTGACAAGTTGCATACATGTGCGGAAGGTTTATTTATTCAGAGATGTCAGTCGCGGTTGTGATGACTTCACTAAGATACATCGCTGTCTTCACCGCAGATATGAAGTATCAAAGAATCCCAAGGCGAAGCAAGCTGAAATACCCCATTTGTCGCAAAGATTGATATATAAACATAGCTCTATTAGTATTAGAATAGTGCTCTAATAATGCATTGAACAGGTTACTTCTTTAGACTAGCGAGAATTTCCTGAACGTTGGCAAATTGAAATTCCTCCATGGTCTCCTTCCACAAGCGTTCCGCGACCTTCTCTCCACTATATGTATAAACCAAAGGCGCCATACTAGATGCATTCACGTCAGTCTTACTAGGATCGAAGCAGAGAAAGTGTATGGGATCGGGGAACGTACGGTTTTACACGCTGCTGCGACAGATACTGGCCATGTGACTCTGAACCGTGCTTGACAGCGGCATCAGTAATGTGACGGGCGCCTACCGAGGAGGTATAGCCGATCCTGCGCTGGAACATAGCGACAGTCTTGCCCAAAACACCAACTGCAGCGTGTCGATCGAGCTCCGAGTCATGTACCATGCCTGGGGTTGCAACATTGATGACTGCAACAGATGCAGGAACAAGAGGCTCCAACTTGTGAAGGAACAGCTGGTAGAGCAGCTTGGTCACAAAGTGCCGGTCGGTAAAGTTCCAGCCGTCCGGCTTATCGAGGGCAGGCAGGAGTGGATCGTTATCCTGCTCTGCGAACTTCGTCCAGGCGGCGACATCGGATCCTGTAACGGTGATACGGGCGGGCTGGCTTTCAGGTTTATCCTTGATAACGCCGGCCATGAGGATGGTCAGCAACGCCGTGCCGAGGTAGTTGACCTGGACGGACTCATCGTGGCCCGTCTTAGGGTTGAGAGTCTGCTTGACAGGCATAATAGCGGCGTTTAGGACAACAATATCGATTCGCTCGAGTGATCTTGTACGTTGGGTAAACGCGATTATTGAGTCGTACGACGAGTAGTCGAGTAGCCATACCTCGATGGCATTTTCGGGGAGGGACCTGCCCCTGGAGAGTTCGGAGACGGCGGCGTTGCCTTTTTGTTCGTTGCGTACGGCGAGGATGAGCTTCGTGAGACCAAGGTCGAGGAGCTGGCGGGAGGTCTCGAGGCCAATGCCTGAGCTGGAGCCGGTGACGATGGCTGTCTTTCCATCAAGTTTGACACCAGTTACGATGGACGGGGTGTAAAACAGTTGTCGTCTAATATAGCTCGATACACTGCCCTCGTCGGACGGGGAGACGTCGAATTCGGGGTTACTCGTCATGATCTTCCTGGAAGTTGCAACGGTTTCTCTATATGTTTGACCGAATCTCGGTAGAATAGGATGAGGTTGGACTATGGTATAGAACGAGGCTCTCTAGTAGATCAAGATAAATCATAATTAATATTAAGCTCATAGTTATAGAAAATACTGTGGAATATCGGCACGGATACATCGGATTCATGTAAGCAGCTGACAGATAACGAAGTCCACGACTTGTAGTCATCGTTGAATCATTCGCCCTAACTGAACCCAGTCCTTCGTTGTATTTGGTGGACCAATTCAGCTCCGCTCACCTAGCGATTTCCAATCTTGGAATATATACGTCATCTCCGCCTCTTTAATCTTTGGCACGGCAGTCCCATGGGGTAAGTTTCTGCTCAGGGGGATGTCGTGATGATATTGATATAGCGGACCAAAGTGGAGACTGTCTATCTGAGAACTGACAGAATGGCAATCAGGCCTTTTCTTTCTACCAGGCATAGATCCTTCATCCTGGGTATGCAAAAGTCTTCCCGCTTTCTCATTAATAGATTGAAATGAACCATATTCCTATGTCTCGCCACTTCTAGGAAACGCTCGGTGCCGAGGTTCTACGATCTATCCACAGCGGCATTTCCACTCTTCGGTATTTATTTTCTCACTAGCCGCTTCCAGGCAATGCTAAGCTAAGAAGGTGCTTAAAAAGTCCGCTCAGTAGAAGAGGCCCACTGTGGAACGCCAAGGGCCAGAAATAACAACCACTCAAGCCTGGGGTGGTCACAGCACTAAGTGAATTCCTTCTCCTCAGAAGTGGAGGAGAACAAAGAGAGGTTACCTTAGACGAGGGCTTCTTAGTCTTTACTTACTTGAGATTACCATTCTATACTAGACTCGGCAAATATGGCTAATTCAGAGATGTCTCTAATCTTATAGTGCAATAACCAGAAGCACAGAGTATAAACTTGAAATAATCGGTCATCTACATCGTATTCACAGGCAAGGTTAGATTGATGCTGAGATTACCAACCCCTGCATCCTCACTTGATTCGTATCCTTGGCAAATCAGACGGTGGTCTGGTGTCTTGTTAGTTTCATATATCTCACAGTAAGTCCACATTGCCCCAGCCCATGATGAAAGCACTCTTATTGGATGACGCTTGGATCCCTCCATTTGTTTGGATGCGATGCGGTGCCAGCCAGGTCAGTAACTAATTCTTCTCCTCTTTTGATCCTTGGGAGTTTAGAGCTACAATCAGCGACGGTTTGAATAGCTGACTTTTCCTCATTATTACTTCCCAAACATATTGTTCTCATTCCTGATTATTGAGTTCTAGATTCCGTCTAACAAATTATATTTCCATTTGCCAGTGTTATCCAACTTTAACATAGCTAGCACCACATCACATCCAAAGGGATGATGATTCGCGTCGTGGGACTAAATCGACTTGACACGTTCAACCGGCTATTCACGTCCAACATTTTCCTCAATCCCATCCTTCAAGTTCTCAACGAAGTATTTACTACTGCCACCAAGATCTGCACCAAAAGCCATTGGGCTTCGCCACTGGCCTCCACGCCCGCTTATTCCTCAAGGTATCGTCTCTATAAGTTGTCCAGCTGACAATTTCGATATTCATCGGTGTCTTTGTTCAATTGCTTAGGGACCATGACCAGCCAGTAAATATCAAACGTCACCGACAACTTGTAGGCAACTTAAGCCTCCATAATGCCCATATTTCGCAAGCAACACCCAATCTCATTCCAAAGTGTGCTAGTATTACGTCTTCATTGGCGATGAGGCAAAGTTCGCAGTGTTGGTGCCCCCAGGACGGAGCACAGCACCACCAGCTCGCTTGGTATGAGCCTCCAGATACTGCCTACATATCATGACACGTTAGAGGCTTCTAGGGAGGCTAGTATTAAGTAGTTGGGTATCCGAACCAGTGAAAGTCGCATATTCAAGAGCGACATGTGCAAGCCCTTCGGTAAAAGATGTCAGGCGGGTTGCGAGGTATTCATCAATCATGTCGATACAAATTTGGCTAATTTACATTGTCTGATGTAGGTAACACGGGTAGAGAGACTAGGTCCCTAACTATACCACTTGATTCCTGCAAGGTAAGAATTCTGCGTGGTTAGTCCTCCAAGTTCGAACTACAGGACCTTCACTCTGGCGAAGGGCATGTCAGGCTGCCTGAAGATCTTCTCTGTAGCAGCCATGCTCCTCATTACCTCCGGCAGGTCAGTGAACTCGAAATTGAGAATAAGAAGCGTCACGAAGATGCGAAGTTCCAAGGTCGCAAGTTTGCGGCCTATGTGTGTCAGCGCTTGTCGAACTGTCGGGATGGGAATATGAACTTACCAGGGCAGCCTCTGTAACCGCCACCGAACGCGAGGGATGGGATAGCATAACTATTGAACGTCTCCTTCCCTGTGTCCGGGTCCTTTGCAAGGTATCTTCTGGGTTCGAACTTATCGAGATCGTAGCCAGCTCGTCCACGGAGTCCGTCTCCATGCTTGGATACTGCAGCCCGACAGCTATCTGAGCGCTTCGCTTCATCCACGGGAGCTGGTGATCGGTTAATATGATAGTTCATGAAGATCTCGGCACCTTTAGGAATGTGGTAGCCTAGGATTGAAGTGTCCACGAGGGCTTGGCGCAGATTTCCCTTGGCTGCACCTGCAAGACGGAATCCTTCTTCGACCACGGCGTCAAGATAAGGGACATCTGTTTCGATGATAGCTTTGGCAGAAGGGGGTTCAGGGCCGGGGAATGCGGCTCGAAGGACGGTGCGCAGCTCGCTCTGGACAGCTGGATAAGCTTCCATGAACCGGACAAACCAACACAGAGTATTGGCTGTCGAATCGTGGCCCTGCAGAAAAGTTTTCAATAGTTAGCAATGGCATAGAATGAAAATTGAAGACAGATAATCAGAGTCCCGGGAGAGTCAAGGTGTTTAACATACCCCAACCAGCATAATGAAAAGCTCGTCAAGCATATTCTGGTCTTTGGTCGGATCAATCAGAGGGGCATTGTTGTTCTTCCTGGACTGGAGAACAAGACGACGAAGTACCAAGTCCAGCATACACCGGTCAGCATCACCGCTGTTCAAAGTCTCCACGTCGAGATCCTGGAATCGTTTGATAGCGGCCGCCATCAGCAGGCTAATCTCTTTGATGACGGTGGAACGGAATCTCCGATACCGGGGTGTATACGTCTCGATCTTTCCGGCCCATTTTGGAGACGGGGTGTTGGAGAGACGTGCAATAGTATCGGAGATGTAGCGCACCTCTTCCCTGAGGAAACCACCTCGTGGCGGCGTTGCGTCAAAGGGTATAGAGCCGTCGATCTCGCTCCGCAGTTTTTTGATAGAGTAGTCAATAATTCCTGCATCATCTCCTAGGATGGACACCCAGATGCCATCGAGAGTGGTGTTCTGGAGATCCTCGTCGACAGCGAATGGCTTGGCGTTGGAGACGGAGACCTTAAGACGCCAAAGCTCGACCAGCCCAAGCGTAGCCTTATGGATCCTCGGTGCCGTAGCCTTGTTCAGGAACTCGGCCGCCATAACGTCAGCCCACAGGCGCTTCTGAGCTTTGAGCTCCGGAGTTGTGAACTGGGCGAGGGAGGCCTTGGGGAACATGGGCTGGAAAATACTTAGGGCCATCGGCGCCTTGTCAAACTCCTTATTACGACGAAGCAGCAGATCCTCGATCTCTCGTGGGTCCTCAAGGATAATTAAAGGCTTTCGGATGCCAGGGAAAAGAAACTGGGCGATGGGTGTACCCAACTTCTGGGTGGTGATCGTGAACATGGAGTTGGAGAACTCATTGGTAGCAGTGATGAGGGGAACCAGATCGGGAATGTCGCCAGCCACGCGATTGGCAGAGTGCTTGTTGTGAGGAATATCTAGGTACGGCTTGGGGTAAAGGGCACGAACGACCATGATGATGATGACAGCGACAAATGGAATAGCTACCAAGCCATAGGTGGAGAATGCGTTGCTCATCATGACGGCGGGCGGCGGTTGGTCTTAACGACCCAACGCGATTTCTCGGAACGACGTTGCTTTCCGGAGTACTTTGGTATGTAAATATATTCATGAGGAAGAGCGCATTCACAGCGCGGGGATTGCAAATCACGGCGGTGGATGATGAATATAAGCAATCAGTTGGTGGCCTGTGCGGACCTATTGTGACTTTTGCACCAACAGACAATCCATGATATCGGGTCGTAAGCACTACTATCTTGCCTATTTGGGTAATTTTTTGGGTCTTCGCGTGGATCTTTCCAACGCTCATGACCGCCCTCCACCCGGCCTTGTGTCAAACGTCGTGCGAATCTCCCTTCTCAGCCGTGACGCTGCCGCTGATGGTGATCTTGTCGGTGATGCGGTTCTATGCGCGGGCAAAAATATCTGGACTTGGCATGGGTGGTTGTGAGTTGCTGAATACATTGACAGCTGTTGTAGTATATCACGCCTAAAAGATATTGACTTTGAGCTGTTTGGGTTGTCTATTTTATAAACCACATAACAACTATTGGTTGCAATGTCTAAGATATAGTGCTGTTCCGCCAGATCTCTGCGCATTCGCAGCTGCAAGGCTTTACCACTAATCAATCTATAAACCACATACTCTGAAAAGGAATTACAGAAACGAATAATTGCTTACATTGCCTAATGTCTTCTCGGTACGTATTCATGCCAACATCGCTTGGGGCTCAAAATCTGACCAGGGTGACAAAGAAATCGAGTTAACCCTGGGCACCTCTTGTACGACATGCCGATCGCCAGACTAAATATCACGGGTAGGCTTTGTACTGATCTTACGAAATGACCAAAAGCAAAGCGCGAACTCTTTCTATTTGCCTCGCCAGTTAGCTCTGCATCGCGTTTTCGTGTTTGGAAACGTATACTTAGTAGATGTAGGTTGTTAAAGGGGTCTATATAAGCACATTTCAACTACATCCTATAGATCCTCACCGAGGTGGACCAACGGGTGAATGGCCGACGGGCTTTGTATGCTGACTCTCCCACCCAGCCTTAGAATTTCTGGAAGATGAAAAGAGGGGTAAGTAGGGGTAAAAAAACAAATCGCACTACAGGCAATTCGCCTCGTTTTGTATTAGATTTTAGGAGGCTGCATTTGCCTAGGTAATATCTGAAGCGAGATACCTCATCTTGACCATACAAGACTTTGACGTCAGTGTAATACCATGTTCTCAATGATGGACCAAGATGTGGGATGCTTGGAGGACCTACGGTCCCGGGTAGGTATTTATTTTTACTAGAGGTGGCTGCTGGGGCAACGAGGGCGGGGCTGACAGGTAGCAGCACCTGCGACCACCGTTATTGACAGGGGGTCTAGCCGTACTTAGCGCTCGCAGCCCCTGTAGAGTCCCCTGAGAAAACAGACGATTTGGGAGCCCATGTGGGCAGGTACCTGCGGGCTGGCAGTAATTGGTAGCGACGGGAGGTACCGCGTCTGGTCTGTGGCGGTCGGTCGCTGCCAACGCAAAAAAAAATAGCTGATGGATCCCATCCCAAGTCCGGGTTGGCTCACCACCCAAAGAGGCCTGGCTCACTTGCCCATCCAATGCATCGTCATTGCTTTTTGTCTTCTGTCCTGCATGCTGCATCCATCGGGCAGCAACCTTGCGTTCCATTCTCCCTGCGCTGTGGCCTCGACGACCAATCCGCATATCCCTCCACCGCTGTGCTGATAGGCTGGGCGGGCCGACCTAGCCAAGATGCACCATGTCCCACGATGAATCCCATATCCAATCTGGCCGCAGCCCTACCAACGACACTCTCGATCCCACGCAGCGACCACCCACAGCGCGGCGCGTTTCCGCCGAAGATTTCAGCGCCATCCAGCTCCCAGCCCTAGTCGACGACCTGCCCGCCGCGAAGGCCGGCCTCTCGCCCCTCCGGGCACGACACGACAACTCCGCGCTCTCGCTGGCTCCGCCCATGGACCTGAAGCACGAGGATACGTCGTCCTCGGTCGCTTCCGTCGACCGAGAGCAGGAGGATGGCGGCGCCATGGTGGGAAAGAAGAGTTTTGACCATCTCGACGAGAGCTACCTCGCCGCCGAGCCCATCGAGCCTAGTAGGCTCCCCGACGACTCTTTGACCGAGGAAGCAGTGCGCGAACACCTGAGGGACGTCGAATCCAGTTTTTTACCGGCCCTGTCGCCCGTGCCTGCCGGCAAGAGGAGTATAGCCGGGGGTATCGATGATACATTTGCCTTTGATTCGCCTGTGAAGACCGATATGCCCCCCCGCGGCGCGACTCCTGAGACCCATCCGACCGACGCGAGCAACACGACATCGAATCTCGAGGGGCTTGACTCGTCGCCCACAGCAGCAGCTGCTGCCAGAACCATATCGAGGGTTGTGAGCTCCGCTAGCCAAAAGCAATCCCAGTCCCAAACCCGCACGGAGCATTTCGAACCCGCCACCATCCAAGAAAACGATGATGAGGACGTAACTGGGGCTGGCGAGGGCAACGAGAGCTCCCATGCTTCGGCATCGGGTGACCAAGAAGGCTCGCTCTCTCGCTCACACTCACTGTCGGACCGGCGAGATGCGGCTGGGAGCAACCTGAGCGGCTCCTTGCGGGTTAAAAAGGGAAAATACCTGCGCAGCCGCTACGCCAGCCAGAGATCGTCCACGTCATCCTTTGCAACAAACGCAGAATCAATCGATGGGAGCGAGATCACGGCAATGGGAGCTGCGGACTACGCTCTGCAATCGGGGGGCGCTGTACCGGCACTCGGGGCGTCATCGCGGAATTCAACAAACATCTTTACTCGATCTATCAGTGTCGGCAGTGCAATTTCTGGTTTCGACGATGTGACGGATCCTTTTGTCGGCCAGCTCGAACCCCTACCTGAGATCAACAGTCCCGTACGGCAGTCCCATGACGAGGATCTAGCCAAGACGCCCAAGGCTTCCAAGGAGAACCTCAACACGGCACCGACAGACACAGTCATTGCCCGACATGTTAGAAACGTCCAGGTTCCCGAGTCCCTGGCTAAGAAGTATCAGGTCCGGGGCGGACTTGAGACACCTCGCCAAACGTCATCCAATGTGATCAGCAGCCTGGGATTGTCGACTGTGGGCACCGGCAGGAATGGGAAGAGCTTGACTCTCAAGGAGCAAAGCAGCACAATCGAGAGGCTTTCCAAGGAGAATTTCGACCTGAAGCTCAAAGTCATGTTTTTGAGCGACCGACTTGACAAACTCTCCGAGGAGGGTATCAAGGAAATGATTTCTGAGAACGTCGACCTGAAAACCAACCTTGCGATTCTACAGCGAGACAACAAAGTACTGAGGAAGCGAGTAAAAGAGCTTGAGAAGCAGATGAAAGATGAGGACGAGCGACCAAGCACAGCACGCAGCGGAACTTCCTCCACGGACCAGACGGCGAAGATGTACGATGAGGATGCACAGGAGCGAGAGGAGGAACTGTTTTTCCTCCGAGAGCGTGTTGAAGAATACGCGACCGAGATCGAGAGACTCCGAAACGAGAACATGGCGAGCGATTACGAGAAGAGGAAGCTCACAGAAGTCGTCAGGACCCTCGGGGAGGACAGAGGCGAAGGCCTTGGCAGGCAGGAAGAAGCAGACGTTTGGAAGGACTTGCTTGAGCAAGAAACAGCAAGACGAGAACAAGCCGATGACGATAACCGCCGATTGCGAGATGAGCTTTTCCGACTCAAGCAAGAGATATCTGGCAATGGAGTCTTGCACCACACGACTAACATCTACAACATCACGAAGAAACACCGCGAACAAAATGGGTCTCTTAGCCGCCCCATGTCGAGACACTCCGCAGACACGATGGAAATGGGATCCGCCGCTAATCTAAGTGCGGGCACAACACTCGTGGATGAGTTACGGAAGGAGGCCGACCAGTTGCGTCATGAAAATGCAGAGCTCAGACGTGAAGTTGGGGCGCAAACATCAATGTTGACTTCTAGGAACAGAGAAAAGGAGCGCTTGTACCAAGAGATTGAGGATTTGAAGATGGCACAGCGTCATGGTCGACCGGCACCCTCTACTGTCGACAGCCTGCTGGATCGCTCTGCATCCCGCATCCGAGGTCATGAACGATCTCATTCAAGAAGTAGCGCCGCCCGGACGCTCATGACAACGGATGAAGAAGTGGAACGAGAGCGCGATGAGCTGGAGACCAAGCTGAACGAGGCACGTGACAAGTTGAGCGAGGTCAAGCTCCAAAACCAGGAACTACAGCGCGAGCTTGAGACGTGCATGGAAGATTTCGAGGCTGCCGTCTTGGGGAAGCGAGAGGCCGAGGATACTCTCGGAGCTTTGCAGGAGGAGCTTGAAAATGCCATGAATGACTTGGTCGCCCTCCAGTCGGAGCGAGATGATGCACTTCGTGAGCAAGCTGAGATGGAGAACGAATTCGAGGCATTGCGGATGGAGGCCCAGGAAGAGATCGACACGCTAGAGGCGGAAGCAGATCAGCGAAACGAGGAGCTGCAACGCGTCCAGATCGATTTGGCAGATCGCTCAGAGAATTTCGAAGCCTTGCAGGAAGAGATGCGAAAGATGAGCGATGCCCTGGTCGGGTTAGAGGACGAGCAAGAGAACAAGCTACGGCGTATCCAGCAACTCGAGCAGGAGCTTGAATCCGGAAATAAAGAGCTCGAGGAACTTGAGGCGAAGCTTTTGGAGTCCAACGAGAAGAATCAGCGGCTCGCAGTACAGCAAGAATCCTCGCAGGCAGAAATTGCCTTCCTACGGGAGGAACAGGAAGGCGACAAGATCCGAATTGGCGACTTGGAAGCGGCGGTTGCCAACCTGGAACAGAGTATCCGCGACGAAAAGGAACGTGCCAGAGAGCTCGATGGCCGTCTCGTGGAAGAGCGACGACAGAGCGAAATTGTTGCCAATAAGGAGAAGGAGGATGTGCAACAAATCATTAACCAACTGAACATGGAGACTTCACAGGCCAAGGACGAATCGAGACGGTTGCGTAAGAGCCTGTCGTCACGCGAGGTTGAGGCTACGGAGTGGAAGGAGAGATTGATCGAGCTGGAGAATAATTTACGAGAGGCTCTGGGTGATCTCAACGGTACTCGCTCCTCACTTCTCAAGGTCAGTTTTCCTCCGCCTGCGCCCACCCTACTTGCTCACTCCCTCGACACATATGTGCACTTGTTCAATGCGGTTTTTATTCCTGATTTTTCCGTTTGCTAATATGTGTTACAGTCTATTGCTAAGATGCAACGTGAATTGGAGAATACGGTCCGCGAATTGGACACAGCTAAGGCAGATGTGAATGAGAAGGACCGCATCATCAAGCAGCGGGATTCTCTACTCGAGTCACATGCTCTGGAGAGCCGCAAACTTTCGGAACTGCTCGAGAAGGAGCGGATCAGCCATCGAAACACCAAGGCGCACTTCGATACGTACCAGAAGACCAACCAGCATCTATCCCGGACTGCTGGTGCGCAAGACGATCGCATTGCTGAGCTTGAAACAACACGCAGCACAGATCGGCGGAAGATTGCGGTTCTTGAGCAGCAGATGCGGGCTCAGCTCGCAGAGAGGAATCAGCTGCTACTCACCTTGTGGCAAAGACTGAGCGCACTGTGCGGACGGGAGTGGTCCAACAGCAACACGCTCATCGATAGGCAGGTGTTACCATCTCTCGAGGTGATTGGCAACCGACTACCCGGGTTCTCCAAGAACCTGCTCGCCGCAGTGAAGGCGATTGAGACGATTGTTGGGTCATTCCAGACCAAGATCAAGGCTGTGGAAAGGGACCTGACGCGCGAGTACCAATCGCTCGAGGATACATTGGACATCCGAACTAAGAAGTTGGACCGACTGGAGACGATGGTGCGCAACACGGTAGCGACGGTCAGCAACAGTACCGATGTCAATGTCAGGATGATTCGGCTCGAGGACAGATGCCGTCAGCTCAAGGTGGAGAACGCGACGCTCAAGGCAGCCGCCGATGTTCGTTCCCGCGCAGCGTATTCGGCTGTGGGAACCAATCCCGAGGCGCTGATTCCTACTGGGGACGAGGTCGGGTCCCCCTCACCAAGGATCCCTCGCGGACCACTGGACAGGGATCGATACTCTTCGAGTGGGATGCTGCGGCCCGGGACGGGCGTTGACTCTCGGTCTCAGACGGCAACAAGTGGAACTGAGCTAGCGCTAGCAAGCGAGGGCAGCGGCGGTGGGAACAACAACGACAACCGATGGCTGTACCGGCTACGCGACATGGAAGACAAACTTAAGATGGAACGAGAAGCGCGTAACCAGGACCGGAGAGCAGCGAGGCAGCGTCTCGGAGGCCTAGAGTCAGAGAACAAGGAGTTACGGGAGCGCATGCGGCGGAACATGGCTGACGAGTGAAGCGAGACCCAGCAGCCATGGACTGCCAGCCAACGAGTTACCGGATGGGGATGAACTTTTTTGAGCGGCCCCTTGAGCGATCACTTATGCGGATCGGCTGCTGATTAATTGATTGATTGATTGACTTGGAAATGTATGATTATCAATAGTTTCTCCTTTGTTTCGAGCGATTGACTTTTCCTGCTACTTGGGATGGGGATGACCTTGATTGGAACGGCCGGAGTATGGAAGTTTTTGGAGCCTAAACAAGCCGAACAGTGCTGGAGAGAGAACGGGAGGATGTAAAGGGGGATAAAAGTCAATAACGTGGTGTTTCCAAGTTCTACTTAATGGCGTATATACATGCCGGTGTTTATATTTACAATACATTTTCATCTGTTGGCATTGGTACGTTCAGATCACGCAGGGGCTACGTTGTAGACTTGATCTTTACCCACCTTTGTCTCCCTTTGGATTCGGCGTCTGGCTTATGAAGCAGGTCTAAGCGGATGCTACATCATTCACAATGCATGCGGGGCTTCTCTGTCTACTGTCAAACGCTCAACCAGCCATTCGCACAAGACAGCGTCAGAGCGTTATTATAGTCAGATAATATGTGACAATACCACCCTACTCCAGGCTGTAATCTCTGCCGAGAGAGGTCGGCCCGGCGGGTTGTTGAAAAGGCCGATCCACTCGGAGACGATGCATAATGGTGATGCCTGTCTCACCGACATGGAGAAATGAACAGGGCTGGATTTGTAAGCGACTAGCTGGGTGGGTTTGGTTTTGTCATCAAGGGGATTGCTTGTTTGAAGGAATACGACGGCTGGAGCGTATTTGCCGTGTTGTTTGATTAGCGTGACGTGGCTAGAAAGGGCAGAGCTGGACGACCCTGCCTTGACCCAAGCGTCCAAGTTGGCCTTTTGGCTGGTTGCTGACAATCGATGGTGGTTGTCGATCGGGCTTGCCTGGGACGGATATGAGGTGCCGTTGCCGAGTCGTCAGGAATACTAGGTCTAGGATATGGGGATCAGCGGTGTAATGGATCAGCCTAGCGGGCTTTCTAGCCTAGCGACAGCATCGGGAACCGAGCCGCCATCTCTAATTGCCTCGTCCTTGGTCGCTGATGAGAGGGGCAGATCCGGATCTGAGACTAGTGATGGAGGGGTTGAGGGGCTGGTCTGAGACCAATCCAATTGCCGTTGAACAAGGTCTCGCCAGATGGCCTTTCCCTGGGCAAATAGCCTGCTCCATTTGTCAGCTGTGGGACCAGAAGGAGGCTCCTTCGCTTGTGCGGCCGTGGTTGGCCATCAAGGCGGGACGGGCAGGTTGCCTGATGGTTGTGCTTGGGCTCTCGCGCTTGTGCTGTGCTGTGCTGTGCTGTGCTGGATCTTCCTCTGGCGGCAGATGCTATGCTGGGGCGCGGTTTCCTTTCCTTTCGTTTCCAGACGGGGCTGTCGAGGCTGTTTGGTTGCGGGTATAATAGTTCCCCTCTTCCTCTCCCTCTTCCGCCTTCTGTTCGCTTCTCATCTCCAACCTCATCTCCATTCCACCTCAAACCAAGCAACACCAGACACCTTTACAAGTCTCCCTCCACCCACCCACAGCACAAGATGGTCTACTCCCTGTACGACGCCTCCATCGGCCAGGCCAAGAACGTCCTCGACGCCTTCCTCTCCGTCTTGGCCAAGGTCGAGGCCTCGCCCGCCGCCGCCACCATCGCCACGGCCAGGATCCACGAGAGCATGCTGCCCTTCAGCTTCCAGGTGCACTTCGCCTCCGTCGTCGCCCACAAGCTGTCCGCCCGCCTGCAGGGTCAATCCCCCCGCGACCTCGCGTACAAGGACCTCGACACGGTCGAGCAGATGCGCGCCCGCATCCTCGAGGTCAAGGCCGAGGTCGACGCCGTCAGCCGCGACGTGGTCAACACCCGCGAGACGGAGATTGTCTCGCTGGGCCTGGGACCCAACGTCCCCGAGGCGCAGGTCGAGGGCTGGCAGTACGTGCAAGGGTACGCCGTCCCCAACCTGTTCTTCCACCTGACGACCGCCTACGACATTGCGCGCAAGGAGGGTGTCGAGATTGGCAAGAGTGACTTCCTTGGTTCGTTCCTCGACAAGTATGTTGGCAAGTAGAGGAGGATGGATTATGAGAGCGAACCCGGGCGGTCTTTTGGGCTGGGAAAGTAATGAAAAGTGAAATTGAGATAAAATTTACTGCACCTTTCTGTGTTCTGCGTGATTGTGAAGTCGGCCTTGTAGTTGGGGGCTGGTTGGAAGTATACTGTGAGGTGACGTCGATGTTGTAAGCAGCCTGTCTCAGCTTACGGACTTTGGTTGTTATCAGGCATGATAGATGGATAGATGATAGGCTATCCCGACTCGAAAGAAACAGGGAATACCTAGATCTTCGGGAGAGAAAGAGGACGGTAAGGGAGGGTGATGGGGGAATGGCGAGACGACCTGGTATTTATGCCAGTCGCTGGTGGCATGGGATCGAGCACGCCATCGCCATCTTCACCACTAACGGCGCCTGCTCTAGTGGTGGTGGCCGCTGTAGTGCGCAAACTCCGGCGATAACCACAGCGCTACTCCGAGACCGAGACTCCGGACAATGCTGATTCAACCTGAGGCAGTCAATAATTGATTATCCAATTCTCCAACCACAGTCACATCTTGCAACCCCTCATTCTCCTCGCCACCTTCGCATATGCTCTCTGCTTGCTCTCAACTCCGACCCGATCATTCCAAGCGCTACCACCGACCCATCGACCCCTCCATCATCCGTCATGGCTTGGCAATGGTATATTCTCCGAGCTATCCAGTCAATGGAGGTGCGCACCCATCTACGTTTCCCTCCCTCGCTTTACCAGCTCTGCTGACATTGTACATTACAGGACCGAATCATCGAGCTCGTACGCCATCGCGCCGCCTCCTCCCCAGCTCCTTGCTCTCTTGCTAACTCCGACCCCAGATCCTCCGCCAACCAGGATTCCACCGTGCTGTCGGACGTATTCACAAAGCCGTTCACGAGCAGAAATATGGACGCACCGAGCCAGTCCAAGGCGAGGCTACAGGTACGCATGATGCCCATGATTTTACGCAAGATCCTAAGAAGCTGACTAGTACTGGGCAGCCGATCCCTCAGGGTCAAGTTTCCTGAAGCACTTCCGCGACGAGATCTCCAACCAATTCCGAGGCAAACCGACCGACGTCGGCCCCAAGAAGTGAATGACGACTCTGCGTGTCCCCGACGAACGAACCAGACGAGGCTGCCGTGGCAGGTCTTAATTGATTCAACATCACGAGCTACCTACGATTACGCTATTGGCTCTGTCGAATAGCCAGTGTGCTCAACCCCTCGCCAAATGACCGACCAATTACCCAGATAACCTTGCCATCTTACAAGAACCCAGACACCTAGTCCTCCTCCGCGGACAACACCGTCTCGATCTCACGCCTGTCCTGCCACCCTCCATCCACGAACGAAAATTCGAACAACCGAGTGCCAGCCCGCACAAGAAGTGTCCTCTCGTCCGCCATGGCCATAGCCTCGATCTCGGCCTCTTCTACCTTGTACGACACCATTGTACTGCGTGCTTCTGTCGCTGAAGTCGTGGTTTCCGCCTCGGCTCGCTTCGAGTCATCGAACCCTTCGACGAGGCGATGATCATCGATCGTGGATCCTTCCGCACTGAGAGTGAGAAATCCATGGATAGTTGGTGGAACATCAGTACTAGGATGGACCAGCGTCCAGGCAAGCTGGGTTGGGTGAGAGGAGATCTCTACCGGTTCGCCGTCTGCGTCTAAGCGGAGGGATGTCAGCAAGAAATCATGTTCAGACAGAGCACTCGAGGACCACGTACTCGTGAAAACACCCTCCAACCATCGGCACTCGCTTTGCGCATTACTGCTCTTGGACGAATTACCGATCAAGCATTCTGCGACAAGTGCTTCATTCTCGCCCTCCATTAAAACATACACTCCCACGACGCCAATCTTGTTTCGATTGTTGGCGTTGCCTAGAGGGACACCGCTCGCTATCGATAGCCCGATGGCGCTCCATCCGTCGGTATCAAGATTCAACAGCTGTGTTACATCGACGATCTCTTCATCCGACTCGGGATCCTCATTTCCATCTCCGAGAATGAGCATACATATCTTATTTTTGGGGCTTTGAAATCCAAGCACAACAGCCTGTGTTCCATTTCCGCTCTGATGCCATGTGGCCGACAGGGACGAGTCACCGGTCACATTGACCCGCTGCCCTCTTGACTCCCACTCACCTGCTTCCCGCTGCACAAGATGGGACACTGAGGTTGCTTCGTCCCCGCCCTCATCCCCATCGCTTGCAATATAGAAGACGTGGATCGCGCCGCTATCATCAGCGGCGGCGGCGAGATGGGTGCCGGGCCTGGCTTTGACCCCCTTCTCGGCAAGCTTATCATTGACGCGATATACTTTTGACTTGCCGTTGGCCGAGTCACGGGCGATGATATTTGTATCCTCATCTTGCCAGACGATGAGTCTTCGGTGCAGGTTGGATGGGCCAATTTTCACATCGACCGCCGCAAGATTAGAGGTATTGGAGAGAGAGTGAGGTAGTAGGCTGGGGCTGGGTGATGATGAAGATGTTTGAGTAGAGGATGAGGAAGTGGATGTGCTCGAGGTTGTTTTGGAGGATGTTTCTGAGCTTGACGACACGGAGGTGGTTGATTCGTCTGCGGTGACGGTCACCACCTCGGTTGTGAAGATGGGAAACGGCGAAAGCATCGAGGATAGCATCTTGCCAATGTCCTGATCGGACTCTGTCTGCGTAGCCGTCAGCGTAATCACTGTTGTCTCCACCGCCTTGGACTCCTCCGACTTCGTGAATGTGACGGTGACGATCGAGGACACGATCGTCGTAGAAGGCGGCTCCGTTGTTGATGTCGTTGAAGACGAGCTGGACGCCTCTGATATACTAGAGCTTGTAGTCAGCACCGGCGGGGGCGTGCTCGCTTCGTGCTCGTCATGCTGGTGGCTGGATTTATGCCTGGATATGATGATCACGGAGGCGACGCCGGCGCTGATGGCGATGAGGAGGAGGGCGGCGAGGGCGACGGAGAGGTAGAAGCAGCGCCTGCGGCGGTACCAGGCGATGGGACGCTGGTCGTCCGCCTGGATCTGATAGAAGTGGTTGTGGATGCCGTCGTCTTCCTGGGGGTAGACCGGTGGTGAGGGGGGTTTTGGGCGTGAGGTCTCCATGATGGGTTAGAAGCTCACAAGATGGTGGGTTTATATCCATTCATTTGAAGTCGGAAGCAGGCTCTTTGGGAACGGCATTGAGAGATGGAGAGGGTTGGCGGAGAGAGTTCTGGGCAATAAAAACAGGAGGCAGGACGGGTGATAAACCTGATGTTGGACAGGATGGACTGCCATCATGGACATGGCGGTCGGTTACTGCTGAATGAAAGATGGAGCGTGGTGATTCAAATGTTTTGCGGTGTAGGGGGACAGACGAGGCTGGGGGAACCGGGCTGAATATATAGCAAGGCTGTCTGCTATTCGATGTCGCTCAGAGGACCGAATGTTTGCATATTCGACACTCATTCACGAGTCGCCACCGAGAAGTATGACACAACTGTGATCCTTCCAGCAGCAATTCAAATCAAATTCTCATTTACAGGTTTCTCATCTATCTTTTGTCTAATGCAAAGCAGTGAGTTTACAGGCCCCGTCTGTTCAGTGTTTCCAGTGTAATGCCTGCCTCTCGTTTGGTTTCGTTTTCATCCATTCTAATTCTCGGATAACTTGGTGTCGACCTCGTCAAGGAACTTCCACGCGGGGACCTCCTTGATCTCGTTGTCGGCCTGCGTCCACCACGCCGTCTCCCGGGAGAACTCGAGCAGCTTGCCCCCCGACACGGCGTAGAGCAGCCCGTCGTTGGGGGAGGCGATGCTGGTGAAGTTGGCCGTCGTCCCGTTGCCGCCGCCGCTGGATGGGAAGGTGGCCGTCTCGTTGGTGACGGCGAGGTGGCTCGTCCACTTGTTCCTGCGCCAGAGGAGCTCGGTCAGGCTGCCGTGGGAGTCGAGCACGCGGACGACGTAGCGGTCGGCGGGCCACTGGGTCTTGTCGTCGTCGTCGGTCTCGACGCGGAGGGAGGCGAGGCGGAGCGGCTTGGCCATCTCGAGGACTTGCTCTTCGGCGGCGGTGTCTGGTTCACTCTTTGTTAGCTGTCTCCTCGGGGTAGGGAATGGGGATATGCGCAGCGGGTGGGAAGCTGCTGGCCTTACCTTCCCACTGGTTTGAAACCGTGTTGCATTTGGCGAGCTCCCGCGTCTTGGTGAAGAAGCAGTCTAGGATGCCAAAGGTGGATTTGTGAGATGAGTTGTCGACGTCCCAGATGATGCGGAGACCCGGGGAGCCGCGCCGCTTGAAGGGCATGACCAGGAGGCCTGGAGACTCTGGATGCAGCTGGAGGTCAATGTCTCCGACGCCGAGGGAGAAGGAATGGGCGGTCCAGGACTGGGGGTCGTCGGGCTGGGTGCTCGTCACAAAGGCGAGGGAGTCGTTAGCCGCGTTTGTGTGGTAGACGAGGACGATGCAGCCCTCCTCCATGCCCGGCCAGTCGGAGGAGAAGGAGGTGACGGAGAGGCCGAGCGTGGTGGAAGGGATCAGGTCTGGCTGCGAGCTGACGACGAGGGAGCCGCGCTCCCAGGAGACGGGCTCCTTGTTCTTGACGCGGCGGACGATGTGGGCAGGGCGCAGGGCGTCGTCGAAGTAGAAGACGTGCAGATCGCCGCTGGGGCCGAGGGTGACGGTGTGGAAGGGGGAGTGCTCCATGGGCTTGGGGGGCTTTGCGTCGCCGAAGCGGTTCTTGAGGAGGTAGACGTCGCCCTTGGAGCCCTGCCACTCGATGGCGGCGAGCTCGCCATCATCGTTCTGGAAGAGGACGAGCGTGAAGCTGGAGACCGAGGTGCCGACGACTGCGGCAGCGAGCTGGGAGGTGGCACGGATCTCGACGTTGGAGTCGCCGTCCAGACTGTGTTCTTGGGCCGATGCATCTGAGGTGCCCGAGTCCTTCTGCTGCAAGACGCCGCTACCAAATAGTCCACCAAGGACAGCGCCAGTGACGAGCAGCAGAATGAGGATTGGGACCACAAAGTAAGCGAAGCGGCGGTTGACAGGTTTGGAGGGTAAGATCTGGCTGAGACGCTCTCGGGCGCTGGATGCTGTCTGGCGGCCAGTTCGGTTGGCGCTTCCCTCCAAGTCTTCGTCCTGGTCTTTATCATCGTGATGGAAGTACGACGGAGGCTGCGTCACCAGCTCAGGCAGGTTGTCAACGTCCACGAGAGGCTGGCGGTATGCAGGCTTTGGCCAGCCAGCTGGGTAGGCGTTGGGGCTGCTCATGTATGGCCCGGGAGAGGCGACCGGCTGGGCATTGGGATGGTTTGTAGGGTAGTTTGAGTGATAAGTAGAGCTTTCAGCATGACTGGCATAGGTCTGGTTTGTGTGCTGAATAGACTCGCCCACGGAATAGATGTTGTTGTGATTTGCGTCATGGCCAGAACTGCCACCGGGATGGGCATTGGGATGGCTGATGCGATTCGCAGAGTCGCCACCTGGAACTAGGCTCGAAGGGTGTCCATTAGGATCATCCCGAGGGGAAGAAGGAGGCGGGGACGAGGCTTGTTGGTTTGGACCAGAAAACTCCATGGTGTTGCCAGTTTCAGCGAGTGGCAGCTGGGAGAGGAGGATGATGGGGATGACGAGCAGTGATTATGAGCAGAGTCGTTTGAACAGAGAAAGGTGTTTGGTTTCAGCCAAAGGATAGAGGATAGAAAAGAAAAAAATCAAGATGAGCAAGAAGAAGAGTGTGATTGGGGAGAAAAGAATTGCGCGCTGCATGTGCGTGTTGTGTTGTGGTGTGAGCTGAGGGCTTGGTGAGCGATGAATCGGAGGCGGCCAGCTGCAGGCGGCTGGGAGCCTCTGGCCAGAACGGAAACGATTCACTGGCATTAATGTTCGTGCCAGACAATAGGCCGGACGCATGCCTGCTTAGCCGTGTTTACTTGACCGAACAATATAGCAGAATAGGGAACAACCACATGCACTTGGAGTGTGGGCGGCCGCGTGCAGTTGGGGCATTGGGCTGGCATTCTGGAAATGGGAACACAAAAATTGAGCTTCGGGGGGCACAGATATTATTATCCGTTTGAATACGACCTGATTACGAGGCTCTGCGCTTTGCAATGGCCAATCCAGACGGACGGCCTGCCGCTCGGCGGTGGCAGGCTGCATGTCTCTTGGTCCATGCAGGATTCAAAGGAGGAGAGTGGCCAGAGATGAGGCTCACGGCAGCAGCGTCTCCCACGTGCATGTGCTCGCTTGTCTTGACCCGATTCGACCCAGTGGGCCATCTCCATCTCCCTCGACCTCTATTCTGCTTCTCTGCTCGTGTCACGTCTTCTGTCCGACGGTGGAGCATCTCAGCACATGGCATGAACTGGGTATCACGCCCCCTTGTTGAGCCTCAGATTTGGAAGTGAAGATATATTGAGAGTAATAGTCACGGTGGGGAGCAATCAATAACTACTATGTCATGTATTATCCACATCTTGTGTTGATTGTTCACTTTCTCCATTGATGCAATGAGTGGTGATGATCTCAGTGCCCCATTTCTAGTGTCCTCTGATTGGCTGAGATAAGAGAGCAGACTGTGGCCCAAAGAGGAAGCCAGGTGAGTGACTAAGCATGTGCATGTGATCGACGGGCGGGTACCTGAGAATAGCAGGGCTTTGCACCGAGCACCAGGTACCTGCCTTAACGGGGCCAAGGTGTGTAATGAATTGACCGGGGTCTGAAAACAACACAAGCTCCAGCGACTGGCTGCTGATGGCTTCATTCGTCTAGAAACACGACAGCTCACTGCACCGCCGCACGGCAAGGACAAGACAACAATGGCCTTGACCCTTTGCCATAGTCTCTGGGAAGTGTAGTTGTCTCTTTGTTTCTCCAGGCAGTGCTATCTCTCGTACCAATTGATCCACCTAGAGTGTTCGCAGAAGTGAAGCAGCAAGATGTGAATCAGCTGCCTGCATCATCACCTTGAGTAGCTGCCCTCATCCGCAACGACGACCCCAGACGCAGCATATCGCAGTATTCGACATGTCTGCTCAGCCTAATTCAAATTCTGTCGCCAGCCCCGGCCGTCGTGTCAAGTTCGTGGCCGTCGACACGACCCGGGGAGGCTTACCAGTCAAGCGGAAACAAGTCCAGCATGCCTGCGACTCCTGCCGCCGTAAAAAGGTTCGTCGCCCAATCTTGCTCCTCTGTTATTCTAGTTGCAGCTGGCTGACTAGGGCATAATCCGTCTACAGAGGCGATGTGTGCATGCTCATGATTCGGCTACGGCCGCTGATGAGTCAACGCCAGATCGGACCCCCAACGGACACTCCAAGGTCGTCACCCAATCATCAAATACCAGCCATCAAACCTTGCCCTCCGGCAAGAGGAACTCCTCAAGCTCAGATGCCACCGCGATAGCCGACCAGCCTGGTTCTGAGCCTCCACCAGCAGCCGCGGGCCTGGGGCCGTCACCAGTCACTGTGGATTCCCAGACGACTGGCTCGCCCGCCGTGCGTTCTCGATTCTTCGGGGACCTGAACCCCGAGGGCATGTTCCTGGAGGCCGCTGGGTCCGTTGCCAGTCGAGAAGTAATCTCCAAAGGCGACGTTGGTGTCTGGCTCACCTCGACCGGCGTGGGCAATGGCACCTCGCAGTTCATCACAGCCAGACCGCCACTGGCCATGGACCGCGTGCTCCTCCCCTTTGTGAAGAAGCACTTCCTGTGTCTCTTCCCCCCGGACCGTGATTTTCAGAAACTCAAAACCTTGTTCGTGCAAAAGGTGCATCCTCTCTTCCCCGTGGTGCCCATCGAGTGCCTCGACGGCGCCCTGTCCGATCCCACCACCGTCGTCTTGAGGCAACTCGTTTCTTTGGCTGCAGGTACCGATCCAGAAGCTTCACAGAATCTGCGCTTGGGAGACGCGCCGTCTGTTCTGCTTTCTCCTCAGGAATTTTCCGAAAAGCTGTCCTCAGCTGTACGTGCCATCCTTGAGACGAGTCTGATTCCCGATCGTATCCTTCACATCCGTGCACTGGCCATGCTTTCTTTCTATACCCAACCAACATGTGCAGAGGAGGCAGATTTACCAGCTCTTCTTGGTGGGAGAGCCATACACCATATCCACACTCTGGGGCTGCACCACTTAGTACGGTACCAGGGCCCTAATAGCGACGACCTTGAGAACCTCTATTGTGCCGTATGGGCCATGGATCGCATCAATGGAGCCATGTACGGCCGGCCATATCTCATCCACGAACGCGATACTGCTGCCAACATTGATGAGATCATCAAGAGGCGCAGCCCTTGCTTTCGCCTCTTCTTATCCGTCGTCCAGTGGCTTGACCAGGTCGTCGACTTGTATCGCCCAGGCCTAAGCTCAGACGCCATTAGTATGCAAAAGGTCGCGTACATAGATCTTCCCGTCCTCGAGGCCATGATTGTCGAAGCAGATGCCTTGCGCGTCCCCCCAAACTTGATAGGTCCGCCTCCCACTCGCTCTCCATAACCATAGCTTTGGCCGCCAGCTAACATCTCCACAGCTACAATTGAAACCTTTTATCATTCAGTGATCATTCTCTCCTGTCGCCTCGCTCGCCCCGGCACAATATCGGCAGCTTCGACTCTGCCACCACCCTCTGCGAATGCTCGGAGATCCCTGGCTGCCGAGCGCATCGCTTGTGCCGTGCCCAGAGACTGTCCGAGCTCCCTCCCCTTCATCCCGTATGCCGTGTCCCTCGCTCTCAGCGTCGAGTATCGCAAGATGCGGCACAGCCGATTACCAATGTTTCGCGCCAGGGCTATGAACTCGTTCAAGCGCAACTGCCAACTACTGAGGCAGTTTGGCGACTTCTTCTGGAGCGCCAATGTGTTGGCCGGCTTGGGCGAGCGAGTGTTACGAGAGATGGAGCGCGCAGCAACAACACTCACCAATGAGACCGCTCCGGCCCAGGGAGAACCACACAAGGACCCGATGTCTCAAACTTCGGATGACCAGGCACGGACTCGATCAAGTGATCAGTCCACCAGCGACTCGGCAGCCATTAACGTGGGCTCGGGGCTGGACAACATGGTTGACTTTTCCATGATGGATCCCATTTCCGGCCAGGACATATTCGGCCTGATTGACCCAAATTTCAACCTCAATGCTGTAGAGGATGCGCTAGAAGCTAATCTCGACATCGGCCTTCCATTGAATCTGGGGGACTGGGGACAATACTCAACGTGGGAGCAGCAGCAGGCACCTGGTGATTCCGCATAGCTCGCCCAACTCACCATTCCCCGCCGTGTAGCATCACAGGGAGGCCGCCAACCCGACGATTAATCGGCATTCCGGTTGATTTGCGCTCTTCTCAAAGTTTGCCAAGTAAGGCATTTGCTCGGCTCTTGCCACACGTGGCACGCCCTATCCTATGACGATTATACCATTCAATCCAGCCTTGCACACTGATATGATGACTTCTTGTCCAAGTATTTGTCAATCAGAGGGAAATTCTAGAATGAACCAATTGTGTCATTTTGTCTGTGGAAGCGGAAGCAACACTTGTCAAATTGAAACGAACAACGTGTCTGATCATGACGAGAGCCTTAGATTCTGCGAATTTCAAGCACCTTCGCTTGATTGATATTGAAATATAGACGCTCAATGAACTTTAAAATCAAAGTATCCATACGGCCTCTGCACCGATGGTAGTATCCATGTCACAATTCACATGCTTCCAACTCCGAAACTCCTACGTTCTATTTCAGAATATTCCCCTACCCAAAATACCGAGCCGATTCTATTGTGGCCATAACTAAATGTGATGAAAAAGAATAAAAAAGAAATAGGGTCAGTCTCGATGTGGATAATCGTAATGGGATGGTGGAAATAGACGCTATACGCCGTAGCGAACAACCCTCCTCTGGTACCGCTTCTTCTCCGCCTCGTCGTCGTCCTCGGGGTAGTTGGGCGGCTTGACGACGGCGTTCTGGCAGCTGTCGCGGCGCTCGGTGTCCTCGTCCTCATGGAACGGCAGCTGGTCCCTTGATATGTCGATGGTCGGCCTTCGGAAGCGGTTGTACGCGATGAAGGTCTGGTCGTCGCCCGCGACGGCATTGGTCGGCGGGGCCATGCAGAGCGACTTGCGGCGGATGGTGACGGCGTCTTCCTGGATGGGCTTGATGCCCATGCGTCCGTAGAGCACACTGAGAAGGGGGATGGAGAGGCCGTGCACGACGATGGAGAAGACGACGAGGAAGTAGATGGTGATGGGGAGGGCGCGGATAAGCCCATCCTGCTCCGGGTCGCCCTCGCCAGCAGCGGGGACGACGTGGCGGATGTGCTCGACGTAGAAGACGGCGCCGATGCCGATGGGCCCGAAGTAGCCCATGAAGAGGGCCTCCTTGTAGTTGGCGATGACGCCGGGCATGAGCTTGTAGAGGAGGAGGACGGCGGGGATGCGGCGGAGGGCGAGGACCATGAGGCCGAGGAGGAGGAGGCGCCAGATGGTGATGCCCGTTCCATCGGGGTCGTGGAAGGAGGCCCAGGGGATGACGGAGCCGATGTACATGAAGCCGCCGAAGTTGAGGAGGACGTCGAAGCAGCTGTTGACCTCGTCGTGGCGGCGCTCCGTCTCAGCGAGGAACTCGCCGTCCCAGTTCAGGCTGACTCCCGAGACGGCGCAGGCGAGGAGGTCGTTTGTGCCGAGGCAGCCGCAGGTGCCGAGGATGAAGAGGCCGATGGCGACGGGGAAGAGGACGTATGATTCGGAGTCGATCCAGCGTCTGATGGGATCGTCAGGTTTCGCTTAGAGGTGGGCGCGCGGAGTGGGATAAGTAACATACCTTCTGAGACTGAATTTGATGCCTTTGCAGGCCGCAAACCCGACGATGATGCCGTACATGGCCGACATCATGACATAGTACAACCATGTTTCAAGAACCCAGTTCTTGATCGCCACTCCTGGCCCTCCCCCGAGGCGACCGACATCGCCGCCCGCACGTACCATCAACTTGTGGACGTCGCCAATGACTCCCTCGCCGTCGTAAGGAATGGGGTCCGCATGTCGGATGAGGTACACGGCCAGCATAAGAAAGGGGAAGCCGAACCCGTCGTTGAGACAAGCCTCGGCCGAGATGATCTCACGCAAAGGTCTGGCGACATATCTGTCCGCGAAGGGACCCTTGGCCACAGCTAGATTGATCCAATTGTCAACGATGCGCCGGAAAGTTTCAGAGAGCAAGACCTACCCTGGGAGAGAACGGGGTCGGTGCAGGTGACAGCGGAGGCGATGGCGAGACCGGCGAGGAATGTGATGTTGGGGATCGTGGCCATGAAGCAGCCGGTTGTGCAGAGCCACATGAGCGTCATGATGGGGATGAGGCACATGAAGATGTCGCGGCGGCGTTGCCAGACGTACTTGGCCGGCAGCTGGTAGCCGGCTATCACGAGCTGGAGGCAGATGACCACGCGGGTGATTCCCTGGGAAGGCTGGTTAGGGTGCTTTGGTTCGGGGTGGATGTCATCTGGGTAGACATACAAGAGTGATTTCGCTCTGTTGGCCCTCCTCCTTCAATCCCCAGTTCTTGCTGTTGAGGAAGTTGGCGGCGACAGGGCCGAAGCAGATGCCGATCAGCATCGCGGGGACTTGCCAACGGGGTGTCAGCCATGAGTGTTATACGTGTTTCTCGTCGTTGAAGCGAAGGGATTTTGACTTACGCGCCTCCCCCAGATACCAGGCATTCTTGATCTTGACAGAGAAAACCCCGTACAGGACAAGAAAAGCACCTTATAAATGTCAGCGTGGCTGTTATTCACTGTGTTATTGGGGTAGGAAGAGATTTGGACTGCTTACCGGCCAACGAGGTGACGATGTTGAGCTCGCTCAGATTAAGGACAGGCATCTTGGCAAGGGTATGGTGTCAAGTTTGCGTGTCTGATCTCGCAGGACGATCAATCTTGATGAGCGACGGCGAAGATGGGATTTCTCGTCTTGTACAATGGAGTAACCCTTTGTCGACCTTGTGCCGATGTTTCCTGCTCTTGACGTTGCGCCTTTGTTGGGCCGTGGTAGCGGCTGTCTTGGTTTGACTTTGTTTCGGTCCTGTCCTCCAGCAAGTGGCAATTGTGAGTGCCAAGACAAGACACGCAAGAATTCTTCTGGTTCGGAGATTTTCCCAAGTCACAGGGGATAGCTGGGTGGTTGTTGGCCTGAGTGACAAGGACGACCCGATCAAAGATGGAGGGCAAGACAGGTATGATCCTGGTGATACTCAAGGGAGAAACAAGTCGTACAGCAGTGTTCCCGCGAATAACACGGTGGTTTGGAGAAGCAAGGCGGCGGGTGAGTGATGTCAGCCAGCCTAGACACTCGCTCACTGCAAGGCTTGAGGGTCAATAGCGGTGTGTGCACCTTTTTGTCGGCATGTGGGCAGCGCAGAGAGCTTGACTCGTCGCCCGCTGGGTCACTGACAGCAGGTCTTCTTTTAAAAAGGTTGGAGCGATGGGGGGATGGGCCCGAGAACACACGGGAGGACGCAAGGATTGGTCCGATACAAGAAAGGCGGGCAGGATGGTTACTGACAGATGGTTCTGGGGTCCGGGAGATGGGCTTGGCAGAACGAGAGTGGACAGTTTTTGAGAGATTTAAAGACCAAGTTTACAAATGACGATGATGATAGGAATTGAATGGATAAAGAGCGGAAAGTGATGCCACAAATCAAAGGAAATGGGGTGAGTGGATGGGTTCAATGGTCGACTTGGGCTTCCCAATCCTGGATGCTTGACGGAAAAGGAAGATATCCATCATAAAGGGAAGGGGACCAGCACATTCCGTGAGGGACTTTTCATGTTTAAAGAGAAACGGCAGGTCTAGCGCGGGAGAATACAACACGGCAGGACGGACACCGGTAAGTCGATCATGATTTGGGATCTGCCAGTGCGGTTGGGCGATGCGGTGGTGTGACAGGGGCGTGGGGAAAAGAAACGGGCAGATTCCAGAGACAGACATGGCCAGAGACAAAATTGGAGACGTACCAGAGTACTCTATGTATGCATAAGGGATCTTCAAGGGTCGGACGTCTGAGGAGGCGCTGCCGTGGAGGACACCAACACACAAACGTGGCTAGTTTGGTGATGAGCAGGGCAATTGACCTTTGAGCAAGGCTGAATTACAATTCTAAGCCGCTTCTGCCTGGGTCAAGAGTGATCTACCTTTTAGCATTGGTCGACGGCGGTCATCTAGCCTGCTATCATCTCCTGACAGCGGTAGCGCGTCTTGAACAACGGACATCAACTCAGGTCTCTTGCCCTGTTCTTGACTTAGCATGCGAGTATTTCAGAAAGGGAACTGACACAGTCAGAAACTGTCAGGGCAGTCTGGCGGGAATAAAGTCAGACACTTGGCATATGATGTCCAAGACGCGCAGCCAGCTCGACGTCCCGAGCGTACCGCGCTTTGTTATCAGCTGTCAGAGGACGATTCATCCACGGCCAGCAGCCAATTTAGCCTGTCCAAGAAACCAGGGAATCCCTGGGACCCCATCAGAGGCAACGCAGCGAGCGTACAGGTTTAGAGAAGCCAAGAGGGTAATCTGCGAGGGAGGGGGTGCGGCGATTACATGCCGACTGTTGGGATTTGATCCCTGAGCGGCACGACTTGGCAAGGGCTGGCGGTGGATCGAGAGTCGGTTGACGCTTATTTTTAAGAATAAAATTAAGCATAACAACACCCCTCTTCCATACCGGGCAGAGCACACGACCGAGACTATGGGGAAGGGGGGTTTGAGAGAGGCCGGGGCAGCGCAGAGTGACTACGTCACCTCACACCACATGCTACATCATGAATGCTTCCCTCCTCTTCAAGTACGTTACGTCGACAGGCATAGCGATATTGTCACGGGCGAAGAATGAGGCACACTCAATTGATTCACCCGCTTTCAAGTTGTCAGAGGTCGTGAGACTGGCAAACAGAACAGGTGATAAGTGGCCAACAGTTTCTTTCTCCTAGCGCCCAAAGACAAGAGAAAATCACAAGCCAGGCCATCACCCTCCCTTGTTCCAGGTCTCCTGAGATGCCTCCCAGTTTAGGGCTTGATTGGCGGTTCGCATGGATCGATCCCTGCTCGGCGGAGTTTGCCAAGAGTACCAAGGTTTCTTTCAACCTCCTTGTCTCACGCTCGGGTGTTCTCAAGCAAAGGAATGAGAGCTTCCTTCAATTCCAGGTCAATATGGAACATCTTTCAAGCTACTAGTTTGGGTCTCTTGAGACTTATGTCTGGCTTCCCCGTGTCTTGTTCAGCATCTTGAGTCCATTGGGACCTGGCTCGCCGTCTCGTGCTTCATTCCGCTCGACTCCGTAATGACCCGTCACTTGAACCGTGTGTGTACGTGTGCGTACCTCATGCGTAAACATAGGGGCTTCCCACATGATGGCGGCTTGGCGTATCACAACACTAATTTACAACTAGAACAAACCCATTGCATAATTGCCTACAAAGCCAAGCCAGTAGCTAAACGTGGTCACCGCCAGACTGCCTAGTGAATGCAGATCACCATCACAATCACGGGTGTTTCTCTCAGCCACCAACGGCGGTGTTCTGTCTTCCACAAAGCAAATCGAAAGAAGCGTTCTCTTGTGAAAACGGTCAGAAATCGAACAGAGGTAAAAGGACTCAAGGGGGAAGCTTGCGTGTCGACACAAAACCAGTCCACTTTGCCAAGAAGCCAAGGCCTGGTGGCACAGCTGGTTTTCTGGGCAAAGATGGAAATTGTCACGCCGCATACGACGCACATGAGACTTGCTGACGGCCATTGCGCATGCTTGGCTTATCAGTTTAATGTAACATTACGTACGACTCTCTTCCCCCGGCGCGTAGGCTGAGGACTCTTCGTGGATTTGGGAGTTGATCCCTCGCTGGAGATTACACCAGAGCAAAAGCAGAAATAACAACACTGAATAAAATTGAAACAAAATCACACATTTTCTCATCTGTGTTTTCTTTAATTGAGAATAAATGTAAAGATAGCGCTTTGCGACTTCGTTTTAACCAGTCAGGTGGACTTGTAGATTGTGGATGGACTGCTTCAGCCAGACGCTTTGGCAGTCCGAGATGTCGATCAACTGCGGTCGTATCTCTAGACATCACAACACCTGTATCAGTTTTACAGTTTTATTCATGGAAACCCTCCTCTTCTTCGATTTCTCATTGGTATCTTCTCACGTCACAGAATTTTACACGCCCCTAGCGGAGCAGTTATAGTATTCCAGGGGGCTCATCCAATCACCACAGTATAGGAAGAAAGGCCCAAGCTAGGGTAAAGTTTCACACAGCAGTCATTACTATCTTACCGAATGTATCTTTAAAGGTGTAATATTCTACTGCGTAGACGCCTTGGTGTCTGTCGAGAAGCGGTAGTGTTTACAACATAGAAGATGTTCAAGCCTACCTTACCATAGAACTCCCTTCACGGAACCTGTCACTGGGGCATTGACAGAGTCTCTCATGCACACAATACAGATTGAACTACAATCTTCTCGAGAATTAGCTCAAATTATGTTTAATCTGTGCAATATTCGAAAATTATGAGACTCACATCGTGCATACCCAAGTTGCATGCACTCCCGCCACTCCATCATGATCGAAGCCAGGCCCCCATTCTCGTCTTGGCGGTTCAGCCTTGACTCATTATATCCAAATTAAACAGGAGGTGTAGATAAATTATATCTAAGATATACCCCTCGTGTGTGTGCCTTGGCATGCGATACGTTCCTTTGCTCCTGTCCACTCGCTATACATAGCTCACCTCAGGATGGAACATGATGCTTTTGAATCAATATGAAGATGTGAGCTTTTCTTGAGACTTGACCAACTAAGCCTCTTCATTCCCATTACGCGTAGCCCTGAGACGCGTGTTCTCCTGAGGGGTTGCATCATCACCGTTTGCGCTGGCGTTTACAAACATACCCACCAAGCCGTGGCCCATCAGCTGGGGCAGTGCTCGATTGCATGAATAAATATGCCAATTGCCAAGAGCAACCGCCCCGGGACTATCCTTCAAGATCTGCCGTGACAGGAGGTCACATTGGTGATCGCCCTCGGGACTGCCCGTCGTGCAAATGCGCTTAACATGCATGGATCTCCATGGGTCATCTGCAAGGTGGCGTTCAGTTTCGTGCCAAGTCTTCTGACAAAGACGTACGTGACAGGGTTGAATCCAGGTACGATCTCGACAAAAGGAGTGTCCCTCAAGACCTCATGGGTGATGTCAAACAACCGACTATAGACCAACAACCTTCTTGCCTCCTCATCACTAATATTAGGCAGGCATAGGCGACTGATATATCATTCTCTAACCGCCTTTGGTCCCTCACTATGGTGTCCTATCAGTTCCAAACTCTGACGACCTTTTTATGTACACCTTGTACCTTTTTACCTTAGCCAGGTGGGGTACATCACAAGACGTTCTCTTGCAGCGACGGTGATTTTACTCTCCTCGTCTTCATCATCACCTACTACTCATCAAAGTCCCTATTTCTTAGTCTTTGTCACCCCGCCCTAGGGGCTCCGATGTATGGATACGTATATTCTGTTCCCGTAGCCTACATTCACCAATGGGTGTAATTGGGGTAGAGCCTCGGTGAGCACTTGGTTTGATATCTCGGTATCACGAACTTAAGTAGCCCCATTCTGAATACAGCCAGCTTGACGATGACCTACAATGACTTGCCACCCGGGGATGCAATAGCAAGTTCACTTATAACATATTTCCTCAAGTATGATGGCTTATACCAGGTGTGTTTGATTTCTAGATTGGAAGTTAGTTATCATGTGAGAAGAGTCTTGTGTTCTGCTCATTTCCGCCATTCTGGCACCAGTCTTTCCAGCTGCCGATCGGCTTCTTCCAATATTTTGCTGTCAGATGTGGTATTTATAACCTTGAAGGAGAAAGAGAATGTTGCGATGGCCAGTCTTCCGAAGAAGATCTTCTCATGCTTTCGTCCGGGTATGATGTGACTTAGTGAACAATCGGCACGACCAATAAGGCAATTATCCCATAATTTCCTGTATATATTGCAAAGTCATGATACCAAGTCATCTCAAAGCTTCTAGAAATGTGTGCCGACGTGGATTCCTCCATCTACCAGCATATTGGTACCACTGACATAGCTACTAAGACGGCTTGCCAACCAGACTGCCGCGTTTGCTATTTCTCCTGGAGACCCTAAACGTCGTAACGGGACCTTGAGCCGCGTTTCTTCTACCCACTCAGGACTTTCTTTCTGGTAGGTCTCCCAATTTCCTCCCGGAAATATAATAGGACCGGGCGAGATAGCATTTGTGCGGATACCCTTGGGGCCAAGATAATGAGACAGTTCCTGCACGTGCTGCAACTGCGCAGCTTTGAAAGGACCATATGGTGCCGGTGGACTACGGAAGAATTCGCGACCCAAGAAGCTGGATATGACGACGACGGAGGCGTTGGGAGATTTAAGCAGGAAAGGGACAGCAGTTTGGACCAAGGTGACGAATCCCATAACATCAACATTGTAAGATGTGAGCCAGCTCTCTGACGAGTCATCAAAGAGCTGCAACGATGCTGGTTCATGTCGAGTTAGCGTATCTTTAGGTAATGGAGGGCTGGCATCGAGTGAGCTCTACCGTTCGCAATGATTGTATCGATGCGTCCAAAGGATTCGCCCGACTTTTTTACCCAGGCTTGGAGGGCCGCCTTATCTCCTACATCAACTGACGTGCCCACAGCATGGGCATTATGTGCGGACGAGAAAGTGGCGAACTCATCACCCGTCACATTACGAGCGCAGTATGAAACGTTGGCACCCTCAGACAAAAACGCCTCGACAATACTTTTGCCAATTCCTCGGCTACCCCCTAAAAAAATGACTTAGACATCTCACTACAAGTTGGACTTAGTGGGACAATCTGGACTTACCTGTGATGATCACATGGGTTCCTTCTAGGCCAGTTTGAAGAACCATTTTGCAAGCAAGCTATTTAATTGAATTTCAACTTGATTTCCTGGTGGTTTAAAGTCAAATAAAGAATCTCTGATATTTTCTATAGTCAGACAGTTTGCAATGGTAGTGAATGGCAGAACCAGACTTTTGTAGCAGTCCTACTCCGGAAACTCCGTTTACTCCTTTAGGTAAGTGGGTACTCAAACTCCGGGAGCCTCGTCGAAGCTTACACGAGAATCAGTGAAAGGCGCCCACCCAATTTCCCGGAATCCAATGATGTCTTCCTTCTCCTGGGCACTGAGCCTGTGTTGTTTTAAATTTGATTCGTAATGTCCATAGGCAAATTCGTTATCGCGAATCTGTCTGATTTCGTGACCAAGCCTACAGATATGGATCCACCATACCCAACTTACATATGAGGGACGTTCTGCAAACCTCGAAGCGTTGGTTCTTCATTCAATATGTCCCCAATACTTCAATCATTATAATGGACAAGGAATCAAATGCCATGGGGGAAATCACCCAGAGCCCTCTTGCTGGTGAAATTGCATCTCTCCTGGAAAGCAATGGCGCTGCAAAACGCTCCAAATTTCCCATCGTCTTCGAGAACCTTTCCGTCATTGGAAGCGGAAATAAGGTATGAATCATCAATCTTGGATCTCCTGAGTGGTAGTTGAACAATTAACTTTTTTTATCTTTACAGACCGAAGTTGCGCCAACAGCAATCTCGCCTTTCCAATCTGCTCTCACCATATTGAACCCCCAATCATACAAGAAATCTGCCAAGCCAGAAAGAACTCTATTAAGCTCATGGAATGGGGTCATTAATCCTGGGGAGATGCTATTAGTGATTGGTAGGCCTGGGAGTGGTTGCACGACCTTCCTTAAGACGCTGGCAGGCCTCAGGAGAGAGTTCCACGATACCCGTGGCTCCTTAACCTATGGGAAGTCGATTAATTCTTCCGCTGCCGATTCAGTCCGCGTGACATTCTGTGGTAGGATCCCCTCACCCTATAACGGACTTAATTTCTTATGTTGTATGGACACAGCCGAGGATGATGACCATTTCCCTACTCTCCTTGTTGAAGAGACGCTCAGGTGAGCAATCCGGTACTGATAACCAATCTTGCTGCTAATACCAGACGTGACCAGATTTGCTGTCGAGTCTTCGTGGCCAAGAGACGCTTCAAAGTCAGCCAAGCATGGCTCAGTTCGATCTTTAGCGGACTTATTCGGCCTTGGTCATGTTCTTCGCACTCGAGTTGGCAGCGCATCCATTCGTGGGGTCTCAGGGGGAGAGCGTCGACGGGTCTCCCTTGCCGAGGCGCTCGCGACTCACGCGGATGTTATGTGTCTTGACAACCCAACCAATGGCCTCGATAGCTCTACAGCCCTTGAGTTTGTGGAGATGATGAGGGAGTACACTCGTCAATCTGGGTGTGCCACCATCATGAGCATATATCAGGGCAGCGACGCCATGGTCCCGATGTTTGATAAAATCGCCGTAATTAATCAAGGCCATCAGGTCTTTTATGGCAGATCACAGGAAGCGAAACCTTATTTTGAGCAATTGGGGCATAAATGTCCGCCCACGACAACTATTACAGATTTCTTAACAAGCATGAGTGCCAACAGGATATCAGCACCAATAACATCAAGAGAGCCGCCTCCATCAACTACTAAACAACTGAAGATGGCATTTGAATCTAGTTCTTATTACCAAGAGACCTTGAGAGAGGTACTGGCTACTAAGTCTATGCCTCTGCCAGCCGGCTCACTTGGTGGAAACGCCTTCGAACTTCCTTTGTGGCAACAGATTTATCTTTGCACCAAACGCCAATTCCGTGTACTGGTCACCAATTACCACAATTGGCTGATTGAGGCAGGATGTGCAATTGTTCAATCCATTGCCATCGGGACCTTGTTCCGGGATCAGCCCCGCGAAACCAAGTCATTCTTCATCTTGGCTTGCTCTCTATTCTTCTGCGCCCTAGTTCCATCTCTGCAAGCCATGTCAGAGTTTGGAAACACGTTCGCCACGCGATCTCTGGTAGCCCGCCAGAAACAATATGGATTCTACCGGCCCATGTCATATGCGCTTGGGCTCGTCACGACGGACATGATTTGGAAAATTGTCACCATCAGCTACAACATCCCACAGTACTTTCTCACAGGTTTCCAGTATGATGCCGGCAAGTTTTTCACTTGGTTTCTTGTATTGTATGTTGAAAATATGGCTCTGAGTATGATATTTCGTACGGTGGGCATATTGAGCAAGAGTATGAGCTGGGCTGTTCTCCCCGTTGGGGTCATCTTCAACCTCGGGGTTATATATACTGGTTTGTATATCCCTCCGCCACAGATGCAGGGATGGTTATTTTGGATCAAGTACATCAATGTGAGTTATACCCCACATCTTCATCGAAGAGAGGCGACGGACGAGCTGATACCTTTCGAAGCCATTATACTACTCGTGGGAATCAATTGTCGTGAACGAATTCTCCAACTTGGAGTACCAGTGCAGCGATTCAGACCTGGCTCCCTCAGGTCCCAGCTACGTCAACTTCACAAACCAGGTTTGTGCAGTCAAGGGCGCCATTCCTGGTCAAGCGAGTGTTCTAGGATCAGCATTTGTCCGAGAACAATATGGGCTAGACGCATCTCACCTATGGAGGAACGTTGGTATCAATATTGCTATTTTCCTCTTCTTCGCAGTTTGTACTGGGATCGGTATGGAGCTTCATAAACCTGCAGCTGGGACTGCCGCCACCGTCATGTACCGAAAGCAAACGTGGCCGGCCGAGCGCAAAGGCAAAGACAGGCTTGATGTGGCAGAGACAGATGTCGAGAGCGGCTCATCAGACGAAACCCAAGTATCTACACAAGGTATTTCTCCTACACAAGTAAACACTCATCAGATGGAAACACATTCCGGGCGTACACTGGCGTGGGATAACCTCTGCCTTCGCATTGAGACTGATGGGAAGGAAAAAGTGCTCTTGGACAATTTGAGCGGTAAGAGCTCTCCCCCTACGCATGACGTGCAATAGCTAAACCAAATGTCACAGGCTCTGTTCATCCCAACCATCTCACCGCACTCATGGGTGTCTCAGGCGCTGGAAAGGTATGGCATCTTCAGCATTCTAGCGTCAGGTTGTCCGCTAATATCATCTAGACAACATTGCTCAACACTCTAGCTGGCCGCATCGACTTTGGAAAGGTGAGTGGCCAGCTTTCGATTGACGATAGCCCTCTTCCCAAATCTTTCACCAGGTTCATGGGGTATGTCCAGCAACAGGACATACACCTGCCCTCGCAAACAGTCCGGGAAGCCCTTCAGATGACAGCACGACTCCGCCGGCCCTCTAGTGTATCCAACGAAGAAAAGGACGGCTACGTGGAGAAACTCATATCCCTGCTAGAGCTCGATGACCTTGCTGAAGTGCTTGTCGGGTTTCCCGGCTCTGGACTCACCTTGGAGCAGCGGCGAAGAGTGTCCATTGGGGTAGAACTCGCAGCATTACCTGAGGTTCTCTTCTTGGATGAGCCAACGTCTGGTCTAGATGGGCAATCAGCACTTCATATTGTTCGCTTGCTTAGAAAGCTCGCAGACGCTGGTCAGACTATCTTGTGTACAATTCATCAGCCAGCTGGTGAAGTGATCGAGTATTTTGATCACCTCGTGCTACTGGTCAAAGGGGGTCGTGTAGCTTATGACGGACCTCTGGGTGATGGCTGCTCGGCTGCAGTTGAATACTTCCAAAACCAGAGTCACGTTGACTGTGGGGAGAAACAGAATCCTGCCGAGTACATTCTTGATATCGTTGGAGCAGGGTCACGCTCGACCAACACCATTGACTGGGCCACGACCTGGGATCAAAGCAAGGCATCCACATCAGGCCCTCAGCAAAAGGAGAAAGTTGAACCGCACGATGTTCAAAGCTCCTTGGAGATGCAATCCAGAGGCCGTTATGCTGTCTCTTTCGTATCTCAATTATCAGTCGTTTTGCGACGGGCCTGGCTGTTTACGTGGAGGGACCCGGACTACTTTGCTGCAAAGTTGTTTTTGAATCTGGGCAATGGGCTAGTCAATGGTCTCTCATACCTCAACTCTCCCGATACTGGTGATGGCATGTACAACCGGATTTTCAGCGCTTTCGTGGCTATGATTGTGGGCCCGCCATTAGCCCTACAAACGGAGGTGCGATTCTTTGCATTCAGAGATATCTTCCTCCTCAGGGACAAGGACTCTATGTCATACAGCTGGATTGTCATGGTTTTGTCAGCCATTCTCGTGGAACTACCATTCGCCCTGATAACTGGATTGGTTTACTGGCTGGTATGGTACTACCCCGTCGGCTATTTCACCAGCTCCGACCGTGCTGGCTACTCATTCCTCATGTTTGAGCTATTCCACATCTTTGTCCACAGCCTTGCCCAACTAGTCGCCAGCGTCATGCCCAGTTTAGAGTCTTCTTTCGTGGCAAATGGGTTCTGCTTCATGTTCCTCAACACATTATCCGGCACCCTGAGCCCCAAGCCTCTTACACCAACTGGCTGGAAATGGTATTACGACCTGAACCCATTGTTCTATTTCAGTGAGGGTACGGCTGCGGTTCTGACACATGGCCTGGAAATTACCTGCTCAGATGCCGAAACGTTCGAGTTTGTGCCGCCTAGCAATACGACCTGCGTCGACTATGCCTACGAGTGGTTGGAGAGCGCCTCCGGGTACGTAATGAACCAGGATGATATGGAGATATGCCGTTATTGCCGTTACAAAGACGGAGACAGCTATGTGAGTTGCCTTCCTAATTCAAGCCTTTTGAGGTAAACTAACAAGAAACATCTTAGTTGAAGCAATATGATTGGACGTTTGGGAATAGATGGCGAGACGTGGGGGTTTTCCTCGCCTTCATTGCATTCAATTATCTTGGCGTCATGGCTTTGATGTATCTCACCAAGATTCACAAGTGGAGGCGTTAAGTTTTAGCCCCGTAAAAATTATTAGCTTACTTCTCTACCTATGTTCTTATGTCAATATCTCTATATAGAATTCCAGCATTTTTGCTTAAACTATCACTTGTCCGCCAAGTAGTCGTGTGTGATGATGGTAACTGGAGTCGTTTCTAGCTCAATGACGAAATAATCCATCCAGGGAACTTTTTAATGTAGTGCTATGAAGAAGATGATCTCGAAATCCTCAAGAACCTACGTAAAAATGATCTGGCCCATACAATGTTTGAGAGTGGCAGATGCTGAATGATGGTGCTAGTGAAGCAGTGGGTGACAGGAGAAATCAAACACCTAATGGAAGAGAGGTTATAAATAGACTGCTTTCTAGCATAAAATGAGAAATTCAGTAGTATAAAATAAACTCAAATAATAATATATACTATAATACCTCTAAATTATATATTATTAGTACTCAGTAATCTTATAATACTGGTTGCCGACTCGAGAATAAGCAGTTTAATATTTGAGTGTCTCAATTTCAATGTCACCCCCTTGTGAAGATGAGTTTGCCCAAATGGATTATGTAATAATCTCACGAGAGCTGACAAATCACAGTCCAAGTAGAGCATCTTCACAGAGCGCCAAAGTCCAACTTCCATCCATACCTCCCTGGCCTCTATGACCTTGGAACGGCATGATGCGGCTTTAAAGTCCCGTGGAGGATACCATGTTCTCTAAATTTCACGGAACCGCTTCCGAGAACCCACAGCCAGCCCGGAAGCCGAAGAAAGCTCGACGCGCTCAGGTTCAGCGTGCCTGCGATGGCTGCAGGTTAGGCCGGGTCAAATGCGACACATCAAGACCATGCAGAAATTGTATCCAGTCAGGGAGACAGTGTGTCTTTGAGGGATCGACCGAATTTAGGGGATTAAATACTGCAACGATGTAAGAGGGCCTGATTGGTTCAAAGCTGAGTTTTCCCTGCCACTAACATATGCTCACCCTCTCTTAGAGAGATTGATCGTCTTCGACAACGAGTCCAAGACCTTGAGGCGGAACGGGAACAACGGCCAAGCCAACCGGCTGCAATATCCCCGGCTCTTATCAGCCCTCCCTCTAGTGATTCACATAACAGCACATCAATACCATTCCATCCGGTCTCGGAAAAGTGGAAAGGAACTACTGTGGAAGGGATCCGATATGGGCCATTCTCATTGCAGTACTTCAGTGAACGCATCTCGCGGTACCTTGAGATTGACGCCGACCCCCGAGTTTCGCTTGCGGACTTCCCAGTATGGGACACAACCACCCTTGCCGAATGCTGTGACGGTGTTGGCAAAATGGCCCAGGACCACTTCCTAGACCTGCATTGGCTTTGCTACCACGTCAACTATCCGGCCATAGATGAATCTGAGTTTCGAGAGCTCTATGCATCACTCTGGCACACAGAGGAAGCTTCATCAACCAGACGCCCGGATCCACTAGTTGATATCGTTCTGGCAATGAACATCCAATATGCATTATCATTCATGCCCCAAGATGAAACTCTACCTCGCCAGTCTGCCGAGCACTCCTGCTTGGGGGGAAGTGCATTCTATCAACGCTGCAAGAGCGCATTAGATACAAGCATGGATTCTCCCACCATCAAATCAGTCCAGTGCCACTTATTTTGTGCAATATACCTCTCTTACGCCGGGTACCACAATGCAGCCTACACCACAACCAAACTAGCCGAGTGTAGCCTCTCTATGCTCAGTCTCGATCACGATGACTCTCTTCAACAAGAGCTAGTGTCACGGATTCGTAACTGCCTCCGAACACTCCAGACAAGATTTTCTATGAGATTGGGTAGATTTGAAAGACGGCCATCTGGCATCGCCCAGCAGTCCCTGGAGGTCACAACACCATCCTCGACCCTTGAATTCAGTTGGTTCATCTTCCACGAGCAAGTGGCTCATCTCTGTACTCTAGTGGAAGATATTGCCATTACGTTCCTTGGGCATTGCAACCAGATCCTCGATACCGCCGAAGGAGCCACTGACTTATACACTGATCCCGTCATCCGTGACAAATGTGCTCACTTCATGAAGGACCAAATGAACAGGCTAAAGTCCTGGTCGGCCCAAGTCCCGGCACAGCTCAGAATCCCACGCAAGGGATACATGGAGTCCTTTTCAACGCGGCGGGCTCCATTAGAGTTTGACGACAGCGACCCTCAGTGGTTGCAGCGCCAGCGAGTGGTCCTCGAGTGCCAGTACCATGATTTCTGCGTCACACTTCTGCGCGTCTTCTTCCACTTCTCACCCAAGCAAAATCGAGGAACATTCAATAGTGATGAAAACGGCATCTCGTGCGTCAATCACGCCTACACCCTCACAAGCATAATTCACCAGATTCACGCTGAGACGGATATACTGACAGGCTGCTACCAAGCTTTTGAATGGCAGCAGAACGCTGTCTATGCGTTGGCTGCGTTTGCTGCTGCCAACCCGCTGTGTCCGCCAACACCCAGTGCCCGGAAGGCACTGGGATTGGCGGGCGAGGTCTTCGGCTCCTACGGGGACACATCGATCCCAGCAATGCGGATGCGCAAGCTGATATCCGACTTTGAAGTAAAGATTGCTGAGAAGATTGCCAGTTTCAGAAGAGGACCGACCCCTGGCCCAACCCCGCGGAGTGCTCGACCGGTCGAAGAGCCAAGCCCGATGCCTCAGAGTGACGTGGCCATGGAGGCGGCCTCACATAGCATGCTGGGGTCGGTTCCGCTCGGGGACTCGAATATTGACTGGTCGATCGTGGGAGGGTCTACGGAGCAGTGGTGGTCAGAACTAGACCAGCCAACCCAGGATCTATGGTCCACGTGGATGAAGGAGTTTGAGCCTTGACACGGAGATGATACAAAGGCACATACACCATGTTATATATGGTTGTTTACAATTAAATGCAAAGTTTACCTTATAGACTGCTCGGAGCTTGATATCGATGAAATGCACCCTGGGAAAGACTGCCTAGTTCCCACGTACCATCGCTCAACACAAAATCAAGATAAAAGACAAGACATGGACTAGTCGCCACATGTCGCACCCTGGCACTTCTTTCACGACTTGCCATCCAATGAATAGAAGGGCATTAACAAAACAAACAACCCACACGCGTGCAACGAGGGTTGCGTCTGGGTCGCCTCAGTGCTTCCGCCCGTTCGCATACAGCTTGCATGGAAGTACCCAGCGGTAGCTCTACCCGCACAAACACGCGTGGAGATACTGGTTGAGTACATCGAGGGGCTGGTCTACGCACTAGCCGCATCGGGCAGAAAGTAAACAACAACGCCGCCTGGGAAATCGCGGTCGTAGCCAAATTACTGGACTTAGGCACCCGCGTCGGCGGCAGGCCCACTGAAGGCCCGCTGTAGGCCGCGCCGATCCCCTGTCGTTTAGTGGCTGCCGTTCACGGTTGGCCAGTAATGCCCCGTATTCACGATTCACGATCTGGTGGTTGCACCTCGTGAAACACGTCTGGCCATTGTTGTTTTCCATTCGACGCCTGTTTTTAAGGACGGCCCTCCATTGACGCATCATCTTCTTTGTCAGCGTCCTTTCTTTCATCTCACGCGGTTTCGTCCCATCCTAATCCCACCCCGGAGCCATATCTTACATGGTGGTTGCCTGGCCTGTGCTGTCCTGCATTGTCTGCATGAGCAATGGATGCCGTTGGTGATAACGTCCCGCTCGCTCTTCGGCGCGGCCGTCGCAGCAATTTTGGCGTCAGGATCAAGTCGGAGCCCGATGCAGTCCCCGAGGCCAAGACTCCCCGTCGCAAACGACATGTTCGTTTCTCAGACTCTGCGGCCACCGGTCTGACACCGATGGTCCGTCGTACAGTCCTTACCACCCCAACCAGCAACCGACGTCGTGTATCAGCACCGGCAGCAACGCCTTCTTCTTCCAGCACAAACAGATTCACAGACGCAGCTACTCGTGACGGTCCCAACACACCAGGGCTTCGCCATGTCATTGACGGCAGGGTGGACCGTCACCAGCGCCGCTCGGCCCTGCGCACCGCTCTAGAGAAGCTAGATTTTACCCACCGTCGTTCCAGCCAACAAGCCAAATCGCAAATTGCCCAGTTGAAGGACGAGCTCCGCCTGCGGGACAGGGAGATCTATGAGCTGCAGAACGCCACCATCATCGTCGATAACGACCGGCTATGGGAGCTTGAGCAGCAGGTCAACGATCTGGAGGCCGAGCTGAGAGAGGCCCGCAGCCGCCAGGATCTCCGGGAGAGCAGCCCCATGGACTGGACCTTTGGCGCTCCTCCTTCAACTCATCATCATCGGTCTCGTGGCCTTGATGCCGACGACGAGGATCAATTCGGTGACGCGACTATGGCACAGCTCATGTGTAGTACCCCGTCAAGGGCGCGCTCCTCATTCCCAACACCACCCGCCACGAGTCCCCCTCCCTATGGACCTGGCACTCCAACGATGGGTCGCTTCAACCCTCCTCGTCTTGCCCTCACGCCAGAAAAGCAACCAGAGCCACCGGCAACAACTACTGCTGGCGTCCAGGCTAGCCTTCCAGATCTCATGGCGCAGGCAGAAATGGAGTCACTGCAGCGAGAAGCCAGAAAGCTTTCAGAGACATTAGAGTCTCAACTGTCACTGCTCGAAAGAATTTCAAGGCGGCTCCCACGGGATTCCACCGTCACCGATGGAGACGACACTGTTGTCGTCTGGGGCCCAGAGACAGTGGAGAAGCAGGTCGACGCTGTGATGCGGACACTGTCCGATCGCGCCGCAGCGCTCACCTCCCTCACAACCACGATATCCGCACTCGGGTACCCAGGAAACGACGCTTCTGAGATGCTCACCTCTCTCGCAACGTCATTCCGGGCTGCTCGTCTGGAGCTCGAGTATCTCACACCAGGGGAGATCACACTCCCTCTCACGTCTCGAAGCGCCGAGGTGCTCGACCTGCTCCTGGTGAGGCTGCGCGAGCTGGCACGCAAGGTCAAGGAGGGCGACGATGCCATTGACGAGTATCACGCCATCGAGCTGAACCTGCGCAAGCAGCTCGACTCCCGCGTCTCGGTCATGGACGACCTCAAGGCCGATCTGGCCAACAAGCAAGACCAGGCCGCGAGTAAAATCGCTACCATCAAGGAGCTCGAAGTCGCAAACGACAGGCTCAAGGGGGCTGTGGAGGGGTACCTCCGCGACACTTCCCAGCTGGAGCAGCTCGTGGAGAGGATGGAGAGCGAGTCCACCGTCAAGAACAGCACCATCGCGGAGAGGGAAGCGTCCATCTCTGAGCTCGAGGGCAAGCTCGAGGCTGCCTCCCGACGGGCGTCGGATTTGCAGGACGAGCTGGAGGTTGTCCAGGCGAGCCGGAAGAAGCACCTTGATAGCGTCAACCGTCGCTCCGGCGAGGCTCTAGCGCTGCGGGATGCTCGGGTCAAGGAGCTCCGTGATGAGATCGACAGGGTCAATTCTTCGCTGCGGTCTGCATACGAGACCATATGCAGGCTGAGAGCCGACAATGGGCACGTCGAGAGGGAGAACCAAAGTTTAAGAGAGGCCATGGCGGAGCTGCAGAAGGTGATGAAAAAAAGCGAGGAGATTCTCGCGGCGAGCAGCGGAGACGGTGAGGCTGGCAAGTCGAGCTCGTCCCCAAAAGAGTACCCCTCTGGAACTGTGTTTCCTAGATTGGGCAGCAGCAAGAGAAGGCGCCCTGATAGCGGACTCGGCTTTATGGAGGCAGATGAGGTCGATATTTGAGCAGTTCCAACATTAACCGTCTGGGTCGACGAAAATGCCCATGAGCCGCTTTGGCGTCCGGCGCCATACCACACCCTCATTGTTTTATGTCTTCGGTCATTATATTTCCTTTGTCTTCTTTTATTCGGTTTGCGCATTTTCTTGTATACATAGATATCAAGCATCTCAGTTGATACAAGAGCGTCTCATGCACAGCGCAGCGTTGCTCAGATCTGAGGCTTTGTCGACCTAGCTATCAAAAATTCAAAATCACATTTCATAAACCACATCTCCCTACCTTTTCTTAATCGTAAGACTTCCATCTCGTCTAATGCCCCAGAGACAACACCTCCCCCAGCAATGCCTTGGTCATCTCCGCCGGCATCCCATCCGACGCGAAGGAAGGCGGCCTTGAGGGGCTGGGCCATGGAGGAGGCCGGGCTGGCGACGAGGATGGGCTGGCCGCCGAGGAAGAAGGGGGGGTTGCGCTGCTAGGAGGGTGGGAGGATGAAGATGCGCCAGGTGAGGCGGCGAGGGGCATGACGGTGACGAGGTCGTTGTGCTGGACGTAGGCGGTGGCTTCGTTGACGAGGTGGCGGACGAGGTCGGCCTACTTGCCGCTAGGGACGGATTGGGTCTTGACGTGGTCGAGGGCCCTTTTCCAGTCGTTGCCGAAGCCGAGGTCGTTAGAGAGGACTCTCTTTTCGAGTAGGCAGCGGTTATATTCCTTGTGAGCGATGAAGAGGGGTTCTTTGGGGGTGTAGGGGATCATTTCTTGGGCGAGTTCGGACAGGAGCATGGCACGGCCGATGGGCTCGCCGACGATCTCATCTTAGCCACCGTCTCCCGGGATAGGCCAACTATGGCCTACAGGATGGTGTCTATGTAGCCAACAAAGGCTGCGTCAACAGCCTACAAAAGAGTGGTGGTCCATCAATCGAAGTCTGAATCGTAGGTGGAGTTGAAGTCAAGCCACTCTTGGAAGTAGCCGCGCAAACTCTCAATTACCTTAGTAGCCTGGTGAGCCGTTGGCTTGCTGGTAGTGGTTCTACCGGCTTGGATGTCAATTTGGGTCGGGACAGTGGAGGTTCGGATCTCGTTCAGGTCGTGGGCGGCCTGCTCGGCTTGCATTAACAGACAATCCTACCTCGCTTTGCACAGGGTTGTGATGGAGGATTCGAAGGACGAGCGGCTGCACCTTGCGGCGGGACTCTTCTACGAGGGTCTGGTGGCGGCTGAGATGTTCAAGAAGGCGTGTCAGAAAGACGATACTCACCTTGTCCTGCTGCGAAAGGGAGTCCAATGGAAGGTCCTTGATGTCTGAGAGCTCGTATGAGCACTACTCCTTGATTTTGGCATACCTACGAGGCGCGTTGGGGAGGTTGTAGTAGAGGCAAGGTCGTCGAGGTCAGCCGTCACACGACGCACACGGTTGGGGATGGCCTCAGCGTGGGATACATCTGTTTTTGAGCAAATTCCAAATTGTCGCCGGTCGCCACAGACAGTGGTGGTTGAGATGGAGACATGGCGGTGAGGATGATGATTGGGTCGCGATAGCCAATTTGGCTGTGAAGCTGTACTGCTACATGATGACAGCTGCTGACTTACCTTTCTCCAACTGTACTGTCTACAAGGTGATGATGAATTGAATTGACTCTTGTCCGAAGTGCAGGTCATTCTTCCCAACTCTCTCCTGTCGGGCCTCGGATCTGAGACTACCCTATAGCCAGTGTAGTTGTCTCCTCGGACATTGGACTTTAAGTATAATATCACGAAAAAAATGCTCATCCTTGTTCTCTTTACTTTTCTTCGAGTAGCGTCTTTACTATAAAGAAGAAGAAGCACTTTTTGGGATGACCGAAAAGATCAATGGCACTCATCCGCGCTGAGACTGCCCTCACAAATGCATGTAACAGGAAGGCCTCCCCGAACATCGCAACAGAACGGCTCGGTAATAACGGATCGGCGCGGATCTAGGCGACAGATCGCTGCAATCAGTTAGATCATCGGATCGATTTAGGGGCTTTTATTAGGCTTTCAGGGCACCAGGTTGACTCATTCAGGGATCAATCTCATTACCCGCGGCTGTCTCTCCACAGGAGATTCTTGGGGTGCGCTATTTCGACATTTCGCCTCCAGATTATTAATTTACCATAGATAAGTAATTGATACGGGAGGTGTCCCGATCCGAGGACGGGCTTGTTAGATTGTTATTCTCTATTTCCATTCTAATCGACGTCCTTGGCCTGGTCACGGTTTGCTGCTCGCGTGCTCATTGACCCCTACAGATGACGTACCGGTAACACGCAGCCAGAAAAAATGTTGCGCCCGGGATTTCTGATTGTCCCGGTCCGACGCACTTTGGCGCAGCAGGTGCACAACAGCCATCGACTGCCGCTGCACCATCGCATCCAGCCTCAACTCGCGCAGCTGGGCCTGCCGACAATCCGCATCGTAAACGCCCGGCCGTACTCTTCGTCGCCGTCCCCGGCCCCGAATCCAAACGAGAACAAGAAGGATGTGAAGCCGCAGCCGCTCGAGGAGGATCCAATCCCCGTGCCCAACACCATTCCCCCGCTGCCGATATGGCAACGCCTGGGTCCTCTGACCTCTCTTGCCTCCGCCTACGGTCGCGCGCAGCGCCGTCGACCATGGGTCACGCAGTTCTTCAGCGTCCTGGTCATCTACTTCATCTCCGATAGATGCGCCCAGACCATCGGCGGCGACGAGTACGACCCGAAGCGCACCCTCCGAAGCCTCATCATTGGCGGAGGCAGTGCCATTCCCAGCTACCTCTGGTATGTCCCTGGTCCCTTCTGCACCCCTCATATCGCTTGTCTGACTCTTATCGGTTCCATCTAGGTTCGTGTGGCTCTCGCACAGCTTCAACTACTCGTCGCATATCCTCTCCATCGCAACCAAGATCGTCGTGAGCCAGCTGCTCTTCACACCGACCTTCAACACCTACTTCTTCGGATCCCAGGCCGTCCTCTCCGGCTGCACACCCTCCGAGGTCCTCGAGCGCGTCTACAACACCGTCCCGACGAGCATGATCAACTCGTGCAAGTTCTGGCCGTGGGTGACCGCCTTCACCTTCACCTTCATCCCGATCCAGTACCGCAGCCTGTTCTCTGGCGTTATTGCCATCGGCTGGCAGACATACCTCGCTTGGCTCAATCGGATGGCCGAGCTGAAGGAGAGCGCAGGGGCGGCGGATCACCTCCACGAGGCCGAAGCGAGTGTGGGCGTGGGTGTTGGGGACGTCGAGTGATGCAGGCCGTCGCGAAACATGATTGAGTAAAAGGGAGGCATTGTGGATTATCCCGAACGAACATGGATGGCGTCTGGTGTTTATAGACGGGCTCACGTTATTATCTGGCTTTTGTTGTTTTATTGCGACGCTAAGAAAAAGGTTCAACACGAGCCCTTTCTTCTTGTGAATAGATGCTTATTTCCCCAGAGTGATGCTTATCCTTGATGATTGTCGACACGAGGACAATGGACGAAAGAACTTGTCAACAAGGAGCCGCTGTGTTCCAGGGACTCATGTCGACCTAATTCGAGTATAAATTAGCTGAAGCAATACATCGAAGGTAGACTGGATAACCAATATTGGCCAATTTTGAGTCGCAAACCACCATGGACAGCCTGCTTGAGCTGCTCAAGGACACATCTGGTCGCCGACTGGCCCTGCTGGAGGAAGAGCTGGAGACGCTGGGGCGTGATGCGCTCTCGTATTCAGATGATTTCTTTTCAACAAAAGCCAAGAGGTATCCGGCCAGTCTATTTTCCCACGAAAAACTATTCGAGATATCATGTTCTGTATTGAACCATTTCAAGGGCTTTGCCAAGGGTGACAAGCCCAATGATTCTTACACCAATGCCGCCGATAAAGATGATCCTCTCTGGACGTCGCGAGCCCTCCAAGACCCTTCCGAGGTCAAGAAGAGGCTGTACACGTCCTTGAGACAGTTGGAAATCTATGAGCAATTTCTCCTGTGGCAACTTGACATCAGGCATGCTTCAACGATCAACAGGCATTTGGGACTTGATGAGCAGTACCAGCAGTACCTCAGCAACTACAGGACCAAGTCTCAACACTTTCTGGATGTAAGGGAGTTCTTGGGGCACGGGATCTCGTTCGAGGAGGCATGGATAGCAGACCGCTCCTTGACCCTCGCGACAATGTACGAGGGTGGTGAGAAATACCTGGACCTCTATGGATACTTTGGCGCCGTCGAGAAGTGGGCAAGATATAATAGTTCAATCAAACAGCCGCCGCACCTCTTGCCATCGCCCGATGAGCAGGACCCGTGGTCTACCTACCTCGAGTTTCTTCACTATCACTCATTGTGCCAAGAGGCATCTGATGATAGAGTGATTGCCCTCGAGATGGACATGTCCAGTGAGTGGGCAATCCTGGCACAAGAAAACCTGCTTCAACCCACGGATACGGCCCTCTCACTTGTGTACCGCCTTGAAGTGCAGGAGGATCTGCCGGAAGCAAACAGAGCCCTTTCGTACGAAAAGTTTCTTTCCTCGTGGAAGCGCCTACGTCAAGGTACCGAAGTCGCCGATTATCAGTCCGCGAGTCTGGGCTGGGCTTGGGATATGATGGATTCATTTGTTGGCAAATCTTAGGTACCCAGCTTGCCCAGTTAGTGGTGGAAGATTGCACTTCTAGCATCTCGACTGATCTAGTAAGTGGCCAATAACATCCAATGTCATCGTTGTTTCTCCTAAATCTAGGCACTGATCGCTGTTCTCCCTTATCCTTGCTATTGCGAGTGATGTGTGAATGTTATTATGCTACAGGGATCTTCAAGTGATGGATTGCGGTGGAATGTGGATGGAACCCGCTGGAAAGTTCCACCACCAATTCCATTAGTGGTGATCGGCCCCTGTTCAGTGAGTTACCCGCTAGAGGCAGTGCTGCTACTCACTGTAAGCAGAAGTCTACGTACACCATTTTGCTGCATTTGTCACAGCGGAAGCCTGCTCAGACTCTCTCGAGGTTTCTGGCATTTTCTGCATCTTTCTCAAGGCTACACTCGTTGCGAAGCCTCCAGGTATCACTCGGCGTCATGGCTGATTGATCCTATTATAAAGGAGCAGGCTTTGGCCAAGTGAGCCTGGCCTATCTGCTCCTCATCACACCACTCCCACACCATCCAATCTAGCCTCACAGACATCGCCAATAGCCTCAAGGCAACATTCTTGCTCACAAAAACCTCTTATACATTACCATCCACACAAACAACCACTCTTAGAAAAATGGAGTTCTTTCCCCGAACCGTCTACAACACTGGCGCTAGCTCCAGCAGCCCATTCAACACCCTCGCCCAGCTCATTGATGAGTTCGACAAGTACTCTCGACAGGACTCCAGCAAGTCCCAGGAGTCGCCTGCCCCTACCTTCCACTGGCAGCCCAAGTTTGACGTCCGCGAGACCGCCGAAGCCTACCATCTCTACGGCGAGCTTCCAGGCGCCACCAAGGACCAGATCTCCATCGAGTTCCCGGAGTCTCAGCGCATCGTCATCAGCGGCAAGACTGAGCGCTCCTACTTGGGCGCTACCCCAGGCTCGCGCCCCAGCTCGCGCCAGGCTACGGTCGAGGACGAGGCCGAGGCCGGCGAGAAGGTGGTGGTTGCTGATGTTCCCCCCCGGGATACCGCCAAGTACTGGCTGAGTGAGCGCAACATTGGCCAATTTTCCCGCGCCTTCAGCCTGCCCTCTCGTGTGGATGAAGAGGCCGTCTCTGCGAGCCTCAAGGACGGCATCCTGAGCGTTGTCATCCCCAAGGCTAAGAAGTACGAGGCCCGCAACATCATTGTCAACTAGATCATTAATGATCCTTGCACATGATCAACACACTTTGGTTTTTTTTTTGCACTTTGAATCATCAATTACTGCATCGTCGGGCGTTTGGAATTGTGGGATCATCGGAGGCTCCGGACCAGTGCAACAGACAGAAGTTCCTCATAGAGGCATTGTAACAAACTAGTATCTAATTCATCAATTACATTCTCTCACCTATTTTTCTCCCTATTCTCGAGCTTGACAAGATTGAGAAGTGACATGTGAAATAATGATAACATCTGAGTGACACGAACTTTTTAGAAACGAAAATCCCCAAACTAACCACTTGAGAACGAAGCCTTGTCACTAATGAGCTTCGGACGTCGCCAAAAGGCAAGTTTCCCAAGGAAGCTGAGGAACCCCCCACGCCCGCGCCCGCGCCCCCGCGATATAGAGCTGACGGAGCTCGCATCGTCAGCCGCAACCTTACGTGGGTGGCAGTCGCAGGTACAGCAGCCACAGCACGCCTTCTTCTTCATGGACGACAAGGGCGGGCGCCCCCCTATTGGCGGGAGGGGACCACGAGCGGGAAGAGGTATGGGCCTGGGCGGCGCGACGACCGTGAGGTCGACGAGGGCGGCGTAGATCTCCGAGCGGGTGTAGGGGATGCTGCCGAGGCAGCAGCTTAGGGTCTGGCCGGCGGCGTGGCAGAGGCGTTGGCGGACGACGTCGAGGGCGTCGTCGTCGCTGGCGTACTTGGGCCAGGGCCTGCCGTGCTGCGAGGAGTGGGAGAAGCCGGGGACGAGCTTGATCTCCGCGCACAGGGTCTGCAGGGTCTCGATGGGCACGGCGGATGGCGCGGGGACGAGGTCTAGGAAGCTGTTGGGGAGGCTGCGGACGGGGGCGGGTGTCAGGGCGAGGGATCTGTCCTCCCTCTGCACGCGGTAGAGCCGCAGGGCGAGCGAGTCCCAGGTGGGGTCGAGGCCTGCAGGGGGTGGGAGGATGGAGAACTTGCCCTCGAGGCGTCTCAGGCGCTTGTCGAGGTCGGGGAGGGTGCTGGCCGAGATGATGTCGTCTGGGAGGGGGATGTTCTGGCGGCCCTCGAGGAAGGCAATGGCACCGCCGCACTTCGCATGGGCCTGTCTATGGTCCATTTCCATCTGATTTCGAGAACTAATCAAAATTAAAGAAAGGGAAAAGAAAGCAAAAGAAAAGTGCAGGTGGTGGATGGGAGAGGAGGAGGGGGCATCATGCCGACGGGTTTCCAATGCCTTTTAACGACTTCCTGCACGCACTATTGGGCTGAGAACTCGGGCATGCAGGATTCTCAAGATGATTGGCTTGTTTATGCCCCCTTTTGCCGTCGGATCGGGTGAGTGACCGCATAATGACTGGAATAAGTGATGCGAAAGTGAGGCGGACGAGGTGTGTGGGCATACATTCCCTTGGGAGGAGAAAACTTTCTTTTCTTGCCCTCATCCATTCACAGGCGGCTATCAATTGGCGGTCAGTCACCTCGTCATTTATCAACTTGACAGCGTTGCACCGGAGGCTGGGAAGACGTTAGAGTTCAATAGCAGCCATATATCGTATTAGATGTATATTTGTGCACTTTTTGTTATTGTGATTGCCATTATACCCCTCAAGGTAACGTGTCACCTATAGCATCTCGTATGACTTTGCTCCCCTTCAGCTCCTTATTCGTTGCCTGGATAACGATGCGTCTGTAGCTCGTCAAAGCAGGTGTGCCCGAGTCCGTCACTTCGAGGATAACGTGCAGCTCTTGGCCTTTGGCAACGGGGGCTCTGCTAATCAGGTCGGCGCAGCATTCCTCGGGTGTGGGAAGGGTGACCTTGACTACCCTCCCCTCCTCGTCCTGCTTCTCTACCTTCATCTCCTGGACCTCTGCCGTCACCCACCACTGTGATGCCGTGGGCTCTCTGTATTGCCACCACTTGAACGTTAGTGAGTCGCCGTCTGGATCGTACGTACCACCTGCGTCAAGTGTGATGCTCGTAGATGCCTCAGCCGTAAAGTAGATTGGGGCTGTGCCGACCGAGCCGTTGACGGAGATGACGGGGTGATGGTTGGCGGAGGACAGCTCAGGGGAGAGCGTCCACTGGATACGGGCGGCAAAGTCATTTTGGAAGGCGTCTCTCCAGCGCCAGATGGTGGCGTGATTGGACTTGTACGTCTTCCCATCCTTGCCCACGACGTGGTCGGTCGCGTCGCTGTAGTGATTACTGCCCAGGCCGTGGGGGCTGATATCAGTCTTGTTGTATCTGCCACCCCACGAGCCGAGTTCAGGGCGCTCGGGGACACCAAGGCCGTTCTGGATGAGATAGAGAAAGGTGGGAGTGTCGCCCTCGGGGATGAAGAGGTAGTCGGGGTAAGCAGACCCGAGCGGTCCGATCTGAACGTGTTCTTTGAGCCACTCTTTGGTCAGCTTAGAGAAGTCTGGTCCGCCCTGATCAAAGCCGTAGTAGTTGTCGCCTGCGATTCCGGTCCAGGCTGCCAGGCCATACTGGTTCCAAGCGTGTATCGAGGATATGTAGAAGAGGTCGGGGAATGTGTTGCGGATCCAAGCTCCCGTGTCGTCTTGGTCGGAGATGGTATAGATCCTCAGCTTTGCGCGGAGGGGGGCAAACTCTCCCTCGCTCAGAGAATGCTTGAGCTTGAAAAGAACTTGCGCAAGGACATTGGTGCCGCCCCAGACTAAGATCCATAGAGGGTCATCATTCGGAGCCTTGATTCTCTCTGTGAGAAGTTCACCACCCTCGCTGAGTGGGATATCGTGCCCAACAGCCTCAAAGCCGTATACCTATAAGCGGGAAAACAGTTCACGTCAGTCTTTGTCAATTTGATATAAATTTGCTGAATTAGAGAAGGAGGATTCATTTTCGTACCGGTGCACCAGATTTGATAATGCTTCTAAAGTAGTCGGCAGAGGCGTAGGGGAAGTCTGGGTGGACATGCTTGTTTAGGTTGTCGACAGCCCCGGCATATGCGTCAATGATCTTGTGCATGTCCTGGGGACAGACTTTGTTCTTCATCCATGTTGACGTGCAGGCCACGAGACCTTCCGTCTGGAACTGGTTGGAGTAGAGGAGATATCGCACGAGCGACTCGGCGTCATCAGGCTCATTGGAGATGTCCGAGACAATGAAGACACGGGGCTTTGAGGGGAAAGCCAAAAGCTTCTTGTTGTCCTCGCTTGATGCCATGGTTTCTATTCAATCCGCCAGTACTACTGTTTGCCCGGGGGTCTGGTCCAGTTGATCAATCCAACAGACAGCCAGGGTTTATATGAAACGGCCGTTGATTTGACCTGAGGCCCAACTTGTGATGCTTGAATGATGATGGACTTCTTTAATTCATGCCGTAACTAGGATAACGTACCACCCGCCCAATTGCACCGTGCAATCGCCGAATTTCTCCCACAAGAAGGGCATCTGGAGGCACCTCTGCCTCCTTTTGGGATGGTCCCGACCGAATGGTTCAGATTGCGGCCAATTCTTTGCCGAGGATTAGGCGTAGTTACATGGAATGTCATTACGGAAATCTTGTTTAGTCTCAGAGCCCCGTGCTTGGCCTCAATAGCTCCCCATATTGTTCGTACCGGGCTAGTTGGGCGGGTCAACTGCCGAGTCATTAAACGGGAACGCCGCAGAACGGCCGGATTGGGACATGTTAAGCGCCCACTCATCTCATAATTACGCGTTGATGAACCCCATGGGCTTCTCCGGAGGCCTAACTGAGGCCTTTCCTGAGAAAACGTGGATGGAATTGTGGGTTGTGGGTTGTGGAGAGACTTCCCCAGATCACGCGAGCTGCAAGTTTGAGTTTCCCTGCTGTATACATCGTGTTTCCGCGAGGTGCCTCGTCGGGTCAACTCGGCTAATCCTGGTTGAAGGTATTCCCAGAAAGTATACTCAAAATTTTATATATAATAACGCAAAACGCCACTACCGTTAGCTAGCCTACTCTCTCCCAACGGAGCATCCGACACTTCCTGCACTTTTCTGTTTGTTCCTTCAACACCTCTTCCCTGCAATTTATCATACATTCAGACATCATGGCGAAGAAGGCCAACGCGGAGCATCTGGATAATTTACAGACAGACAATCATGATCTGGCCAACCTTGCTAACCAGGAGGACCATGACCTCACCAAGATTGGGGCTATAAAGAAGTACCCATTGGCCTTTTTATGGTCTCTGTATGCCATCTGGTGTACGCTTCTTGTCTCATTCGAGAACCAGGCAGCTGGTAATGTTGTTGGTATCCCTGAGTTTCGCAAAGACTTTGGCCACGAATACGCCGGCAACTATGTCCTTGATGCCAATTGGCAGAGCGCCTTCCAAGGCGCACCCGTTGCTTCGTACGCTCTCTCTATCTCTATCCTTACTCTGATTAGAATTCATCACTAACTGTCATTTCCCTTTCATAGTGGTGTTATTGGTGCTCTAGGTTGCGGTGCTATCGCTGACTGGTTGGGTCGCCGCGCCGTTATCATCATCTGCCTCGTCATTTCGTATGCCGCCATCACGATGGAATTTGTTGCCACGACAAACGAGCTCTTCTTTGGTGGAAAGTTCCTCAACGGATTCGCTATTGGCGCACTCGCGTCTGTTACAGTTACCTACATCGGCGAGGTGAGAACAACATCGATCGACTAGAATACTACAAACAGAGCAGCGAACTAACACATTTCCCCCCAGGTTGCCCCGTTGGCTCTTCGAGGCATGCTCACATGCCTGACCGGTCTGGCCTACACCTTTGGCCCCCTAGTTGTCGCCATCATCGTCAATGAAACCGGAACCATGGAAAGCCGCTGGGCTTACCGCGCCGTTTTCTGCGCCCAGTACGGTTTCGCCTTCATCTCGACCATCTTCATCTTCTTCATGCCCGAGTCGCCTTGGTGGTTAGTCTCCAAGGGTGAACAGGAAAAGGCCCTCAAGTCCCTTGCCCGCCTGGGTAGCAAGGGTGAGATGGGTGTACAACGCCTCGCATCTATCAACAAGACCCTTGCCGAGGTTGCGGCAGAGACTGAGGGTGTGACCTATCTGGAGTGCTTCCGCAAGTCCAACTTACGTCGTACCATCATTTCAATTGCTCCTCTGTGCATCCAATCTCTGTCCGGTATTGTTTTTGTGGCTTCTTATAGCACCTACTATATCCAGCTCGCTGGTTTCTCTACCGAGATGAGCTTCAAGCTGCAGATTATTCAGCAGATCCTTTCTCTGGTCGGAAATGTTATGTCGTGGTACCTGGTCGATCATTTCGGACGACGAGACTTAACTGTCTACGGCCTGTTCGTGCTGACTATAATCCTCTTCCTTACCGGTGGCCTGGCCGCTGCTGGAGGCGATGGCCCCATCAAGGGAACTGTCGGCCTTATCATCATCTACTGCTGGTGGTATAACGTTACCATCGGAGCTACTGCGTATACCGTTCTTTGCGAGGTATCGACCTCGCGTCTCAGAGTCAAGACCATCGCCATCGGCATGGCTTGCCAATATGCGCTCAACATGATCTGGAGCTTCGTCCTTCCCTTGCTTTTCAACCCGGATAAGGCCAACCTCAGCGCCAAGGTCTCCTTCATCTTTGGTGGCTTTGCCATCTTGAGTCTCGTCTTCTTGTGGTTCTGGCTGCCCGAGACTGCTAACCGCACGTACGAGGAGCTTGATGAGATGTTCACCAAGAAGGTGCCCGCGAGAAAATTCAAGGACTTCAAGACCGATACCCAGGCGTTTGGTGAAACTGCCAAGGCAGATCACATGGATGAGGTGGAGGAGAGCAAATAGATTCCCAACTTGAAGTTTTACAAGACCAGTAATAGCCTCTGTACAATTTTTACTGAAAATAATGAATTGAGACTCGCATAATACTGGTTGGATCTGGGTAAATAGTTAGATCGCATATAGAGAAAGTTGACATACCCTCTACTTCTTTGTTTAAGTTCTGTTGAAATTCCTTCTTTGTATGCTAGCTATGCCCTAGTCGCGTTGAAATGAGTCTGTAAATTATAAGCCTATTTGATCTAACAAGTCTGTATTCATGGGCCAAAGCACTTTGTATTGTGGGTGTTATAGATCGCTATGGACTGTCTGCCCTTCAGCAGAGTTGCGTCTACTTGTGCATTTACCACGTAAGTTGCAATACATTTCCCTCGGCGAAATCATCCCCACATAATGCATAAATACTGCAACTGACCTTCATTCATTTCACCGGTAATTAATCAAAATGTGTATCATGTTACATGCTGAGCGCGCCACCCAAGTCGTGGTAAAACAGGTCATCGATATACGAGGTCCTCTTTAATGAATAATCTCATTCAGCCATTGAGAGAAGTCGATCTATATTCTTTGAGAAAGAGTTCTGTATAAATCATTATAATATATTTAAGAGATGGATAGATGAAAGCGCTTTTAACTAAGTCTTAGCTAGATAAGTAGAATATTTTGCCTTCACTACTGAGATAGAGTGAAATCAAATTGCTCTACTTGACTAGAATTGAAGCCAACACAGCATATCCTAGAAGTCTGCCGCATCTCAAGCTTCCAATGATCACGGCATGTGAAAATGCTCAACGAACTATGGCTGAGTTGGATGGAGAGGAAAATATGGAATATTGCCCCAATTTCCCCAATTTCCTGCATCAAGCCACCTTTGTTACCCTCTCAAATGTCTCGAGAAGTCGTAGCCACAAGCAAGAAGATCCTCGTCCCACGTACGCTGTTGTGTCTCTTGTTGACTACTGTATCATAATTTTGAACTCCCTTATATAATCATTCACCTATCCGTTATAAGAACTGTTCCGAATAATGAGGAAAGGAATTTAGACTCACTAGAGGCAATAAAGAGTTCACCATGAGTGAGAATGACAAAGGATTGCTCTTAGGATTCGCACGTCTTAAAGTCAACAAAGGTACAGCGTTTCAACAAGAGTATATGGCATAGATGAATAAAAACTCCTTTAGAGCTCAAAACTCGTAGGAAGTTATCGTTATCCTTTTTCTCGGTTGGCTTCTATGGGGGACTGACGCAAATGCCTGAAACCGCCAAAATCAAGAGAGACTTAATTACAGGGCGATCTAACTACAACAGGTCGACAGTAAACAGTTTAAACAAAGGAAATGACAACTCAATAATAATAGGGACATTATGACAGTTTAGACTTAAGCTCTAAACTAATCGAGTTGTTTCTTAGGCGGAAATTGTGGTGGTGTTACACCACGACCTCGCGCAGTTCATTTGAAGTAAATGTGCTCTTGATGGCTCTTTCCTCGTGTAATACACGGACGGAGTTGATACTTCTCGCAAAACGAACAAGACAAATGGAGTGTTTTCAAATTGATAAATTCTCGTAAATCCTGAGACAATGGTCTCTACTATAGTTTAGTTTCCATACTTCTTTGATCTTAAGGATAGAGAATGCTGATTCACATCAGCAATGCCTGTTTACAACCTTGGACAACAGTCAAAGACTTTCAATCACTCACTAGAAAGGCTTTGAGAGAAGAGTATAAATACCACAAGCTGGTGCCTTATATCTTGAATTGATGGCAGTATCCTTGATGCAAAAGGTTCCAACAAGCTTCACTCGCAACCCACATTTGAAATCTCTAAAAGGTTTAAACATTGATCCTCTTAGCACTAGAGTCATTAGGCCAACTTCCAAATGGCGTCCTCAACTTCACAGAATCGACCATTGTCGATCAATCAAATTCTCCGCCAAAACCCAAGAGACCAGCTCTATGTTGAGCCCTTGAAGTGGACACATGAACACCTTCGCCACCTTGAGATTTCCTTTGTCGAACCAAAGGAACTTCATGCTTTCGACCCGGTCCACCGAGAATCGAAATTATGGGACACGATCAATTTTACAAGCTCTGACGAGCTTTTATCGCAAGATGTACGCCTCAAAGCGGTTGAAGATTTTCTCAAAAAGGCAGATAATAAGCTATCATTCGAGTAAATTCTGCCCCCTAACGGTGATATACCGAATCAATTAGTGCCCATAATGACTGACTTTCTCCTACAGAGACGACTTGTACCTTTTCTTCCACAAAAAGCAACAGAAGTTGGATTGCACGTTCTCTGTTGAGCCAGGCGACGACATTCCTCTGGCCGCTTTCCTTGATTACATGACCATCGTTACCAAGAGGGAGGGTACAGTGGAGCCAAGGTTGAAATCACAGTCAACCAACACCTCCATTGAAATCAGCAAGATGAAGTCGGTCCTGAAACTCAAAAAGATTACGCCGGAGAACCCTTTGTACGACCCCTTTGTTGCGGCTATATTGATTGCTTTAGCCCAAGCCCAGCAGAGAGCAACGGCGTCATCACGGCCGCATGGCAAGGGAAAAGAAGTTGTTGTATGTAACGCGAACAGGTTGATATCTAGCTATTTGGGCTGCGCTAACTATGACTATTCTCAAGGGTCCCGAGGACTTGAAGCCCCTTGCCACTGAAGAGCGGAAGTATGATGTAAGTAAAGTTTAGCAGACGGAGATGTGATGTTTTGTTTGCTCATAAATTTGTTTTCTAGGTTCGATTGCTTGTCACTTTCCAAAAGGATGCAACCTGTATTCTTTACAAGTCTGTCATTTCATCGACATTCTTAGCCAAGTTCAATGATTTGGACTATGCGCCACCAACGTCAACTCCAATGCGCATTGAACTCAGTGACATTCCTTTTAAGCCTCGCATCTCTCTGCATCGGCGTATATTCAATGAACTATTCCCCGAACGACAAGGAACTGGAGGTGATAGCGACGAGAGATCCTCCAACTCTGAGGCATCGCCTACGGACGAGACGTCAGGATCCAGCGAAAGCAAATTTGCGGTCATCGGTGGCACGGTGGCTAACGAGTCAACTTCAGGATCCAGCGAAAGCCAATTTGCGGTCATCGGTGGCACAGTGGCTGACGAGTCAGCTTAGGTCTGTACGGCTTGGGAGCTGCGAAGCAAAAGGGACTCCGCGGACAAGTATGATGTTGAAAGTTCGTACAACGAACACCACTACTAGGCGGCCTCGAAGGTGATCTAAGTGGGAAATAATTGAACCAAACTGCTCAGAACGTACAGATAGAACATGGTTTGACGGTGGATCTTTCTGGGGGAAAATGTATTCAAATATCATGCGAGATGCCGGGAAGCCCGAAGTGGCAATACTGGCTCTTCTGAGAAAAGTGACTCTTTCATCAATTTATGTTTGGCTTCCTTTGACCACTCGTCACACTGTGTCGTTCTTGTAACTCCTTGACTTCTCTAACCTATCGGAAGCAGTAGAACCCCCCGGCTGTACCTACCATAGCTGGATCGAAGGAGGTACGGTTAGAGCTCAACGTCCACCTCAGCAACTTTGTGGGCTTGGCGCCTTATTCAGCTGTTGTTATTCCCATATATTGAATCACAACGTGGGATTTGGGGCTGTTCGAAATTTACATGACGTGCTGTGTATAACATCTCGTCTGCACCTTCGAGGACTTGAAAGAGAGGTGAAAAGCACTACTAGGAGTGCTTAATAAGAAGGATAGCTGGAATTTCCAAATTCTATGTGGAACGTAGACCACACTTTTGTTTCCGCCCCTCTTTGTTCCCTGCCTGATAATATATACATATTCATCTTCCTGAAAAGGATTACTTAGTGCGCCGACGTCTGCATCGACCAGAGCCTCGAGTACTTGCCTCCCAACTCGAGTAGCTCTTTATGTGTCCCCCTCTCCACAACCTTCCCGCCATCAATGACGAGGATCAGATCCGCACCCACAACAGTGCTCAATCTATGTGCCACCGTGAAGACCGTCCGGTCCTTGCTCAGGATCCGGATGGCCTGCTGCACGGCCGCCTCGGTGTCTGAGTCCACTGAGCTAGTCGCCTCATCTAAAACCACGATCTGTGGCCGTCGCAGGAGCACCCTCGCAATAGACAGCCGTTGCAGCTCGCCGCCCGAAAGTCGCACTCCACGCTCACCAAGACGTGTCTTGTAACCGTCTGGGAACTTCATAATCTGGTGATGGATGCGGGCGCCCTTGCAGGCCTCGATCACATCGGCCTCTGACGCTCCCGGTCGGGCGTAGATGATGTTCTCCATGATGGTCTGGTCGAACACGGATGGCTCCTGCGGGACGGCGCCCAGGCTCTCGCGGAGGCTGTGTAGGGTGACGTCCCGGATATCCTGGCCGTCGATCAAGATGCGGCCCCCGGTCACGTCGTAGAAGCGGTAAAGAAGTTTCAGCGTGGTCGACTTGCCGCCGCCCGTCTCACCGACAAGTGCAATGGACTGGCCTGGCTCGGCGGTAAAGGTCATGTCTTGGATGATCGGCCGTTCTGGGCCGTAGCCAAAGTCGACATTGCAGAAGTCGACACGGCCGCCTTTCCATTGGAGGTCGCGGGCGCCCGGTTTTTCCTGTACTGATGGCTTTGTCTGAAGCAGCTGGTAGAGCCACTCGGCGTCGATCAGGTGCGAGGTTGTCTCCCTGAGGGTCCAAGATAGGCTGATCATGGGTGCACGAATTGAGCTCCAGTATGAGACCAGAAATACAAAACTGCTGAGCTTGGCTGATCCGGCCGCCACGCGGAGGGCAACGACCGATGCGGCAGCTAGGAGCCCTGCATCTAGAATGAAAGACTCGAAAGCGTGAATGAAACCGAAACCATCAAAATATCTTCTTTGAGCCTTAAGAGAGCTTGCTATCGAGCTCGCGTAGCGGTCTTGCTCGAAGGTTGCCCGGTTGTGATACACCACTGTCTGCCAGTTCGTGATAGAATCGTACAAAGTCTCATTCTCTCGGCGATACGTCTCACTCAACACCCTCTCATAGGACATGTTGATGCCATTGCCCTTGTAGCCGACATAGGCATGGATCATTGCCGTTGCAATGATGATGAAGCCAAGAGTTGAGTCAAAATACGAAGTCAGGTATATAACAGCAACACCGAAATCAATGATGACAGGTGCGATGTTAAAGACGCTGTTTAGCACTGAACTCAGGTTGCTGCCCTGCTCGATAGCTTTAGTGACTCTGCCCGTGCTCTTGGTGGTGTGGTAGTCCATCGAGAGGGACATGACATGAGAAAACGCAGCCTCGGTGAGCCTGCGGTAGGCGTACTGCGAGACACGGATGGTGGCCATGTTCTCTACCATGTTGGTTATGGTGGACACGGGAAACTGGAGGAGACCCCATATGGCAATATCCTTCCACGGTACAGAACCAGTACCAAACATATTTCCCAGAGACTCGGTGAGGATACCGAGTTGGCGGGGGATCATGAGGGTGAGGACGCGGGTTGTGCCCATGCAGAGAATCATCACAACCACCCAGCCCTGGGTCGGACGATGGTTGTATGGCACAAGGTATGGGAGGAATATGATGAAACTCCTCAGGTAGCCTAGCCAGCCACCTTTCTCCTCAAGACGTTTCCGCTGCAGTTCCTTGATCTCCTTGACATCTTCGTCCTCCTTGGCCTCGTCCTCCTCAACCTCAACTTCAGGGTTTTCACCTTCTGCTACTTGAGGAATTGATCCATAAGACATACTCTCCAGGTCGTTCTCACGCGCCTGCCTATTCTGAGTAGTGCCTAGGAGGTTGCTAGTCTCTTCTTCGGTCCCTGTCTCGTCTTGGCCGTGGTGCCGCTCGATGGTACAGAGACTGCAAACAGCGCCAGCCAGCAACACAGTTATGCGCAGCGTGTGAAGAGAGAGACGTGCAATTTCGTACCCTGAACTAAGGGCCAATTCCTTGCTAGTAGTAAGAGCGACAATGGATGCATCGATTAGAGCACCGGAGGTCCATGCCAGGATGTACGTGGGCCAGTGGGGTGATTTGCTCTCTACCAGAACCACTGATAAAGTGCCCCAGATGAGGATTGACGCCAAGAGATACAGCTGTGTGATAAATACTGTGAGACACGAAGATTCAGCGCGAGGAGGGAAGCATTGTAGTTGCACACATACCGGAGAGTTATCGGGTGATGAGGCATCTTGAGAGCTGGCTTGGTTCTGGAATGAACCGAGAATGGCTTGCGCAATCTGTTGAGTTCAGGAACATCAATCTCCAGTTAGTACATGGCTGGGTCACTTGAACAAGACCAAGAATAGAAAACACAATGACAGAGACAGAAACGGCAAGCAGGTAGTGGTAAAAAGACAAGCAAATGGGCTCTATATTGGTACTCACAAAGCTCAGACAAGTGATTGGCGAGACACAAGTCAGCGTTGCTCTGGCCGTTCTTCCGATGCCGCTATACCTTGACCGCTCACTCGCCGGCCGGATCAGCAACCGGAGCAGTGGGAGCACCACAGTAAGAGCCACAATGGCCAGTGGCCCTGCAATGTACAAGACGTGGGCCACCTTCTCAGATGGTCCGGGGTCACGCGCAATTGGGTCAATTGAGTCCATGGAAACGACCGAGGGGTTGGCAGACAACCGAGCCGTTGCTGACAGACAGACTCCAGCCCTAGCTCGAGTGATTCTGGTGAGAGGACGGGCTTGAGCTTGGGGTGCGTGGTGAATGGGAGGGGAAAAGAGAACGAAAAAAATAAGGCCAGGGGTCTAGATGAGACGCTGATTGTTTGATTAGGTGATGGGGTTCTGTTTGTTTCGGCTTGGCGCGGTTAAGTTGCATCGCGCGGCCATTCATGCATCCTACCTGCATCCCTGGCCTAGACTCGATCTGCATCTACACCGTATTATCACGTACAGAGTGGCCATTGGGTAGTTTTAGTCCGTTTCGACGCTTGTCAATCGCATATTGTGCCATCTGATGAGGCGCGTGAGGGAATAAACCCCGGGTCAATGCATGACATTCTCTAGCTCAACAGCAACCCACATTCTACAGCCTGTCAGATGAGGAGTAACAGGCGCGCTAAGAGTGATATTATCACCCTTATCAATAATATGGCTTTGTCCTAGCGTCGTGCCGTGCTCGTGAACCACTATGACGGTCTCAACTTGTCTCACCCATATCTACAGAGTGGCATGATCCCGCGACGAGAATCACGTGTCCGTCGACGAAAATTAGTTTCAGTTTCATACCTGTTCCTCTACACAAATCTTGCCCATCCGAGCTCATCTCTATGGGGAAACCGTAGACTATGAAACTAATATGTAGCTAGTGAGAGACATTGGCCGTCTCACAGAGCCTTTACAAGCGACAAGCAGAGGCTACTGTTATTTGAATGGTCTAATAACGGTCGTAAACCGGGTTTTTTGCAGCTGATTCCACCGCTGTTGCCTTCCCAGTGATGAAGACATGGAGAAATCCAATGTTAGACCTAGGAGTGAGGTACGCATGGTGAGAAATAGGCATCATGTGACTTCTAGAACCCGGTCATAGCCACATCATGCATCTGTCAATGCAGCACACCCTTCAGATACAGTTCTTGTGGATACGATGTCAGATAGCGGGCTCCAGGCAATGTGGAGGAGCAAACAACCAGAGACGTGAAGATCCCTGTGAGGGGGAAACGGCTGCGGGTCTTCTTGACCGCGCATTTCTGTGACCTATGGATTGTCCATGGTATCGTTACTTTGGCATTGCGTTTCTCTCGTGTCAATTCGAACTCTTAAGAAAAGGAGTGTACCATACGACGATTAGGTGTTGACGTAGTTTTAACGTGGGAGTAAGAAAAGGGTAGAGTTACAAACCACGAAAAGCCAGGGTAGCTAGCACTCAAATTGAACATTAATATTGTAAAACATCTCGCTATTTTATGAACCGAGCCACAGAAATATAAAGTATAGATTCTTGAATATCCAGCATAGACAGTGGTTGAGTAGGTTGAGTGGGTGTGGAGTCTAGGGTATGTGGGAACTGCTGCATGTGAGTGCTGCATGCATGGTAGCATCCGAAAGCTCAGATGAGGCGAATCAGTTCATTGTGGGTGCTTATTCGCTAGCTATGGATGGCAGTCCCCAGTTTTAAGGCTATTTTAATCAATGTTGAACTCAAGATTGGACCCTAGTATGATCTTTATGGCGATTAAACAACGTCAAGGCGTTGATCCGCAGCCACCAGACTGGTCTTGTGCTCCACCTTGGAGCAGAGCCACATCAGGCCATAATACATACTTTGAATGTGTCACTTAGCTGAGCGTAGTAAGTGCATGAGATTTTTTGTTGCAGCACTTATGGAATTTCTCTCATCAACGGTGCGAGCACACCATGTAGGCCCAGCGGGACCATCAAGATTGATTGGTAGCGTTTACATGCGATAAGATCAACATCGCAGTAATGGCAATAGCTGTATCGACGGAGGTGAAGAAGCTTTTTGCGAGCTTTGTAAAGAGGGTTGACTGACGATGATCTTGGGCAGTGGATGGTAGAAAAGAACATTGGGTGATATGTGCAGTATATCACATTGATACTATTATCTTTGCTCTTGTTTCACGTGTTTTGGAGGATGTCAGAGTATTTCAAAATACTTATCGACATAGAAGATAAACGATCTTCGACGTAGCCCATTGAAACCGTATAGAGCCTAACATCTGCAGCCTCGTGACTTGTTATCGAAAGGCTGGCGAAGAAAAGGTATATGAATGCTCTCACAATTGTTGGTGCTCCGTTGTTTGAGACGCGACGATCACTGTTGGATATCACAAGAGAAAGGAGTGATTAAATAGAAGGGTTTTAAGGTTCTAGGTGGCTGCCTGCCTATGTTATTAGCAGCATGCATCTCGTCCCTTGATAATATAATGAAGTAACCCCTAGGGACTCCGGTCTTCCGAAAAGTAAGTATGGGTTAAGCTTCACATCTTCCTAGTACATTTGGTTTATCGTCTTATGTTACTGCCTACTATTTCCTCATCTTCGCCACCCATATCCCGACGCTCCTATACCCCCAGCCGCTACCAGAGGAGTCAGAATCTTGAGCATTCTAGCAACCAACATGCCTTGGTGAAGCTCTCGAAACTTGTCACGGAAGACCCGTGACTCGTTAAGACGAGGAAATGGCACATCAGGCATCTCCTTTCCAAGAAAGTCACACAGCGGCTCCCAGCCCAGGTCGGCGAGATTTAGCTCCAGAAGTCGGTCTGCAGGCACTAAGCGGCGGACATTGGCATGATGACGATCGTATCCGGCACGCAGTATATTATGGTCCCGTGTTTTACCCAGATCGCATACTCCCAGCAAGCCCATATACATTTTCCAGACTGTCTGGCTCAAATGGAGATCCACCAAGGGCTCGAAGACGTTGCCGCTCAGCCATGCCAGCATCCCATCGGAAGATGGCGAGACTAAGGTGCGGAGAAAGCTCTGGACCCAGGAATCAAAATCTCGTTTGACTAGGATGACACGCGCCTCGGGATATGCATTCAACAGGCTCTCAGCGAAGGGTGTGACGTCTGTAAGAGCCTCACACGGGCCTAGGTATGCATCCCAATCTTCACGGGTGTAGGAATGGCCAGTGTAAGATGGAAGACAGGCGATGTTGGCATCGGCAGCGGCATCGATTCCGTTCCATTTGTCGAAGTTATCTACCAACGCGGATGAATGAAAGACGTCACGGTATCCAAGGATGGTGAGGGCTTCTTTGAGGGATTGGGAACCGGTGCGGTACAATCCAAGGGAGATGATTTGCTTTGGGCGTTTCGGGCCCTCGGCGAAGGGAACTATAGGTTTGGCCATTTTTTTGTGTATCGATTTCATTCATATTAGTGCGTGAGTTCCCGAAGCCCTGGATTTCGCATCTTATTTCAATCATTCTTGTTAGTATCATGGCCCTACGTCATTGCCGATCGTCGTCATGGTGGATCATAGACGATTAGTGAGTCCTTGGTGGTGATTTATTTTGGAGATCGTGCCATGTGAGTTTGTACTTTAATGAAGCCGATTGGGAGAACGCCTCTGCCCAGCCGCCTGTGAGATACTCTGTCATTCTAAGTACATCGTAGAGATTGTTCTCTATTGCTATGATGAGGCTAGTCGATTACGAATACCTTTGCCAGTGAATTTTCTTTCATCAGGTAGTGGTAAGTGGGCGTAAATAGACGGGTAGGTGTTTGAACTGAGGCCGAGATGAACGAAGCATGGGACGGGGGTTATGATCGATCGCGTTGTGGTGAACAAATTTATGATTAATATTATGTACGTCTTATTTTGAACCTACATTCTTTATGCAGCCATGACAGGCAATCGGTCGTTTAGTATAGCGATGAGGAGCGACTGTGGTTTGTATTTGGTTGTATACCATCATCTCTCTTGTGCGACCTGGCGGCTACCATATGTGCAATGTTAAACTACACGACGAAATGTTTTTTTACACTTAGGTAAAGAGTTGCCTCAAGCTATTATGATTGGTTCTAGATATGAGGTGCTCTCGGTGAACTGGCTGTAGACACTGAGTCGGGTCGGGCGAATCCTCCCGAGTATTACACTACCCTGCCATCAGTGACTACTTTCTCACCCATTCTGGGCTGAGACATCTCCGAATCGGAACTGAGAATCCAAGTCATAGCCTGGGGTATGGGCACCGGAGAAAAGCCGCACAGATTGTCGGCTAGGGTGAAATGAGTGTGCACAACCGATGGTGTGGTCTGGGCGGGGCGAAGTAAAAGGCCATAGGTTGAGATTACTGATGAGACACGGAAAGCTACTTCTTATCGCATTCAAGCCTTTTCAAGAAAGTACCATTTCGTTGGTAAAGGTTAACTTGACGAGCTGGTATATCGATGGAACATTTGTTGGAGTAGCTGGGTAGCAATCGCATTCAAACTGTCTCTGCCAATGACTATTTGGCATTCTGTGTCTTGTGACTGACAAAGAGTGTGTTGGTGCATGCGTGAATATTAGGAGACGAGCTGAAAGACCTTGATTAAGATGATCTCAATTTGGTGCTGGTATGAGTGCACTACCCGAGTGCTCTTTCCGACGTGCAGTTACCTACAAAAGCAGACTGGCTCTGAGTTGAGCAGTCACATGAGCTGACAATGGAAGAGCGTTGGTGTTGATTGTAGTAATCAGCCACTGGAAGACTGCACACGTCACCGGGAAAGGGTGAACTGAGACAATGTCTGCCAAGTGGCTCTTGACTGGTTGATTGACCCTGTTCTTACGCACCTTATAGTGGAGGATAGGTGCCTTCGGGAGACTTGGATATCGCCAAGGCATACTGTTGACCTGTCAAAAAAGCTGTCGCAACCATTTCCTTTTCCATGCTTCTTCTTAGGGTCTAAGAGTATGTTTTATTCCCGAGATTTCCTGGTTGGAAAGAATAAAGAACGAAAGTCACCATTCTGTTGGTCATCACAGACAGGGCATGGGAACGAGCACGCGAACCCCTATCATAAGAATGCGGCAATATTGGCCTGGTGTCTTAGATGAGAGTGAGGCAAGGTGTGCATGAGGGTGGCATTTTAAATGCTTCTATTGGTTGAGGATTCGGATGAAGGATCAATAGCGGCCGAGTATCGGATCTATGCCTTGGGCTGGAGAGGTTGACCGAATATAGGGTATATTCTGATCTAATGGATTGTCCCACTCTTTGCACACCTAGCCGAGTTGTTCTCCATAAGACGTAAAGCGTCTGAAGTCATGGATGTGCAGCTAAACGATGAGAAAAGAGATTAATTTGCGACATTCATGGATACACAGCCACTTCGTTGGGAAGCTTGGCATGAGTACTAGACAAGGGTTGTATGCCTTTTGAGTCATAGGATGGAGAATTTGATGAGATATGATAAGTATTTGAGGTTTTCGGGTAGAGGGAAGCCGCTTATTGATAGGTCCTGTAATATTCGGGATCATCGCAAGGGGGAAAGAAGCTAATCGTAAGTTTTGATCCGATGTTGTCGCAGAGGAATTTGCGCACATTCCTTGAGCTTGGCAGTGTACACGTTTTCGGTATATTACGCGGTATGATCTGTCATATTGGCAGACGTGTTACTGTATCTGGTGTTTGAGAAGAGGGGAAGTGTTCAGCCAGTTGTTGGCAAGCTCCGAGGATCGGAATCAAAGCACCTCGAAAACGTGGTTGAGGGTAAACGCTGAATGATGAGAATCACCTGGGCCCCGGTTCCGAGAGAATAATCAAGACCGATATTAGCTCCCGCAAAAAGCGAAACACGAATAGAAAAGAACAACTAACTAGACTTAGCTCCACAGCGGGCGGATATCTTTGATTGTAATCCCCGACAAACGGCTAACGGTTCCTCGTTCTACTCCGAACAGCGCTGACCTCAACATGCATGTCTGTATTTGTGAGACACCAACTACTTCCTAGCTAGTTCAGATGACGGCCAACGTTGATTGACTGGCCAAGACTAGGTACATGCATGGCCGTTGGTGCCCAACGGCGTTAGCCTCCCGTGAGATAGCGTGCACTTGCCTTCTTATAACAGGCTAGACTGGGTTTGATGCAGCCAAGGATAAGCCGGGGAATTCCTACCGCGTCTATAGCCTTCAATTTGGGCATAGAGATGATCGGGAGCTCAAAGAGGAAGCAAGAGATGCTCACTTATCCATGTCCGGAAAGGTCAAGCTGAAAGTAGAAGTCTCAAATTGGGATGCTTGCTTTTGGTCGGCCGCCCTACGCTAACACGTAACACCATAGCTGTCGGACTTCTGTTTCGGTTATCGACGTATATTATAATTTGTGGCCTGGATTCTTCTCATAGGCAGAAACCAATCGGTGTGGTGTATCTTCTTGGCTTGGGGCTTGTGATGCTGAAGCTCAAGCGTCCCTTGAAAAGGGATGTTGTGAGATATGCGTAAAAGTCAACATCAGGTACGATATGATTTGAGAATTTCGTTAGGTCGTGAGTTGCTACCTGTCTCTCTTCTTTGAACCAACTCTGCTCCGAGTCGGGAATGAGGGAGGATTCAGCTAACAGCCGTGTGATCAAGCTCATTCCATTGAGATGGAGCCCCACAGCCTCAACTGCAATAACGACTGTGGGTTGTCTTAGCCCACCCTGGCTTACTGCAAAGGAATAGTGATCAACCGTTCAGTAAGAAGAGTGAGGAAAGGCCGCTAGACAAGGCTCTAAGAGATACAAGTGTGGTGTCCAGCGTCACTTCTACCCAACGTCGAGCATGCTGCCAAGAACGCCTTATGTCTTCACCGCTTAAACTTACGAATAGGACTCGAAAGGGCCGAATCATGATTTTGAAGTTTGGAAGTAGTCAGGCAACTCTGAAAATGGCTGTCTGCTAGGGGGAGCTTTTCATCCGACGGCAAGATCACCCACGAAGCTTTACTTTGAGTCTATGCCACTTATCGCCACCTTGCTTATCGTAAATATCTATAAAAGCCAATGCAATCCCCGATCAACCCATTCTTCTCATCCTCATCACCAGAAAAAGGTTCATTCCAAGCCTTCAATTACCTCAAAGCCTTTGTCTCTCCACCTTCTACACTTTCAAACCTTCAACTTCGCAAACATGAAGTTTATCGCTACCACCATTCTCATCGCCGCTACTACTGCCGTCGCTCAATATGACCCTTGCCGCTCGCCTCTTTTCGCAGTTCCTCTCTGCTGCAAGACCGATCTTCTTGGACTCCTCGGTTTGAACTGTGAAGCACGTGAGTTGTTGATTCACCCCCCTCTTTAGATCTGTCTAATCGATCCATTCTAATGGTATACTCTCTGGAAAATAGCAAAAATTGCTCCTCTTAGCGTCGGTGGCTTTCAGGCCACTTGCGCTGCAGCCAATGCTCGGGATGCTAAGTGCTGCCTTGCTCATCTGGTATGTGACGAGGCCTGTTCGGTGTTTGGCGTCTTCAATATTGGTGCTGACTATCTCCGTTCCTTAGCTCGACCAGGCAGTTGTCTGTATCCCCCCCAGTCCCTAAATATGAAGTTTAGATACGATCCAAGTGTCGAAATGATAAGCAACATGTTCGCGTAGGCCGGTGGTAGTGGTTTTGGAGGACGGGTAGTTTCGGGTGGCTTTGAACCGCGTTCTCTACTTTTCCGATGTTTCCTTTGTTATCAGATACTTGCGGCTATCTCGAACACTCTTTCCATTAGCTTAAAAATGAATGAAAACTCATTAAACTCATTATCCTGGGAGAAAGAATGAACCCTCATGCCGATGCGTTAACACACGAGAGACTTAGGAGGTCGTTCGCCAGCCTGGTGCTGTAGGTTCCGTGGCAAGAAAAGTTTTTGGTCAAACGGCGGGGGTAGTTCTTAAAAGACTCTGTGATTGAAGAATGGAGGCATAAACTTCAGCGAGGATAGAATAGGGTTGATCAGAACGATTCAGACAGCTCAGAAATGCTTGAGCCTACTCTCGGTGGCTACAGCCGGGGGCTGTTTGGCTATATCTTGGGGAAAAAAAAAAGGGAGCCCGGGATACTATACACCAGAAGGAAGGTTCAGATATCAACAAGTAAAATCCTTACAGACATCTGAGTGAACCGGCCGGAACCTTGAATTAGACAGAGTTCGAGATGTGTAAACCTTGAGGGTTAGTGATGTGAAATACCTAGGTACATAGGTACTTTGTAGATACTTCTTGTCTGCAGAGTCATGTGGGCTTCAAAATCCGCTTACATCAGCAACGCTGTCCAATCAAAGCTGGTTATTGAGGCTTTGTTCACGTGCCCTGCGCTAAATGCTGATTGCCACTGTGACGCACTAAAACAACCTCTATCAATCCTCCGCTCAACCTCTGATTTAACCTCGCTCACATCAAGAACCATCCATCATTCGCATATTGTCGCCGACTATCAAGAAAGCAAAACTCGCCAGCCTGCTTCAGACAGCGTGAAGATATGATCATCAGCGGAGAGAAGTTCGCTTGCGATACATGCATTCGGGGTCATCGCGTAGCCCAGTGCAAGCACACAGGTATGTGAATACGTAGCCTTCTCAATCCGGCTCCCTCAGCTAAATGAATTCTAGATCGACCACTTCGACAGATCAGCAGCAAAGGACGACCTGTATCGCAATGCGATCACTGCCGCGACTTGCGAAAGACGAGTTCCGTTCACACGAGGTGTAAATGTGCCTCCGAAGCCCTGAACCCTGCAACTGGACTCGGTAGGAGCCACCCATGTCGCGATTTTTTAGATATTTGCTAACAGACTTGTAGCTCGATGCCGATGCTTTACCGGGGAGGGCTGTACTTGTGCACACAGCAAGAAGCAACCGACTCTGAAAGACGCACGTGATATCGATCCCGTGGGTTATGACTCACCCATGACGGAGTCTGGCGTTGCAACGCCCAATATATCAACCCAAGATGGAGGTGCTAACACACCCCAAACACTACCTACAAGAACCCACAGACCTCTTGCGATGAAGCCCGCACTTCCCACGCCAGAGGAGAGCGGAAAGTCTTGTTGTTCATCAGGACCCAAGAAATCTTGCTGTTCTTCGAATGGCAAAGCTTCTTGTTGTTCTTTGAATAACAAGGCTTCTTGCTGTTCTTCTGAGACAGTGGTACTTGATACAACCTGTTGCTCCACAAGACAACCTGAGGACTCACATCTAACCCCAGTCCATGATTTGCTGGCGAATGATGCCCAGACCAATCTATACAACGTCGGGCCATCTTGGGCGTTGCCGACCGGCCTTGACTCTTCACTCGACCCTTCCATGCTGAGTCTGCTCAGCGGCACTCACTTGAACACTGAACCATCTGATGGCCTTGATTTATTTGGCCGTTTTTCATTAGGGCAAGAGACAGATGCTTTGAGTCAAATCTTCGGCTGGGATGGCAAGCCTGTAGACTGGAGTTCATTTGATCTCCAGCCTACAACAATCACAGATGTGCCGGAAGAAGAAAATCAGCAGCCTCACGTGTATCCATCCCCATTTTAACTCAATTTGACGATGATACTTTATATCTTGGCAGTAAGATGCGTGCTACTACGTGGGACTTTCATTCAGCTCCGCAGATTTTATTTGGAATGGGAGGAGCGTGACAATGTCACAAGTTGAGAGGTTAGGATCGTTCGGGATAGAGTTTAGGTTTGCCGAGACGATCATGCTTCGGGAAGAGTCTTATGGGTTGCACAGGGGTAACCATGCCCTGTTGGTTTGGTGGAATCGGACAATGAGACGAGAATAAAATGTTGATGGTCTACCTTGGCATCCTGAGGACGGACCCATTAGCGATCAGGTGCTCGAAGCACGACATGATGCTACCACGCCATCACCAAACGTGGCCGGCGATGGATTGTGATGGAAGCTTTCCCCACGTCGGCGCTATCATAGATCGCGCGCATCATGTAGCTTCCATAGCATGAATTCTACAAGGATATTCAAACTCATCCGTACTTTCTGGCTGTTAATATTGGCTGGCGCATTGAGGTTCAAATTAATCTGTTTATGCTCGTTTATCTTGAGCGTGGGATCGGTCAGAAACTTCAAACCGCATAATGGAAGCGGCATTATATTTGATTGAAAAATAGCCTGCAATGGTTTGCGATCTGTCGTGACTACAGTGCATCAAACGACTAACCGTTTCAATTGGAGGGGCCGATCGGGGATCACACCACAGCTTGAAACAACCCCAGACAACTGACATGCAAAGTCTGGACGGACAAGCCTGGGCGATTCGCCCCCTGGTCAAAGTGTCCAACCGCCTCGGCTAAAGAATCGCTTTGGGAGTGTACTTAAGCCTCCAGATTCCCGTCTCAACAATGCTTTCTACCGCCGTTCTTCAGGCATCTCACATTCCTTGGCCTGAATTGCTTGCTACTGGATTAGCATGCATTTTATCTCAGCTACCGGTTTAGCTTTTTGATACCCATTTATCCACTTGCTACTGGCTTAGCACTGTTCTGCTTTTTTTTTCAGGATGAAGGTCGCTTTTGTTGCGCTGGCGATTATGGGCCTCTTGGGCACTCCACTGGCATCGCCGTTGGGCCAGCTGAAATGCTTAACCAGAGGAAGTAAGTGAACCTTGAAAGGATGGCATTCCGCTACTTTGAAATCAATTGCTAACATCTCGTTTTTAAAGAGGGTTGTTCGTCGAACGAGGAGTGCTGCTCTCAGGAGTGCTCCCCTTCTGGCGCCCTTGGCTTCGATGATGGGGGTAAACCAATCCTCGCCTACTCTTGCGCATAAGGAAATGCCAAACGAGCCCTCTTGCCAAATTCGACCTGGCTCGATTCAATTTACCTTGACATGGATGTCTCATCTGGTGTTTTTCGAGGCAAGCCGTTCCCCACTTGGCGTTTTGGATGTTTCATCAGGGGATTAAGGCAAGGTATACCAAGCATTTCAAGACAAATGGAGGTTGGCTATGGAACAAGACAAAGTATGACAGCCAGAGAACCGGCAGGCCCGGAATGAGCTTCTTGAATGAGTCAACGTATCTGAATACACCTACCGGATCTTCTCCGTGCATGAATCCTAGTACTCCCTGCCCGTGGCCTGTTCGCGTCGTGACCACCCATCAGTCTCATGATGATTTGTCAACAGTATCAAACGATAGCTTGCTGTAATAATTTTCCCGTGGCATGAAATTAAAGGCTAAATGTCTCGTAGCTTTAGACGCTTACCGGAGCTTCCTTGGCCGTCGACCCAAAGCGTGCGAGTACCTGAAACCAAATCTCGGACCAGGGTTCGCGTTTCGGCCTTTGCTTACTGCTAGTCTGCTATGTGCAGGCGCTCATTATGAGCTGATGATTCCACAGCAAATAATAACGCCCAGAAAACAATCAGTAAATCAAGTCCATGTCCACTATAAATAAACACGCAGTAGAAACGAATATCTCCTCTTGTAGCGTGGCTATTAAGAGAACAGTTGGGTAACAGAGATAAGAAAAGGAACCTAGCTTGGCAGCTAGGAACTTTTCAAAAAAGACAAACAGGGAAACCCTAACAAAAAACCCTTGGCCTTGATTTGTGAACCTATGCAAATATATTGAGATGTTACGACGGACCCCCGGCGTATTGAAACAGAGACGGCAGCTCATCATGGAAGGAAAGAGACGATCTGGCTACACTTTCACTATTAGTACGAGACCATCTAGCACAAAATTTTAGGACATGCTACTGAGGACAACAGTATATTTCACTATGTAATATTGTGCGGGCGGTCAACAGCCAACCCTCGATTTGATGGTTGTAAAGCCGCATATTTGTCTTTTAGATCCTTAAACAGCGCGGGATAGATGGCTGTTCCGCTCCAGCACCGCATCGATAAGCTCCTGACCTGGGAAATCGGTAATGACGATGCCCGTCTTCCCGTAGTTCTCGTCACCCTCTTTAACCGTCTCGGTTAGCCATTCGCCCGTCTCATCATTCATGCCAACAACGGTGCGGTTGAGTGGACCAGCGGCAGCTTCGATGGGCAAAACGCCGACTGAAGCACTCAGATGTGACAGGAACAAGGCTCGGTTATCGTCTGCTGTGGTTGCCGCCTCGATAAGCGAGGCCTCGATAGCATCCCATTTTTTCCACAGCGCGTCGACATTCTCAATCTCGTAGAGGTCTTGGAGGATCATGTCGGACGTTTCCCAGCCGATTCCATAGCGGCCTGCCACGCTCGAAGGAAAGTTCTGCAAAAAGAAGACCTTTCCACGAAGATCGCCTAAACGTGGGATGGGTGCGTATGATTCACCCTCTGGGAGGAGGTAGTAATGCTTTTGCGCACCCTTTGCCGTGGCTGTGTTGTTCCAAAGGTAATACAGGAATGCGTCCTCGTAAGAGACGGTCGAGTTGATGGCTGTGCTCTCCTCCTTCATGCGAATGATGACTATCTCGCTGGGGTGATTTTCAAGGAAATTAAACACCTCTACCAGAACATATTCGTAGTTGTAGCCGGTATAAGTCTCGGCATGGTAGATCTCAATGAGGTTGTTTGCAAGCCGGCCTCTGATGTCCAGATAGCGCACGCCCGAGTTGAGCTGCACGGTGAGATTTCTGTTGTGGCACTGCCGGACTTGGTCGCGGACGCTGTATGTCATCGTGTCGTGTGTGCCCGGAATGGACAGAGAGGTGAGAAAGCTGTCATCAGGTATGCCGCCCATCCAATCAGCATGTTTTTCCGTGCCCAGGTCAAATGAGAATGGCGAGGTGTAGCCACGGTAGCAGCCGGCCTGGACCAGCAACGCGCTGGTCAGCAGAGTGAGCACTTTGGTGGCGATCATTTCGGACCAATTTGTGATGAGCGAGATCGTGCAGATATCTCGCAGAGAGAATGAAAAGAGAGAATCCGATGCGGCTGTGGCATTCATCATAAGTCAATGATGGTAGGAAGACGGGCCGGATCTCGGGAATGGGCGAAGTAGGAAGCTCGTTAATAATTGAGATCTTCCAAACATTCTCGTGCTCTCACCGCCGTGTCTGATTGGCTCCATGTGGAACTGTTGCTCTTGGACGCGTGTTGATCAGGTTGCGACCTAAACAATCCTCCAGCGTGGATAAATGAAAGCAATAAGATGGCTGAAAATTTCTCACCGAGTGAACCGGATTCACTATATGCTTCTGGTAAGTGAAGCGATGAGAAGAATATCCCAAGCAAGTAGCTTTACACTAATTGCCCGATTATTGTGTCCGTTCAGCATCGCCTCCCTGCGACAGGGATGTTATTTACCCTCTAAGAAAACCGAACGACCATCATGACGCTTCTCTCGCCTCTCGTCATCGGGATTGGCACCTATCACCCGGTGTTGACTTCATATACCCAGGAGGGGATGTATAGTAAAGCCAAGATCAACAACCATTCGGTTGACAATAGGCATGTACCGGAGCCCAGGTAACAAGGTAGAGTGAGAGGGCATATAACGGCAACTGTATGTGAACATCATTCAAGCTCTGCCGAAAAATACACCGCCAGTTCGCCAAAAGCCAGATTCCCGTAAGAGTAAATAGAGAGTAAGAGAGGGCGGACTGTAGCAGAGTACGCGCGACGCAGGGTCCAGCCACTAAGACAGCCGTTACGGTGCCCACAAGTGACGCGTAATGCAAAACGAGCCATCGCCAATATGTCCTGCAGCCAGGCCAGGATTGGGACCAGACATACAGCAAAAGGCCGGAAGCGATAGCGCAGACGAGGAAGTGAATGAGCCAGATTCCGGCGGCTTTGTCATAATGATCCCGGTCGCCCGTAGCTATGTTCCAGTTGAAATCCTTCTCAGAGCCACAAATAGCCTCGGCACCGTCGATATAACTCGTCATCGTTTCTACCAGTGACACGGTGCAGAAGCTCAGCGCGACGGGGCTCACGACTTCTGCGCAGCATCTTGAATTGAGCGCGTCTGAGATAAAGGAGTCTGGGGGGACGATATAATGCACGCTCTGTATGCCGCTGCAGATGATTCGTGTCGCCGTGGCGCCAAGCAGGGCGATGAGGGCGAAAATGACGGGAACACGCTGGTCCTTCTGAGGAGCGTCACCACTGTCGGTGGCTTTTTCAGGTTGACTATTGATTGCCAGCTCATCAGTACCGGAGGGCGATACAGTGAACAGAAAGAAAAGACCGAAGATCGCGACTGTTGTAAAGGCTGGCGTCCAATCCAGTCGCCGTCGGCCTGGAAAAGCACTGTAGCCCTCTTGCCCTGATCGGTTGACACTGACTTTTGGTTCCATGCCTATTGCTGATTTCTAAACCAAGAGAAGATCCGAAATTACAGAGTTGGGAAAGGAAGCAAAATTGCAATAGGCTTGAGTGAATTTCACGGGGGAAGAGACGGTAATATAACTGCCATGGGGTGATAACGTGCGATACACGACATGCCGGATTGGGGGCTCAAAACAAACTAGGAATAATCAACCAACCAATAGGTATAACAGCAAGCTGAATACAACAGAATACTTCTGTATGGTTATTATGTTGATTTGATGAACGCTTGGTAGTGACAATATGGAAACGAGGTCTCTATTCTATATGGAAAGAGTTTTATTTTGGAATCGTTTATCTCAGCCACTCGCGTAATTCTGCGGTTATTGTGCTATGTGGTGGCTATAGTGATAGTTTGATTTCTTCACGAGAATCAGCTTGCTAAAATAAGTTTCTTTGTTCAGATGCTATAATCATATGGGGCATATCGGGATAACAATGTATGATTTGGTGTTATGCCTTGTCACATTGTGTTCTCAATATGTTTCAGTGGCTCCTGACAATCCATAGACAACCCGTCGTGTGATCAAACATCCTTATCTTGCCAATTTGAGAACCTCCTAGTTGCCATTATGAACCTGACCCAATCATATTTTCTTCTCAAAGAGCTCTAGGATATCCTTGTTTCCGCATGCAGCAGCAACATCAATAGGCGTTTGCTGCACCTCATCTTCCAACATGACGTCGAGCCCTCGTTCCATCAGTTGCTTGAAGATATCAACATTTCCCCCTGCCGCTGCATGCAACAGCCCCCGTCCCCTGTTATCTTTGACGAAGAGGTCGGCGCCTAGCCGCTCCATTAGTGGTATGGCTTTCAGTTTCTCCATAGCCTTTTCCTTGTCAGAGTAACTGTCGCGTTTCTTAGGCTTAGATTTCACACAAAAGGTGAAAAGTGGGGTTTCTCCCTTGATATTGCGAGCGTTTATATCAACTCCGCGCTTCACAAGATCCTCGAAGAAATCACGATTCTGCTCTGTACGTAAACGCGACGCAAGTGAGTGGAGAAGATTGTCTTTCTTGTTGGTAACTGTGAGGTGATCTGCCCCAGCCTTTAGGAGCGCCTCGGCGATATCCGGTCTTCCCCTGTTGGCCGCACGAATAACGGCCGCGTGCAGAGGCGTTTCACCAGAAGAGTCTGGCCGATTCATAAGTTGAGGGGCCTTTTTCAGAACCTCGGCCAGAGATGCCTCGAATTGATCGAATTCGACGAACCCATGACGGTCATCATTGCCAATCATGTAATGCAAGACGTTCCGAGAAGAGTTGTCAACGGCTTCTATATCTGCCCCTAGGGATAAGAGTTGCTGGAAGACGGTGGTCTTCTCGTCGACTTGTCCATCCTGTTGATATGACCCAACGACGTAGTCCGGGTAATTGATACCACTACAGACAGCATGTAGCAGCGTGCGGCCTTTGGCATCCCTGTGGTCAACATCTAGGTCAGGAATGCGGAGGTAAACCTCAGGCAAGCTACCATCGGCCAATAGTTCATGCAAGACTGTGGCTTCCGTATAAATTGGTGTATCTGGACCCGAACTCTCTTCTATCAGAAATTTACCAAACGGATCAGCCCCATGTTCGAGAAGGACTTGTACAAGTTGAATACAAGTCTCTGTTTCTCGAAGCTCTTGGCTTGTAGCAGGAGATTTTATCGTTTTGAAGAGATTCCCAGCATGGAAGAGCGGAAACTTTTCGTGCGGCGGTACTGATGAACCATAGGCCCAGCGGTACCTATTCTTTCTGATCTTTTCCCTTTCAGCGGCCAGAGCCTCTTCGGACGGCTTGTCAGCACGGATGTTCGCGCTTACACCCCCGGAGAGGAGCGCTTGGAGCATCGGGACGCTCTTCGAGTCAATCGCCGCAAGGATGGAGTCAGCCGTCACAACAGCCCCGTGTGAGATGAGGAGCTTCACGAGACCGACGTCATGCCGTGCACAGGCCAGACAGCTTCGACCCTCTTTATCAGCCGCGTTGACGTCTGCTCCAGCTTCAATCAAGAGTCTCGCGGCAGCCCTATTGAATGGCCCAGGCCAGTTCCCATCAGCTTTGAGGGCCATAAGAAGAGGTGTTTGTCCAAGATGGTTGCGGAGATGGATGTTGGCTCCAGCCTTGAGTAAATAGGGCAGTGCTTGATGAACTTGCCACCAATGATCTCCCCTCGATGCTGAGTGAAGAGGAGAATCGGATCCGGCGATTATGTTCTCGCCACTCACGTACTCTCTGCTATATGCCATCTCGTTTACGTCGACTCCAAACTTCTCCACCAGTAATTTGAGCATTGGTAAGTTGGGAAGTTCTCGCCGAGTTGCGCAAATTAGCAGAGGCAGAGGGTTTTGGGACACTTTGCTTGGGTCTGAGATGTTTCGCTTCGCAAACCAGAGGCCTGGCCGGGTTTCGTCCCCGAAAGCATGCCAATCACTGTTTTCAAAACCTTTCTGGACCACAATATCACCCACCGTCTCTGCAAGTGAAGCATAACCATGGCTGACGAGAATGGCGAAGTTGCTAAAGCCGCTCGAGGCGTTGAGGAAGTCAACACCTTCACGCGCCATCTTTTCAATAAACTTCCACTCCTTCCGTCTCAGGAATGACAAAAGGTGATGTTGGTAAATCTTATCAGGCTGGAGCATCCCAGAGGCACCTAGACTCTGAAGTCTAGCCTCCCTCGATGAGTTGTGTAGTATTTCCTCTACCCTCCGTGTCCCAACCGAGGGTGCTGCTTCTTCGTCGTTATCAACCTTTGGAGCAGGATTTTTGGCTCGAATGGCTGTCAAGCAGATTGCGGTGTAGTCATGCCCCTTATTGAAGGCTTGGCCGATGTGACCACTATGCCAGAAACGTGGATCGAGTTGCGCGAAGTCATCCGCCTCGAGGCCGTTTGCCGCACACAATTCAAGAATCTCTTCTAATCTGGTTGTCTCATCGTCCTTCAGACCACCAGCATTGCTGTATCGACCTCCCCGTTTCGAAATACGCCTTGTGTCCTTCAAGCGGAGAGGAAGTTGATCCTTGAGCATATCGTCTTCCTGACAAGCGCTCTGCCATAATTGATCCTCGGCCTCGAAAGAGGCACAAGCAGAAAAAGCTAGCCCTTTTTGGCATCAGCTCCCGCATCGAAGAGGAGCGACACGGTTTCTGGCCTCCCGGATAGGCAAGCGTAGTAAAGGGGCAGGTTGATACTGTTATTAGATAGGACAGCATTCACTCCGAGGACAGCAGAATCCGACAACGGCGTTCGTTTCCTCAACTCGTCCAATAGTAGCCCGACAACATTGCTCTGTCTGCAGCGCGAAGCAATGTGCAATGGGGTCAATCCTTCGTGCGTGGCCTTGGCAGGATCTGCCCCAGCGTCGAGAAGTTTCTTCGAGTACAGCTCCCCACGTATCACGGCCCGGTGTAAGGGTGTGGCGCCAAGGCTGTCGATCCTGTCAAGGTCCTTTGTTCTCGAGATCACCAAGTCGATCGGTATAATCGCACCTTGCTCGAATCTTGACGAGGAGATGTTGCCAGAGCAGAGAATATGCAAGGGAGTGAGCCCATGATGATTCGCCTGCTCCAAATCTAAACCCAACTCAAGGAGACGCTCCCACAGTGACACCAAGGGGAGCCCCGAGTATGAATCATGGTTGGAAGAACGCATCGCCAGCTCGTGGAGCAGGCCGTTCCCGTCATGATCAACAGCATGCACATCAAGCCCTAAACCATGAACAAAGTTGAACTTTGACTGTGCACTAGCCCTGAGACGACTTGCGTCGTGGCATAAAACAGCTTCGTGTAATAGAGTACGACCATTCCAGTCGCGGTGATGTATCGAAAAGCCCCTCTCAACGAGCTGTTTAATGCCCTCATACTTGCCGTCTGAGCCACTGGAATCACTTAAAGCGTTGAAAAGGACGGTCCGCCCCTTTTCGTCAGTCGCGTTGATATCAGCACCTCCTTCAATAAGTACATCCATCAACTGAGGTTTGAAATCTCTGCGCATGGAAAGAAGGGGCGTGAGACCAGCCTTATTCTTTGCATTGGGATCAGCGCCGGCTTTGAGAAGAGCCCTGAGTAGGTTCGCGTCCGTATTCCACTGCTTAAGTGCAACGTGTAATACTCCATCGCCGTCACGGTCAATAGCGCTGCAGTCAGGTCCGTACTCGAGGAACTTCAACGTGGTTTCAACGTGATAGCTAGAGAGCATGTTGAGGAGAGGTGTCTTCCCATCCTTCTGAGCCAGATTAATGTCGGCATGACCTTCCTCGATTAAGACAACCATGGGGTCTATCGATTGAACGAGGTGGATTGGTGCGACTCCTGAGTCGCCGGTTGCGTTGGCATCAGCTCCGGCTTGAAGAAGTAGTCGCGTTAAGACCGAGGAAGAGACTGCGTCATGCAGAGGCGTCCGGCCGCACGGATCCCGGCAATTGATGTCAGCGCCTGCATTGATCAAGAGCGAGAATATGGTTTGCAGATCCTCGGCATTCCTATTATCAGCCGTGTATCCACGATTTCCCGATCCACACAAACGATGCAGACAGTTCTTTCTATTGGGATTCTTCTTCTCTTCAAAGGAAACGAGCATCCCGTTCGAATCAAACTCGTCACCACTGTCCAAGCTTTGAACGCGAGGATCCGCACCAGCCTCCAAAAGGAACTTGATAGTGTCAACATCGGCAGTACCACAAGCTAGATAGAGAGCCGTATCTCCACGGACTTTGGCGTTGACATCGATTCCAGGATGCTGGAGAATCCTAGCAACAACCTTTGACCTGGCGGCTCCGGCTGCCCATACCAAAGCACGGTGGGCGGTCTCAATGTCCTTGAGGAATGGTAGGAATGCGTCTACAGATTCGAGATGTCCATTTCTGCAGGCATACATAAGAGGGGTATGCCCAACACTTCTAGGAGCATTCCCGCATCTCCTACCTGGATCCTCCTGAGTTTTAGGTGTCAGGGGGTCTACACCAGCCTCGAGAAGCGCACTAACGACTGCATGATGGTTCAAGTTGGCGGCTTCGTGCAGAGGCTTCAATCCACGTACGGATTCAGGTTGGTCAGGGTTTGCACCGGCCTTGATCAACTCATGGACTACTTCTGCGTGACCTTCGTGGGCTGCCCACCACCTAAATTCCCAATATCTGTTAACAATCTGCGGCCGTAAGGAAGTAGAATGAAAACTTACAGCGGTGTTCTGCCAGTCGCGTCCGGCAAATCTGGCTCCATGGTTTGAATGAGTTCCTTCAGGTAAGAAAATAGGCCGAGCTTGGCAGCTATATGAATCTTCGTGACTCCCTGTACAGCTCCTCGAGATGAGGCGTTCCATTTGGCTTGTAGCCAAGCCTTCATGTCTCTCTCATTGTCCAAGAATTGACGAACCAACACGAGGACGTTCGTCTGGTCTCGCCCAGCTGCTTCGGATCTACGAATGTGATGCGCCCAATTGACGGCAGCATACTCGAAGAAGGGATGTTTCAATCTCTGTTGGATCTCATCTTTCGGGACCTGATTCCGAGACATATACCAGTCGCCGTCGGAATCTTCGTTGTATTCCTCCTCTTCTACCACGATGGACTTCAGGCTTCCAGAAGTCAAATACCGCAGACATGCAACCGCCAACTGAGCATGAGTTGGCCCCATCTTCAGAACCGGATACCCGGAACCATCAGGCCGAGTGGTACCTTTGAGGTATTCCGTGAATGAATGATGAATGACAGATACAGTTTCATCCGCCAAGATCTCGAGCAACGGCCCGCACGCAGCTCGGATCAGATCCTTTGTGGCTTTGAGGTCTCTCTCCTTGCCGTCTGGATTGTTGGCCTTGACCATTTCGGCAAGCTCCAGAAGCCTAAGCGGCCGTGTGGAATGGGTGACAGCCTGCAGGATCAAACGCTGCACACTGTCAGCTATACCCGACCGCCTTGAGTGCTCTTTCAAAAGGTCAGTGTAGAGCACGTTCAAATCAGCAGGTAGATGGCCAAGAACGGTTTTCACATTAGCGCCTGGCTCGAGAAAGGCGTCCATTGCAAGTTTTGCGTAGAGGAACAGCCCGTTTGCTCGGCCAGGCACAGCGTCCATGATCGTCTTCCAGTCGGCCTGTGGGATCGTGGAGCGCGACAGGGTGAACTGAACAAATGTCGCAATGTCGATGTCCACCATATTCTCCTGCAATCGAATTTGAAGGCAGGAGGATTGGAAGGCTCTCAACGGCCCTTCAATCGTTGGAACTGGGCGGCTTGTGATCAAGACTTTGACTTTCCGAGGGTTCCATTTACCCAAGGTGGCAAGAGCGTGGAGAAAGGACTCATTGCCTTTGTCCATTTCGTCGAGCGCGTCGGCCACACAGAAAATCATGTTAGACAATCCAGAGAACGCCATGTAAAGATCTTTCCACATATCCTCCATCGAGATGCTGTCGATCGATCTATTAGACTCCAAATAATCCTTGAGCTTCTTTTGCAGAGGCGGACTATAAGTCAAGATTTGATCCATCCAGTCTCGCACCAGGGCCTCAGGCTGGTGGTTCGCTTCGATGATTTGACGGAAAAAGAAAAATATAACGGGAGAGCCTGGGCTCGCTTTCGCAAGCCCATCGATAAGGCTGGCTGCCATGACAGACTTCCCAGAACCCGGGATGCCTTTGATCCAAAGCAAGCCGTGTTGGTCGTCCTCCAGCCATTGCTTGTATGTGTCGCTTTCTGTAAGCCAGGATCCCGTCCCCGACACGTGAGAGGCCAGGTGCTTGCGGTATTCTCCGCCCGCAATATCATATGAGGTTGGCTGGAGCCAGGCACGGATTTTTTGGATGATCTCCTCGGGCTGAGGGAGGATCTGTTCTGGGTTGTAATTGCTAACATCGTCGCGATCTATCACGACAGCATCAACATCGCTGTCGCTATTGACATAATCAATTTCATAAGAAGTCATGATTGAAAGAATGTATTGGCGTGGGAGATTTAATCTGCACTTGAAATTCGCTATGCTGCTGCTCACGGGGCAAAACGAATGCTGTTGGCAGCCTTGAGCTGCTTGGAAAGGCTGCTAATGGGGGGTCATCAAAATTATAGAGGCTAGCCAAAGTTCTTCCTGGATAACAAAGTCGTTCGATTGGTGGCAGATGAGAGCAAGTTGTTGGCATGTGTCATTGAAGGAGTGAGGAATGGATGCCTGCCTCCCCATGGAGCCTTGACCGACCAGTTGCTGCCTTGTGGCACCGCCCGGGTGAGCACGGAGTCATCATCCGGACCCCGTTGATTGGCAGTTTAGCGCAGGCAGTCATGGGGTGGCTATGCCACAACGTCAGCACAGGTTTTGCAAGCATCCTTATGTGGGGAGGGGCGAAACAGTCAGCCTTGGTTGCTGCTAACGTTGTGTCTAGGACGATAACCCTTTACTATGTTGGAAACATTTGGCCTCATGGAATGTTCTTCCATTAGAAATCCCATTGAAACAGGTGGGTAAACCATCTCTGCAGCACTATGACTGGAATCAGCCCGTGGGTGGTAGTGGCTAGTGAAACTGACTTCTGCTGATCGAATACGAAAGTCCCATAGTTTGGTTGTTTCATAATATTCTCGCAAAGGAGTAGAAATGGCAATACATTATCGAAAGATTTTATCCAGGAAAACCACCGTCACCTGCCCTGTTTATCATCTCAGATCCATGTACAAAAGTACTAGTCAGATATATTCATCAGATAATACTCATATCTAGCACTAAGAACAGGAGATGGGAAGAAGCAGATGGAGATGAAATCAGATACCTGTGATAGAAACGCAGAAAGAGGAGTTTCGTGAAAAGATATACATCTGCTACTGAGTTGGGTCCACATTCTGTGATCAGATCCCACAGTTTGAAGATTCACACACTCTTCACCTCTAATCCTAATCTTGTTTGAAATGCCTAGCTTTGAAAGATAAGTCTTTTATTGCTTTTGAGCCCCGGTGACCCCAGGTTTTAGCCGATATCTTACAGCAACTATTTGATCCAATAAGATTGAACCCGTGAAGCTAAACTTGAGTTCACATGACTTCTAGATCTCCATCTATTCTTTGCCGTAAAAGGCCTTTATGCGGATAGGGGCTCGTACCTATTGTTCCCGACCGCACCAAGGGCACGCATCATAGTACAAAAAAGGTCTATACTTCTATATAATATCAGTTACCTTTGGAGGGCCCATGGGCTTTTGATACCTCCTTGAGAGCGAGAAGACCTATTTTGCTAGATATCTACCATGTCCTCATTTTAAATTCAGTGCAGTTAAGGCACCCTTCTTTTTGCCCACGAGTGACATAGCGGTTGAACAATCTTATTACCATCGCTCACATGACGATTAAGAAAGAGGCTGCTCCATCTGCTACTAGAAAATTCGCCACCAGAATCCGAATCATTGAAATACATGCCTGAAGTTTAGCCTGCGGACAGTCCTGAAGCTCCCATCCCTGACTCAGTCAATAACATATCTAAATATTCCACCTGCCTTTCAGCATCTATCGTCTTTTTGGCGTCTTTACCGAGCCTATCAGCGCGGGTCTGGGCTACAAGAGCCATCAACGCCCGTGCTGCAGCAAACTCGCCGCAGCGCATATGGCAGATGCTGAGGCTCCATCGCGCGCTCTCAATTTGGACTAACATTGTTCCATCGTCTGTCCGCTGACTGTATGCCTCAAGCACCTCAGTTCTGAGTTGACGCGCTCTTTCTAAACATTCTGTCCTCGAAAGACGTGAGCTGTTTTGCTCGGCTGGCTGTGCCAACCTTGGTTTCGCGGTCCCCGCCTTGGAGTCGGTCTGGTCTGGGCCTAGATTCGCGTTCGCTGTAGGCCGAGTCCTACCAAAGTCCTGGCGAGAGATATCAGGAGCCTCTGGAGTCGCGCCTAGAGTAAACGCCTGCTGCGTTGTCGAAGACGACGGAGCGTCTTGGGCAAGGGGCGGCTCAGCTAAGAATCCCAGGTAGTGCTTTCGAAGAAAGTCAGGGTCGAAGGTGGCTGTAGGCGTATATCACTTAGAAAAGCATCGAAAGAAACGCTCAGACTGTATCATGACACCCACCTGGATAACTAACCAGGCCGAGCCCCAGGGTGGTAGACCGGGGGCTAGAGCGCGGCTCTTGTCCTGGAGGCAGCATGCAGGGCGAACGATGATGCGAGAGCCAACAATGAACGACAACCCAATAGCTCTAAGCCACTTCAAACAGGGGCGCAATGGTTTCGGTTATGCTTCGACAGGAGATGGTTCGCACAAGGCATCAGCCTGGAAGTGGAACTACAGGCCCCTATAAGCCTTGCTGTCCGAGCAGTGGTGGAGTAATCCCGACTTGATATGTTCAATACGACCGGATCATGGTTTTCCAACTGGACAGTGTCACCTACCGATCTTCTGAAGGAACCAAGACTTTTTCTTCTTAATTGAATTGGTATGTTGGAACAAACAGGTTTTGTGCACTCGAGCTTTTTATTTGATACTGATGTTCGGGCGGCTTTTGGGAGTGGCATGCAATGCATGCCTCAGCATCCCCAAAAGAGGGGTAATTCCAGCTGAACCAGCTGAACATGCGGGCGTTAGGCAGGAAAGATTCACTACATGAATATAAGCTTCTATCAAGATCAAAATATAAACGATCACACCGTTACAAGGATGAATCGGCGTGACTTCTTGGGGGCGTCTTGTAGAACCTTGAATAACATCTCAGAATTTAGATCCAACGATGCAAAATCGCGCTCAGAGTTCTCCTGGACCATCACATAAAATTTCGACTGACATTTGGGAGGAAAGGGTTTGTGTCACTTGAGAACCAAATGAAAGGAAACCCTAGTGTAAAATTAGGTGTTGACAAGGGTTACATCGTTACAAAGAAATTGCCGCTACCTCAATAATCGTTATAGGCATGTATTTTTTTTCGACAAAGCTGACATATTTTCACTTTAGAAATTTCGAGGGCGTAACGCAGACTTCTCCCACCACGTCGACGAAATAACTTCTGGCTTGGAAGATTAAACACCCGAATCTCACAGCCTGCCCCGGTATGGCTGCTAAATTCTCTCTAGTAGCTAGAGACAGCGATGGAATTTCTTGGGTCCCTCCCCCCCTCACCGCCCAGAGGGTGGGGAGAGCCAAATTTGCCGTGCAAGATGCGGATCTTGGCCAGAAACCCAAGAGAGATTTAAGAGAGGTGCCCACGTACGACAAGTTCTACTTTGCCATTGTATGCGCTCTTCAACTAGAGTATAATGCTGTGATCCGCTCAGTGGACTATCAGTGGCCAACTACCCCCTTTGACCCTGATGATCCGAACGTGTACACTCTTGCAAAAATGGGCGGGCGCAACGTCGTGATCGCGCGGCCGCTGGACGTTGGGCCGGGGCAAGCCCAAAGTATTACGGAAGCTCTCAGAAGAAAGTTCACCAAGGTAGCCCTCTTCTTGGTCGTGGGCATCTGTGGCGCCGTGCCCTTCTTTCCGGCGCAACCTGACCCTGGGCATGTTGTTCGCAGGATCATTCTCGGCGACGTTATCATCAGCAGCTCAATCGCGCAATATTTGTACCGAGGACAGGCCAGGCCAGATGGATTCCAGATGCGGAATATTCTGAACGGGAACGGCTGGGTTATGCAGCCAAGCCCTCGAGCCAAAGCCCTTGCGCAAGCCCTTGAAGGACCCAACTGGTTGGACATCGCCAAGAAAAACATGTTGCACAATCTCATGCAGCTGCAGGAAAACCAGCACGGCGTTTATATGTATCCTGGAGCAGAGCGAGACAAGCTGTACCAAGCCTCCTATGTTCATAAGCACCATGAAGCACAAGGTTGCGCTTGTGCCAAATACGAGCATGAGACGTGCGATGGCGCAATGCGTACTGCGTGCCAAGATATCTGTGATGAAGATCGCTTAATTATTGATGGAGAGAGCCAACAGCGGGGCGGCTCGCCCAATATCTATCTGGGAGCCATGGCATCGGGAGATATCGTTATGCGATCCGGCGAGCTCTGAGACAAGATCTCGAGGGAACAGGAGGTCATAGCCTTCGAAATGCAGGGAGCAGGAGTCCAGATTGGCTCATCCTCTTGTCTTGTCATCAAGGCGGCATGTGATTACGCTGATAGCCATAAGAAGAAGGACTTCCAAGAGTATGCTGCGGGTGTTGCTGCGTCGGCCGCCAAGGCAGTGCTGCAGTGGTATAGTCCTGAGACTGAAGATGGTGAGTTCTTTCTTACTCTGTCCAAACGGCTCATCTTACTTAAGTCTTCGATTTCCGTTCTTAAGTAGCAAATGGCCTTTGAATATTCTATTAACACTTCTCCTATGTTCAGATGAAACGAACTGGTTCCGCGTAGAGAATGTGATTTTCAGATCGTTCCCCCCTACTGAGACATGGAGTGACGATCGTGGGCTTCTTCAGACGATGGCTGAACACTGTTTCAACAAGCGTCAAAGGCTGCCAAAGCCTGGTACAGTGCTACTCATTCAAGGTTCTCATGGGTTGGGGAAGACTGAGTTATGTCGAGTGTTTGCTAAGCGTTTTCGGTCAAGGTGTGTTGTTGCCTGTCAGTTTCTGAAGAACCAGCCCTCATTTGTATTTGCTCACTCTGAACAGATACCGGGCCGTATGGATGATCAATGCGGGAACCGCGTTCGATTTAGAGCTAGGGCTTCGCACCATCGCCTCGGAAGATTTGAAAATCGCACTAAACACCCAAGGGTCCACGCAGTCCGAGACTGATGATCTCACAGGGTTGATTGGGGTAGTGAAAGCCCAACTAGAGAACGAAGAGAAGACGTGGCTCCTAGGACGGTTATAATGACACCTCTGACTATGACATAAAGCACTATCTCCCCTCAGGAGCTACTCGACCTTCATTTTCAGATCTTCCTCCGCATTTAGGCACCATCATCATCACGACCACCGACGCCTCTCTCCGTCTGCAAATTGGCGAGAACTCTATGTCGGTGAACAATCTTTCAGTAGACGAGGCAACACGTATCTTCACGCATGAGATTAGGCCCATCCCTGATGCTGCACTTATCGACAATCTTGTCGGAGATATTTTGGCTAAGCTGCAGTTGCACCCGGTGGCTATCAAGATAGCTGCCGGAATTATCCGAAAGAGACCTCCAACACAGCACATCCACAAAGCACTGGAGAATCTTCTCAGGAATCTATCCAAAGACACCTTCCCCCCCACGACCGAAGTGGAAGATATTCTTAAGGGCGTCTGGAGACCATGGGAAATTTCAATGGCAAAACTTCGTCGTGACGAGGCCAAACAGCGAACAGGGTCTTTGGAGCTTCTGGAAGTCCTAAGCTTTCTTGACGACAATGGTTTAAGTTGCAGGGCCACCGAAGCAGCGTGGAAGGCAAGCCAGACAAGAACTACCAGCTTTTACGACAAAGGACTCAGCTGCTTTATGGAAGGTAGCCGGTGGGAAGAGAGTAGTTTCCATAGTGCAGTGGAGGTGCTCGCAAATGCCCGGCTAGTTAACGTTTTGGCAACTGAAAACGATGTAACTGTCTCCATGGAACCATTGGTAAGCCTATGTGCTCATAACTACCTTTTTGCCACATTCGATGACAAGAGGAGCGCTTGGATCAGGGCGATGGCAACACTTGCCATCATGGCACCAACCGGATTCACCGACTGGGACCGCGCCTCGCGACGGGGCTTGGCCCCTCATGTAAAGAGTTGCCTGGCAAGATCCCTAGGATTTGAGATACTCTGGACGGCATATGACCTCAGTCCTGCTACCGACATTGCCCTTGTTTTAGCAACGGTCCTATTCGAGAACGGTCTCGCCGAAATTGCCCGGTCTCTATTGTCGAAGCTACTTGTTCGACTGTCGGGAACAGATGGCAAGGTTGACAAGACCAAAGCTCTTAATGTGAAGATGTTCCTTGCAACAACGCTACACGACATGGGAGAGCGTAGCCAAGCACTTGCCTTACGGAGAGAAGTCTTCGAGGCTTGCCAACAGCAGAGGGGTAAAGCAGGGCTTGGTAGAGAGACCGAATGGCGCTATCTCCACGCTGCCGGTGCGCTGGCCGAATCCTTATCTTTGCTTCCTGAACGGCGTGTCGAGGCCGCTAACCTTCTGAGAGATGTCCATGATATGGCTGCACTTCTATCGCCGCCGGGCAAAGTATCGGTAGCACTCCTTCGCACTAAGTCGAGGCTGGCTAAGGTGCTCTATCAGCTGGGTGCATATCGCCACGCATTCGATCTCCGCGACGAGGTAGTGAATATCTTGAATGGGGAACAAGATATGCAAAGCGTGCAATATAAAATGGAGGCAATGGAAGAATTGGCTCAGAGTTTGTCAAAAATGGGACGTCTCATTGACGCTCTCAAACTCCGCGGAGCTATACATGAGTTCCGTGTGGCCACGCTCCCCCCAAAACACCCAGAGACGAGCCTGGCTTCTATCAACCTGATTATCTCCCTTGAAAACATTAACTCCTCGACTATACCGACTCCCCTCTCCTCCGAGTGGGAAAATATGTACCTTGCCGAACAAAGGTTGTCGAAGGCGTTAGGGGAACACCACGCCATGACGCTCCGGGTTAAGTCCAACATAGCTCGTATTTTCCTAGCTAGAAAGGACTATGAAAGTGCTTTCGAAAAGGTATCAGAAGTAAGAAGAATCATGGCTAGCCAGGGTGCCAAGCTGGTAGGCAAGCAAACGGGTAGCTACGACCAGGATATGCTGGACTGCGATCGCCTACATGCTGAGCTACTCTTGCGGCGCTGGACTGAAGCAGACAAACGGGATGCCTTGATGCTATGGAGACAGATTGCCAAGCGCCTCCGTCATCAAAATGCAGGGACTCGACAAGTGTCGTATGCGATCCTCAGAGTGGCACGATGTTATATAAAGCGCAACGAGCTGGACAATGCCGAAGCGAAGGTAGAGGAGGCGAGCAGACTCTCGCAAGATGGCTTTTACGACAATACGTTAGACTGCAAAGTACTCCAGGCCGATATTCTAGAAAGACGAGCAGATGCATGCGACTTATCTAACTCAAGTAATAGCGGCTCTGAAGAGGACCAGAAACAGGATAACAGGTCAGCCATCGCAGTTTACCCTTGCTAAATTCCTCGCATGGCTAACATATGTTGGACTACAGGCCGAATGGAGGTTATGTCCCCGAGAAACGCAACACACGTTTTCGCTACATATGGTCGTGCCAGAACGATAATTGTAAACACATTGCCGGGAAGCCTTACGTCATGGAAGCCTGCTACTGCAGATTTTCGCGACGCCGAGCCGGTAGAATGGTTTGTGTCAGTATCTCCAACCGAGATCTACTCTTTTTTTGCTCCAATCCTTTGTCGTGGCGTACCTCTAACAGGCGTTACTAGTGCTGCTGCCATCATTATATGCGATTCGGATCTCTAGAGTCAGACGACTCGTGCTCATATGAGACTGACTCGTCGAGCTGCTCGAGCGCAGATGAAGACGGCTATTTTAGGCTGGAAGAGATATTCCGCTGCTATAACCGACAGTGCCGAAAGCCTCGTCACACATGCGGCCGCGGCAAGGGCTCGCAGCTCAACGACCTCATGCCCAGCAAGGTCGGGTGCTTCTGTCGCCCTTCTACTAGCTTACCAAACGCCATGCTCTGTGTAAGTTTACGAGGACATGGTGAGACTTTTCTTAATATTTACGCTTACTTCACATAGTGCCACTGCCACAAACCCATGATTGCCGTATCAAGACATAAGAGATGGAGCTGGGGAGTGGCCAACTCCAGCCAGGTCCCGGACGACTGGGACTCTCCTAGCGATTTGGGCACCAACTGCCCTAGCGGTTCGGAAGAATTTGTGTCGGTGATTGACTCCAACGACCTGCCAGAGCCACCCCCAAGTGATGATGATTATGGTGATGATGAGAGCCAAGACAGTCAAAGACAGTTTATACTACCTTATTGATGGAGCTCAATTTTAATATTATCTTGATTACTCTAGAAAATCGAAGGCTTTAATAGGCGAGAGTTGAGCTAAGTTCTCAGAGGCCATTAGAACGGAATAGGGACGACCTCTAGATATGTACCTTTAGACTATTCGGTTATTCCACCTTTGCCAAGTTTGCATCGTATCTACCCAGTATGGAAAAGAATGTCCATTCAAAATAGGAAATCTTAACATTTAATTTTTTTTAAAAACCATTTAAGACAATTTTTTGTGCTTACGGCATGTTGAGTTTTCGTGCACAACTGGAGTAAATACATCTAACCGAATAATTTGTAGTGAGCAAACTCACAAATTAACTGATAGAGCCTCATAAGAACCGGAATAGAAATATTGAAGTTCTAGCAAGAATATATAGAGATATATTCATATTCTAAACTAACAATTTTCAAAATCTGCTGAATGACGCATTGAGTCGGTATCGAACGGTCTTCTCCATAGGGTAATCCCACCAGCCGCTGAACCACCATTTGATTTGATGCCAACGTCAGTTTCCATGATTACCCTAATGCTACATCTACGTTGCTAGTGACTTACGGGTTTTGATATTGGATTAATACTCAAAAGACTATGGCAGATATTGTACCGGTGGTAATCAAGGCAAGAACATGGACATGTATCCAAAAAACCATCACGCCTGCTCCTAGTCCTTTCATTCCTCACAAATCAACCTCCATATGAGACCTTTGTTTCCGTAATGACACTAATTCCGTCTCCTTTATGCGCAGAGCTTCCACCTCTTGTTACCATACCTCTCCTTCCTAGTCTACCTAGATACTGCTCCTCAAAGCTCTCAAAGCTATTGTCGTCACTAGTGTTCCCATCCTTCTTCTTGATCGTTGTTTTCGCGGCCCACAGCTTGGCTTGATCATCATCTTCTCCGCGCTGATTGGGAAGGTCGTCACGACTAGGTAGCTCGTATGACTCCATGATCCTCTTCGATCTTTGTTTTTTAGAGGTATTTGTGTTGGAAAAGGGGGTGAGCTTTGTGCTGTGACTTTCCGGTTGGCTGGAGGATGACAGAAGGCGTGAGGTAAGTATAAATGGGAGGTATCGCATGAAGAACGGCTTTAGGGCTGGGACAGAAGCGCAGATGATACCTGCGTTCACTTCAATGAAGCCCCAGATGACTTGGCCAGAGACTTCCCATGAGTAATCGACCGCAGTGAGCAACCGGGGCATGAGAATTGTTCGTTGGATTGCAGCGGCGCACACGCTATTCAAATGGTTAGAAAGGGGGCAAGATTTTGCGGACTGGTGGCTCAACGTACAAACCGCCAGCGGCAAATATGATGATCAATGAGATCTTTTGGCGCAATGGGATCTTGAGCGGTAGGATAACCTTCACGGGAATGAATAAGATTATAATATCGATGATGATATTGGCGATGCTCAACGTCATCATTGGACCCATCTTTCCAATACATGACCCTTCAATCTCCGGCATCCAGAATTTGTTTACTGGACTGCACTGAAAGATGATGTAAAACTGGTATGCAACTGTATAAGCCGTGACGATACCAATGAACACATAAACGCATATTCGGAAGTACTTTTCGGGGGATAGTCGAAGATAGAGTGTTAAGATGGATAGCTTCGAAAAGGAGACCGATGTCGAGTAGGTTATTGTCAACACAAATTGGTACTTGGAAAGCTGTCAATTAATTGTCTTTTTAATTTAGGACCGACGAACTCGACTTACAATCAATAAGTTCCTGAAGTCGGGCGCTGGTATATCCCAAATGTGATTGCCAGACCCTACTTGTAGTGCTGGGGGACGATTAGCTTTTCTTCAAATTATCACCGTGTTGAGATTGTCGTCCAATTTACCTTTCATCTCAAGGATAGAAAATACTAGTCCAAGAATGAACGAAATGACAACCAAGACTAGTCGGAGCCATTAGCAAAGTTCACCCGATTTTCCAGTCTAAAGTGTGACTAACAATCGTCGATGCCAAGATTACGCACAACATATCCTCGGGTGAATATTCGGACGGCTACGGCGAGGCCAGCGATGACGGTTGTGGCAATGCCTGTTGCTACTGCTCCCTGTGCACTCGTCGGAGGATTCACCGGTGTGCGAACTTCCCCTGCAGGCACGGGCATCGCCCACAGGGAATCATTATTCGGATCCAGCATCGCAGTGGAACCTGTAAGTATTAAACCCTCGGCTGGCTGGTGGTCGGCATGTGAGGCCCAGGTCTGAGGCCACTAGCAAGTCGAAATGGCTCGGCGGCTAGGACGCTCAGCTCTGTGGAAAGCTGGGGACAGGGAAAAAGAAAGTAACGCAAGTTTACTTCGAGAACATACAACAAAGAAAAGAAAGTGGAGGGGCACATGAGATAGTTAAACCTGCATATCGAGTCGTGACCCTACCCCATCAAGCCAGGGGAACGAATCTACGTGAACTGGCGTCAGAAGGGAATCAATGCCCCCACACATCTCATTCACCTTCTGTAGTTCAGTCATGGGGTAAATGCAGGAGCACGTCTTCGCACAGAGTTAGGATAAGCGCGATTAACTCCGGCGATTTCCCTGAACAATCAGGCATATTAGAGTCGCATGAAGTTTCTCATTCAAGGCACGACCCTAATAGGTCCAGATGCCTTCTCTAGTTGTAAATAGGTAAAGGCGTTTCTGTGAGTGGGCCAGAGTCAATCTCTGAATAATGGTGAGCGTGTCCCCGGAAGATGCAGGCCTGATCTGGGTCTTTGAGGAGATACAGTATGCATTCCCCCAGATTTTGTTCGGCTGAGGACCAGGGGTGAGCATAAATTATGACCGTCACCATGCCGCGAAAGGATAACCGAGATAGCCAGGGAAGCAGGTAGTCATCGCCACCGGAGACGAAAGGGGGCTATGATTGAGTGGTCAAACCCCATATAGGAATAGATAAACACTATTCGTTGGGCATCGTTTCATGTATGCCCGCGTGGAATAAGGTCAGGGAAAGACTGCATGCTGGGGTGCGAGGGCTTTCGATAGCTCTGCCCCTTGTCAGGGATTTCCACAGGGAATAGGAATCTGGGGGTGGGGAGAGACCTGGAGAGCAGACTACACGGTTCAAACAGTCGGCCTTTAGACTCAGATCACCGGCAGGCCGCGTCGCGAAAATCTCGTTTATTGGTTCTCATGGACTAAGTCAGTAAGCGCTGGTGGTGGATGGGATCTGCATGGCTTTGTGACGGCTCGCCTCATGCACGCATTGTTTCAAGAATCTGTTGTCACCACCCGCGCCGAAACTGGCGCTACAGAAAGCCAACAATCAGCCCGCGCTTCCTTTTGATATTAAGCCATAGCATCGCCACCAAAAGCTTGAGGGGCTGATATAGGAGGCCGCCGGTATCTGGACCGTAGAGTAGCCTGTTTCGCGACATGAAGCGGCCCTGTATTGGGGTAAAATTTGTAGAGTGCGAGATCAGACTGTGCCGGGTGTGCCCTACCTGCAATGACCATGTGCCGTAATGAAACGACTCGCCAATGTTGTTAGTTAGGCTACCAACGCGCTCCAATGCACGCATGAGAACTTTGGCGGCTAGTACGTCTTACTCGTGCTTGCTTGGCACTGCTTTATTCGTCGGATCTGGGTAATATGCACCTGGCGAGTGCCTAGTTGGCTTTCTACGACTCAGTGTCATGCATGTAGTCTCAACCAGGGCTATTCATCTCGCAAATTCCGAGGCCACTTCGTCCGGCCGTTCTTCCCCAACCTTTCGGGGGGTTTGGTTCTCCATGGTATAATACAAAGCCAGTTCATCTGCCAAGATCGGGAAA